AATTTTTTCAAGCAGTAGCGTATTCCGTATTACAGAAAAATGGAAAAACGAACTAAATTTTAATCCAAGAAGAACCGGTTTCAATAAAGCTGAAAATGAAAAAAAAAAGATTTACCGACTGATATATTTGAAGTCGATATCAAGTTACGTTTTTAGCAGGGAGATCATGATAATGGCACGGTAATAATATCATTACCGTGATAATGGTATCGCAATATTAAATTAGCTAATAAATTCAAGCATAGCAAATAAAGTTTTAAAAATCTTCCAATTAAATAACCGAAAGCTATTTTCTTTCTTACTTCAATGAAATATTCGAACGCTCAATAAAAGTCTTTCGAAGGTAGCTCGACAAAGTAAATAAAAATCATTATTCTGTCGACGCGTTCCTGCAAAGACTGCGAAAAGTCAATAAATAAATGAAATCAATGCATCTAACCCGTTGAAACTTGTTTTATTTAATCGTATCGCCTTCAAATTTAACCATAGATAAATATATTTTTTTCATTTTCAGTTTTTTGAAGTCGTTTCTATATTTTTATCCCTGTCGTGGGGCCCCTCTCTTGTGGAGGCCCCTGGGCCTCGTCTGTTCTGCCTTAACTCCGGCCCTGGAGATAGTTACTGGATCAGGTGTCAGTTTATGATGTCTGTGACCTTCAGGGATACAGGGGGCTTGGTGGAAAAATAGAGCTATGTTGGTATATTTATTTTTTTATTAATATGGCTAAATGGCTGAAATAAATGAATTGAATTGGATTAATCACTTGGCTGGACTGGATTATCTTCGGTATTGTGTTTGGTGCCTTCGTTGTTTCCTATGTTTTTTACTCGCTAGCAGCCGACCGCGACTTTGTCCGCATTAACATTGATTGATTGAACTTCTAGAATTATATTGAGAAAGCTTTTATACCTCAAAGCATATACCAAATATAAAGCAGATCTAATAATTACAAAACCATTGACAAATAAGGAAGATTTCTTATTCTCTACTTGTACCTAAAGTACATTTAAAGTAAACTTTACAACTTTTGGGGTAAACCCATTTAAAAATAATAATAATAAAAGGGTTTTTCGCATCGACCTAGGCGTCTTCTATTAACTAAGGGGAAACATACAACAATACGGCACCTCCTCTTTTTTTAGGGTTCCGTAGTCCTGGCAAGGAACCCTTATAGTTTCGTCATGTCCGTCTGTCTGTCCGTCACTGGTTTTGCTTGGAGACTGCACTAGAGAGCTGTAATTTTGTGGAGATTTCGTCATTCATGCCGACAAAATGGAAGAACAAAATTTAGAAAAATATTTTTTTGTAATTTCGTACGTTCCTAACTCTGTTTCTTTTTCATTTAGAAAATTCGTTCTTCCGAAAATTGTTTGACATTTAGAGTCTTCAAGCCTGCTCTAATTCACAACACTTTCATACGAAAAGTTGAATTTGACAAATAATTGTTCTAATTAATTTTGACAAATAATAGTTCTAAAGAAAATATAACTAGAAAAAATTCCACGCGGACCAGGCAGCAGACGGGACTCGAACCCGCACCCTTCGCAATCCGGGCGAATGCACTGACCAATTATGCTACCGCGGCCCTCACGGACCGCGTCGAAATTCTTCTAGCCATTCTTAAGCTGCAAGGCAGCGCCATCTCTTCGCATTATAGGTAACCCACAATGTCAAATGAAAATCAAGACAAACATCAAGCAGTTACATGCTTTAAAAATAATAAAATTTATAACTATAATTGCTATTTCTTCTTTCAAATGTTTAATACTTGTAAAAGTATTCATTTGACATTGTGGGTTACCTATAATGCGAAGAGATGGCGCTGCCTTGCAGCTTAAGAATGGCTAGAAGAATTTCGACGCGGTCCGTGAGGGCCGCGGTAGCATAATTGGTCAGTGCATTCGCCCGGATTGCGAAGGGTGCGGGTTCGAGTCCCGTCTGCTGCCTGGTCCGCGTGGAATTTTTTCTAGTTATATTTTCTTTAGATTTAAACATCAAGCAGTTACATGCTTTAAAAATAATAAAATTTATAAATAATAGTTCGTTAATCTCAAATTGTCGAAAAGAAAAGTGTTACCTTTTCATATTCGTTTTGAGATTCGTCCCCCTTCTCCCTCTAAAAACTAAAGTATTACCTTGAAAACCCTGGAAAATTCATGATAATAGTGCTTTGCGTGAACTTTTAAGGAAAATTTTAACGTTTAAAATAGATTTATTAGTTTAAGAGTAATAATCGTTCAAATTATGTATTAGAAAAATTCTGATATAATAAAAATTCCTCAGAAGAAAGCATTAAATGAGCGAGGATGGAAAATGACCTCGTTGGACACGCGGAATACGGTTGCTCGCTTCTTTACTACTGTGTGCGTACACCTTATCGTTTTGTTTGTTGTAGCTCTCTTCTACATTAAAAAAAAATTTCATCCGAAGCATTAAAACTGACTTAGACGAAGTAATTGCTTAAAATAAAGACTATCCAAAATATATTGTGGTGTCGACGAGCAACTACGGAACCCCACACTGCGCGTGGCAAAACACACACTTGACCAGTTTTTTTTTATTTAGTTAAAATTACGCTTGAGTAGTACTTATTTTGAAACCACATATTCAAGGATAGAAAAATATTTTATTTCTCATGCGACCGCAAGGTTGTTAGTATTTAAAAATAAAACTGCAAGCGCCAGCATTTCCTTTCACCCGTTATGGTAAAACCAGATTTCTCGTGTCGTGACTCTGTTAGTGTGTGGCCTGCGTGGCATGCCACCACGATATTTGTATCTCGTTGCCATGGTTACAGTTCTCGGAAGTTGCGCATTCGACTCTCGGTAATGGCATGTCATGATTAAATTATCCAACTGTATTGTATTTTTTGAAGGTTCCGTATCCAAAGGGTGAAAAGCCTACTTATGCACCTCCATCCTATTTATCTATTACTGATTTTATGTTTGCCTGCGCAGACGTAGGACTTTTGGCAGCGGACTTTATTGTCCGTCAAAATGGATCGCTTAGAACTGCGTCGAGTAACGCACACGTGGAAATGAAGATCTCGCCGGCTCGCCCCTACTACACTTCCACCTAATAGATAATAGCCAATCAAACGACGCGACATCAAACAATCGACCCAATCAGCACTCACAGCCGAGAGCAACGACGCAATCAGTGCTCTCCGATTCCGTCGGCCTAAGCACGTCTTAGAATATCACGACGGCGAAATTATCCGCGCTTGGGACTCCTCCGACACAAACCACAAATACCGACACTACAGAGCTAGCAAACTTGCACACTAGCTTAGCATTAAGTAGACACCGCACCCGTAGGATAAGACCCAGTCTACACACGACCCTATACCAGGTACAGATACGTACCTGGGCGTTTTTTCCCGCCCCCCACGACAACGGCTAACTAGAGCCGAGGTCCGAGTCTCAGAGAAGCCCTCTAGTTGAGCCGTACCCTTCAGGTTCGAGTGGTCTAGAGGCTCCAGACGGAGAGGAGACTCCCCCCGTGGGGAGATGCGATCCGCCTAGTAAACCTCTAGAGGCACTCGCCTATTCTCGGCTTGAGGTCCCCTTAGGATCTCGCCGTCCCCAAACCCGGTGACGCTGTAAAGGTCATCTGCGACCAACAGCATACACACTCAAAAAAAAAGACGCAATCAGAACCAAGTTATGGTCAGGCCTGCCCAGCCCACAGGCCCTTCTAACCTCTTTCTGTGTTCTATGGACTAGGGGTAGCAACGCACACAGCGAACTGTATCCCTAGCACGAATCATTATCGAATTCGAATAGTTTGCAAACCGAAATTTCAATGTCAAATTTTGTATGAAAACTTGAACAGCAGCGGCACAAAGTACGAGAACTAAAAATCAGTACACATTTGACAATGACATTTCGGACTTGCAAACGATACGAATTCGATATTGGTTCGTGCTAGGGGTACTGTACCCTTAGCACGAACCAATATCGAATTCGAATAGTTTCCACTTGCGAATATTCATTGCTATGCAGACGATAGTACAGTGCATGCGAGATACTTTGGACACGCGGCGGAGGTAGAAACCATGGAGAAACGGGAAAATCTTGTCAGGCTTTGGACCACATTTCCAAATGGGGTATCAGGAACTTGGTTGAGTTCAATGCCAAAAAAACTCAGGCTTGCGCTTTCACGGCAAAAACATCGCCATGCCTTCTCCTTCCCTCTCTTCAGGGCACAACAGTGGCGCTACAGAGCAATATTACCATGCTTGGTATGGAAGTTCGCTCAGACCTGAATCTATATATAGTCCATACGAAACCTTGATCAAAACAGCTTCACGCAAACTCGGAGTCCTGAACAAGGTGCGGTTTTTTCACGCCCGATCAACTGTGGCGTGCTTGTTGTACAAAACGCAAGTGCGGTCCTGCGTGAAATATTGCTCGCACTTCTGGGATGGCTCCGCTAAGTACTTACTCGATGCCTTGTATATGGCAGCGGCGCGCTGCCTGCTTCATTGGTGATCAAGAGGTAACTAAGAATTTCGAGTCTACAATGACGCCGTGATGAGGCATCATTAAGCGCATTCTACCGACTATACCACGGCGAGTGTTCTGAGGAGCTATTCTTACTTATCCCTCCATCACCATTTCTTCAGAGGACCACGCGTGCTGGCCTACGTTGCCACCGACTTATTGTGTCCACTATTCCTACACGAACAAAGAAATTTGTTGACTCATTTCTTTGTCGTACTATTCGTTAGTGGAATTCTTTACCCGCGCACGTGTTCCCTCCTTCCTATAATCCGGGGTCCTTTAAGAGAGGCGTGAAGAAGCATTTTTGCAGGCCGGCAAGGTGAGGATGGTTGGTGTAGCAGTTTGTAACTGCTGTACCAGCTATCTTCGCGTTTGGACTATATCACCACTTAACATCAGGTGGGGAAGAGTCATTTGCCTACCTCGCTATAAAAAATAAATAAAAATAAAAGTCGTGTTAGTCATGGGCGTAAGGCTCATAAATATATACATATATGTATTGACAAATATTAATGTTTGTTTTCATCTTTGTTACAGAACAAGAAGAAAGGCTGAACGTGTTCGAAATGTGATTCAAACACCTAGTACTTAATACCAGTGATAATATTAGTGATAACGTGCCAATTACTTAGTATTCGTAAGAGTAAACCATGGACCCCAAGTATTTCGATACTGTACGAGAGCAGAATCCGAGGGAGACGGCAAATGCCCTATCAAAGTTGACTTATTGGTAAGTTTTAATAAATAGTATACACTTAAAGATAATCTTTCGCACCTTCATTAAACGCTGCTAATCTATTAACGGTATTTGGTCAGTTAGGTCCCCTTGCAACAAATTTGCTAAATCTCGATTTAACTAAAACTAGATGTAGACATTATCAAGCTCTACAACTCTTCTCTAGTATCCAATCATATGTCTTTCGTCGTTAAGGCAGCGTTCGTAAGAAACTTTTTCGTTTGACTTACTTTGCAATCCGACTCCACGAGAATCTCTTATCTATTAGACAAGTCCGTCCGTCTGTCTGTCTGTGGTGCTGTTTCAGCGGCCAAACCGTAAGAGATAGATTAAGAGAATATTTAAGTTATAAGTTAAGAATAGTCTGATAAAACTACAAACCGGATTTGAATAACGTAGCACTTCCGGTTTTCGAGAAATCAGGTTTTGGTGAACATTTGGTTCACTGGTTTGCTAGTGTCTTTTAAATGGACATTGTGTTGAAATGTTCTGCGGAAATTATATCTGTATGCCAAATGCGGCTGATCACGGCTGCACAATTTACCACCCATGTAAATTTAACCAATGTATCACAAATCAAGTACTTGTTTAATACATAATCTATTTATTTATTTAAACTTTATTGACCAAAATATAAACAATGGTACAAAAGGCGGACTTAATGCTAAAAGTATTCTCTCCCAGTCAACCTTTGGGAAAAATGAAAAACACGAAGATGATATTATTCAAGATCGATTAATGATATTAGATATTATCGATTAATGATCTGTGAAGTGATACTCACAAATAACGTGTCTTTCTATTTGTAAAAGAGTTTTCAAAATCAGTAGATCCAAATATTACTCCCTATAACGTCACAAACTCACAAACTTTATCTCTTTTTAATATTAGTAGTAGCTCGATGGCGCAAGTGGTTAGCGCGTTCGGCTGCGATCGTTGAAGTTAAGCAACTTTCGCAGTGGTCGGTCATTGGATGGGAGACCAAAAATTTACTATCTCGAGCTCCTCCGTGCTTCGGAAGGCACGTTAAGCCGTTGGTCCCGGCTGCATCTGCAGTCGTTAGCACCCACCAATCCGCACTGGGCCCGCGTGGTGGGTCATGGCCCAATCTCCCTATTCCATCCATAGGGAAGGCCTGTGCCCCAGCAGTGGGGACATTAATAGGCTGATGATGATGATGATGAATATTAGTATAGATAATATTATTATTATCTTTGTGTTTAATTTTTTAATCCTCAGGTACACTCGTCCCGTGTTCGCGAAAGGAAGGAAAGGTCAACTCAGCATATCGGATGTTTACAGGTAATAGTTTTAAACATAATATGGCACATTGGCTGTGCCCGATTTAGAGTTCTGACCACCCTAGGATAACTTTGAATATCCGCCTGTTCTATGCCTTACATTCACAGTGCAAGTAATTAAATTACAAGTACAGAAGAGAGCTTAAGTAACCTAATATTTAAATCTAAAGAAAATATAACTAGAAAAAATTCCACGCGGACCAGGCAGCAGACGGGACTCGAACCCGCCCCTTCGCAATCCGGGCGAATGCACTGACCAAAAATTCATTAGTAAAAGTATTCATTTGACATTGTCGGTTACCTATAATGCGAAGAGATGGCGCTGCATTGCAGCTTAAGAACGGCTAGAAGAATTTCGACGCGGTCCGTGAGGGCCGCGGTAGCATAATTGGTCAGTGCATTCGCCCGGATTGCGAAGGGTGCGGGTTCGAGTCCCGTCTGCTGCCTGGTCCGCGTGGAATTTTTTCTAGTTATATTTATTTTCTTTAGATTTAAACATCAAGCAGTTACATGCTTTAAAAATAATAAAAATTATAATCTAATATTATCAGAGGCTTACAAGCTTGCTCTGTCCATGAACCTATCCCAGCTAGTAAACCAAACGACTCGTGGACATGATGTTAAGAAACTGCTTATTGTCTGGAAATTCTGCTGACGTTAAACCAGACCGACACCAAGTGTCAGTTTCAGCTCCCCTTTGGAAGTTCTGACCATTATACAATACAATACTTTATTGAAAACATCACAACACAGAACAGAAATGAGGGAAATCCAAATGTAAAAAAACAACAGGTTGCCGGCAGAAGTGAAAACTTGAATATTAACGTTGTGAATTTTTGATATTTTGGAATGGTTAGGGAATAATTTTGCACGAGTTGCTTTAATTATCAGTATAAAAGTACTATCATTTATGAGTAGGTTCAGTGTCTCTCGTACTATTAGATGCGTGCGTTGTATTCTATATCAAAAGGTCAAAGTTCATATTTATTACTCATTGTAATAAAGATAAGCACGTGTTAATTGTGCAAAAGTATTAATTGAACGATAACAATTACAAAACGTATATGGATAGTAAAAGATAAAACAAATTGATGCGTCCATTAATCAAAAGACAAAGAGATTACACTTATATGTATTAAGTTCAATGTTTTCATATCACAGTACATATTGAATTAAGCATTTCCTTAAAATCATACATTTAAATTAGCTAAACATGAGAATATTTAAATAATCACTTTGCATATAAAAATCATCTCATTGCTTGCTAAAGATAAAAAACTCAAATATCTTTGCGTATGTCGCAGCCATTTGGTGAAATTAGCCAACTCATTCGATGCCTAGCGAGTTCATTAAACGTATATAAAAATCATCTCATTGTTTGACCTTGACCAATGTAACAGCCGAAAGACAACTACGTAAATCATTTTATGTTGTGACTGTGAGTCGTTTTTAATTTAGTATTGATGGATTGGTAATGACTAGTAAAAACTAGTCTATACAACGTGTGCTTGAGTATTATAATACACACCTAGATAGAGCAATCCAAAAAATGTCATCCAATGTAACAGCCGAAAGACAACTATGTAAATCATTAAAACGTTGTGACTGAGTCGTTTTCATTAATTGGGTATTGATGGATTGGTAATGACTAGAAACAACTAGTCTATACAATGTGTGCTTGAGTATTATAATACACGCCTAGATGGAGCAATCCAAAGAAACTACGCAAACAAAATGCCCCATGTTACGCGCAATGTTTCCGCGACTCCAATGTCAGATTGTTTGGAAGCAGTCATTGTGTACGTCTGTAATGACGAGCGCATCTATCATATGTAGTAGATATTTTTTTGGGCGCTTCCATGCAGTTAATAGGGCCCGTTATCTACACCCAGGCGTGTATATAATTAAAGTTTGTGTGTTAGGTAAGGTTTGATTTTGTGGCAACTAGCGCCGCGGTGGAAAAAACTGAACTAAATGACTTGACTTAGTCTTGTTCAGTCAAGTGATTCACATCATTAAATTTGAAGGAGTAAGTTTAGACTAGTTGTGCCGTGTTTTGTTCATGTCACTCAAATGCCATTTGTCATTGAATGGATAGAGACAAAACACGGAATAACTAATCCAAGCTTCATCATCAGCCTATTAATGTCCCCACTGCTGGGGCACAGGCCTTCCCTATGGATGGAATAGGGATTGGAACATGACCGACCACGCGGGCCCAGTGCGGATTGGTGGGTGCTAACGACTGCAGGTGCAGCCAGGACCAACGGCTTAACGTGCCTTCCGAAGCACGGAGGAACTCGAGATAGAAGATTTTTGATCACCCATCCAATGACCAACCCCTGCGAAAGTTGCTTAAGTTCAACGATCGCAGCCGAACGTGCTCACCACCTGCGCCATCGAGCTCCTCAATCCAAGCTTATTCTTCGTTTATTAATAAGAGGGTCGGTGTTTCCATTCCAATTACTAATCGGTCTAGGCATCAAATTAGAAGTCGGCATTATGAATGGTCTAGGCGTTTAATCAGCTCACTAATTTGACCATATGGCTACGACATAGGTATATTTACTTTTTTGCAGATGTAGCGAAGAGCACAGGGCTACCCCACGCGGTGACGAGCTGGGCCAAATATGGAAACAGGAATTACAGAAACAAGGTAAGAATTTGATAATCAAATAACTGTAATTTCATTTTATGTTATGTTCTTTTGAACCTCTCGTTTACACCAAGGTATAATTGAGGCGGTCAGCGCAAAAGTGGTCTAAGCCTCAATTATTCATATTCCGAATTAGCGGCTTAAGCCACTTATGAAGTTTACGTTGAGAGAAAAAAAACAATGCAAAAATAACTTTGGCAACGCGATCTTTTGACGCCTGAGTTGAATGACGATTTTGAATTAAATTTTAACACATTTTTATTGAATTGTAGAAGATGAACCAGAATATGAATAATTGAGGATTAGGCCACTTTTGCGCTGACAGCCTTAATGAATTTAATATTTTTATAATGTATTTTCATAGTACACACGTATTAAACAAATTTTATACAATGTCTTAATTTTTTGTTCACATTTATATAAATACCTAGTCAGGTCATAAATTCTGTCACATGTTTAATATAAAATAATTGAAACAAGTTTATTCGTTATGTAAACATTTATATACCAAAATGAACTTGACAAAACATAGATTCTTATGACAATAAAGTTTATTCAAAACGACCTCCGTGATTTTGAATACAGGCCTTCAATCTGCGCGGCCAGTCGTCTATCGCAGCACGAACGAGGTCCATGTCAATATCGGTGGCTGCCTTAATCAAGGATGTCTTGAGTGACTCCAAATTGGGATGAGGCTTTGAGCACGCCTTTTCCTCCAAGTGTTGCCATATCTGTAATCTAACGGACTCAAATCTGGACTAGAGCAGGGGCCAGTCTTCGTGTCGGATGAAGTCGATTTCACGCGCCGCCAGCCAGTCTTGTGTGCTCTTCGCTCTATGAGCTGGTGGGCGAATCTTGTTGGAATACCCAGTGCCTGTTATTGAACATGGTATGAGAAACAGGTTCCACAAGGTTCGTCAGGACTGTATTTTGATATACAACTGCATTCGTTTTTACACCTTTCTCACAAAAATGTACCTCTGTTAAGCGAAAAAACTCCCAACCATACCATGAGCGAGGATGGAAAATGACCTCGTTGGACACGCGGAATACGGTTGCTCGCTTCTTCACTACTGTGTGCGTACACCTTATCATTTTGTTTGTTGTAGCTCTCTTCTTCGGTGAAATTTTTTTCATTCGAAAAAAGAATTTCCCCATATTTTTTTCCCGCGTAACGCTTCATCAAAGCTCGGCATCGCTTCAGTCTCAGGTCCATTAGACGAGCATTCAAACGATGTCCTGTTTTTCTTCGATATGCCCGAAGCCCTGAATCTTTATTTAACACCCTTTTCACCGTGGTTCTGCTTAACCCCATCTGAAGGGCCAACAGTTTCTGCTTACGTTTGGGATTTCTTTGAATTCGCGCCTTCACAGCTTTTATCACTGTTGGAGTCCTAACAGACCGAGGGCGACCACTTCTTGAACTGTCATCTACACTAGAGTCTTCATTGTATCGTTTGATCGTACGAAAAACGTATCTTTTGGTTATATTCAAATTTTTCAGTAAGTATGTCAAAAATTTTAATTGGCGCGTAACCGCAACGATGCAACGCAATAACTGCAACACGGTCTTTTTTAAGCGTCCACTCCATATTTAAAATTAAAAATGAGTAAAATTCTAAAAAGTTTACATTTTTATTATCATGAAAAATTCGAAAATAGATAGGTAGATAAAACTTTATTCACACCAACATGCACACATACAAAATTGAATACAAATTTTACAATTATATAAATCCTTTAAAAATATAACAAATTATATTTATACAAAAATACTGATATTTTCGTGTGCAGCAGCGATGCGAATGGGCGAAAACTCAGCGTAACATTTACTTCGACAGTAAAACGCTGATTTTCAGTTGTGACCCATATAGATGAGGTCACGCAATTAAATGTCAGATTAAAATTCACAATACAATAAACGAAATTTCAAATTAAATTAAATACAAAAATTAATTAAACATTCATTGGACATATAATTGTATGGTACTTAACATAAACCTAAAAACAAAGAAAACAAAATTGATAAATTGATCAGTGAGTAAATATTTATAATTTTTATTTTTAAGCATGTCCAAAGAAAATAGTTTCAGTGAAAATAAAATTAAAATTGAAGCACACAACACCAACGCCGACAACTCGAATTCAATAAACTTTTTGTGGCCAGCATTCCAAAAGTAAAGTTTTACTGTGTCAATACTTAAGACCTGACTGTGTATGTAAAACATGTAGTAACATACAATACTTGTTGGATAAACAAAATATTTGAAGTAAATAAGTGATTTATACTTGTAAGATACTGGTTGTCTATGCAGGGTAAACGAAATAACGTTTTAAACAGCCACAACAAGTGTTCTACAAGTTTTGTTTAAAACTAGCATATGACTTGTTTCATGGTGGAAACGAGGGGTAAGAGATTGGTATGTGCAGTGCGAAGAGTGCGTCCACGATCTTGTAACACTTATAAGGCATTGACAGGAGGGTGGTGCTGGTGTATAAGTGGTGAAATGAGGATAACAAATTACTCGTAGAATGCCCTCACTAAAGGAAAGGTTATAATTTAAAATATCTCAGAATGAGTAATTGGAAATATAAATGGCTTATTTTTTTATTTTTTTTATAGCTAGGTATGCCAATGACTCTACCCCACCTGATGTTAAGTGGTGATAAAGTCCTAACGCGTAGATAGCTGGTACAGCAGTTATAAACTACCACACCAACCATCCTCACCTTACCGGCCTGCAAAAATGTTTCTTGACGCCTTAATTACACCTTCCTCTAAAAGTAATAGGATTTTTTAGCAGCATCAGCCTATTAATGTCCCCACTGCTGGGGCACAGGCCTTTCCCTATGGATGAAATAGGGAGATAAGACCATGACCCACCACGCGAGCCCAGTGCGGATTGTCGGGTGCTAACGACTGCAGTTGCAGCTGGGACCAACGGCTTAACGTGCCTTCCCAAGCACGGAGGAACTCGAGATAGAACATTTTTGGTCACCCATCCAATGACCGACCAAAGCGAAAGTTGCTTAACTTCAACGATCGTAGCCAACGCACTAACCACCCGCGCCATCGAGCTATAATAAAAATATACTATATAATATATGTAGTATCCTATACTATATTAGGGGATCAAATACTATATTTCTAAAAAAAAATAGTAGGCGAAACTACTATAATTAGCTCAAATCAGACTTTTCCCAGTAAAAGCAGCAAAAATATATTCATTTCAAACATAAAGTAAATATTAAAACATACTACATTGGTTTTTATTTATTTTTTTAAGCATTTAACTGCTTGTGGGTTACCTACAATGCGAAGAGATGGCGCTGCCTTGCAGCTTCAGGCTAGGAAAATTTCGACGCGGCCATCAGGGCGGTGGTAGTATAATTGGTGGTAGCATTCGCCCGGATTGCGAAGGGTGCGGGTTCGAGTCCCGTCCGCTGCCTGATCCGCGTGCTTTTTTTTCTAGTAAAACTTTTCTTTACACGTACTATATTTTTTCCATGTTTTGCCATCTACTATATTTTTAGAGGTAACAGCTTCGAAAATATTATATTTGATAAAAAAAAAGTTGGTACCCCGACCTGTGGTCCAGCATTGTAACATTAAAAGGCCAATCATGACGGTTATTCCTTAAGAATGTTAATAAATGAATCTTAAAATCATCTATAATTTCAGGAAAAGGCGAAAAGCCGTCCCTCCTACAAGCCATCATGAGAATCTACGGTATGAAGTTCGTCATAGCCAATGTGATCTTCGCCATGTGTGAAACTAGTGTTAAGTAAGTATACCTACTCCTTATCATCAGCACAATAAAAAGACACGAATGCATTATGTTAAACATTTTCAAAGAGTTTCCGCCTTATTACAATACGTAGACCTAGACTTATTTATTATAGCTATCCCGTTAATACGGGATTGTTACCATGTACCTTGTTTTTTACGAGTACGATATTTCGGCACTGTTGCAAGCGCCATGATCACGGAGCAACAGTGCCGAAATATCGGAGACTCGTAAATAATCTATCTATGCTCAAGACTAGATTTATTACTGAGAATCTTTCTATAATACGGGCCTTAGTGTAATGGCCAATGCATATCAAACTAATGTCTTTAATTAATGGCAGCTACCATAATCGGAAGTGAGAATTAATCTTACAGAATGGCCCTACTGGGCCGCGTGGATTTTTTTCTTGTAAAATGTTCTTTAAAACTATAACTTTTTTTTCATCGTCTATCAGGTGGATTATCAAAATGCAGACGTATTTTTTCTTTACATAACATAAGTTAGAAGTATTTATTTATTGATACGAATATAACAATATTGTTTCAGGTTAGCAATACCGCTGTGCCTTGAAGGACTTATCAATTATTTCTCGCCGTCCCATTCTGGTATACCATTAACACACGCGTATTTGTACGCGTTAGGAGTTGTAGGGTAAGTTTTTTAATATGTTTATATCTTAGTAATAATGTTTTTTTTACATATATACGTTATGTTTAAAGGACACGGTTAAGAAACTGCCCTTGACGTGTATAACAAGCCCGTAACATTATAATATTTTATAAATAATTAAGTATTTATTATTCTTATACAACTTTTGGTGAAATAATCAAATATTTGAAACTAAAAAAACTACTTCATGTTAGTTTCAAAAGGAAAATGTTCCATTTTACAAAAATAAATAAAAAATAAATGTACACAAAAAGTATTTGTCTATGAACATCGAAATTAACAATATTAATACCAAACTCCTAAAAACTATGACATATTTGGCCCTAATTTTGTTATAACAAATCACTGAAGGCCTAAACTAATAGATATTATTTTTCTGATCAGGCATGAGACAAGACTGTATAATACTTAATCCTTTGATTTTTGCAAATGAACAAAATAAAACTTCTCAGGTTTCCTATTAGGCCGACGACAACAAATTATTTGTGTTTATTTTAACATTAAAAATACGTTTTTGCCAAGTGTTATTATGCGAAATTGATGGCTCTGTAAATAATTAGCAGTATCTTTTATCAAATGTAGCAAGCTAATGACGTAGACGACAGAGAAATGGGAGGAAAATTGCGAAATTGATGGCTCTGTAAATAATTAGCAACATCTTTTATCACATGTAGCAAGCTAATGACGGGACATTAATAGGCTGATGATGACGATGATTTTGTTTTAGGCTAATGAGTCTCCAAGCGACTATGCTTCATCCCATGCTTCTATGGCTATTACATATGGCTTTGAAGATACGTGTGGCTTGCTGTTCTCTTGTATATAGAAAGGTAAGAATAACGAAAGTATTATTTTTATGTTATTTCATATAATCGAGGTGGTAATATTTCATCAAATGCCAAAACTGAAACATGAAAATTAATTTTCAATAATCTCAAAATATTGTTATAATTAAATTACTCGTAACTAAAAATAAGCTGAAAATATTGTACTGAATGAATTATTTTATATTTAAAGATTTTTGAAATTATGGTCTGAGAATAGCTCCTTTGAGTACTCCAAATAATTAATTTATTTTATTTAATGATTCGACTAAAACTCTATGTTTAGATGTTTATAGATACATGTTCCTTTTTCTTTATATGTATATCATATGTTCATAAGGTTACAATACTTTAATTATCGTCATATTTATTTACGTCCAGCAATTATACAATTTATGTTTGATAAGAATAATGTCTTTTAATGTAATCCATATTTGAATTTTCAAGATCTTTCTTATTTTTTTACTATTATTGTTTATCCCAAGCTCCTCCGCTTAGATTTAAACTTTGGCGGTAAAGTCACAGAAGGCCTAGCAAGTCACATAATAAATCTGCTAACTTCAGACGCGCAAAGATTCGACTTGGCTGCTCTATTCGTGATGGACTTAGTTAGAACGCCGTTTTAAAGAGCTCTTGCTCTAATAAATTACACTTTGCTGAACAATAAGCTGAAATTGTTGTTATAAATGAACTATTTTGCATTTATAGAAAGTTGGTCTAAAAGTAGCTCCTTGGGGTATTCCAAATCATTTGTATTTTTACTTTCAATTTGAAAGACTAATAGAAACTTTCTATTAGTGTTTGGTCTTAGGGTATATTCACAAATTGTTTTAGAGGGTTATAAAAAGTATTTTTAATTACAAACTAGTTGGTTAAATTATGTGCTCAGATTTTATTTAGTTACTATTATGTCATTATTTTTATTTATTTTAATCAGAGCAATACTTGTTTCACTGTATATATATTATATGTACATATGTTAATTTTAGTCTTTCCTTATTATTTATTTAGTGTTATTTATTCTCAGCTCCTCCGCCTAGATTTAAACGTTGGTGGTAAAGCCACGGAAGGCCTAGCAGGCCACGTAATAAATCTACTAACTACAGACGCACAAAGATTCGACATGGCGGCTCTATTCGTGATGGACTTAGTTAGGGCGCCGATTGAAAGTGCTCTTATTGTATACCTTATGTATAGGCAGATAGGGGTGGCAACGTTGGTAGGAACCGCGTTTATTTTGTTGTTCATACCGTTGCAAGGTGAGTTGGATCATGATTTGTTTGGTTTTGTTTATTAGGTTTTGTTTATTATGATTATGTTTGCTTTTATTAAACATTTCTTTGCTTGTTACATTTGATTATTTTTGTTACTGTTACAGTAAACTATGTTCATAATCTCAAGTTAATGTTTGAAATTGTAATTTCATATAAAATCTTCTTAATAGGCTTGCAGATACTTTGTTCGGCGTAGTTGGAAAAAAAATACTATCCAATCTTTCGTATTTTACAGAACTAAAAGTTTACTTATGCTGAATTTTGGGATTGGATATTTTAGCATTTCTTAATCGCTCATATCGTTATGTTAACACTGATTTAATTAAGGGACGTTCTACATCGCTGTTAGTTTTCGCTTAATTCATTATTTTTTTAGGATACCTCGGTAAAATATCTAGCAAATTACGAAGAAAGACTGCTCTGAGGACTGATAACAGAATACGTATGATGAACGAAGTGATACAAAGTATAGAGGCTATTAAGATGTACGCTTGGGAGAATGCATTTGCTAAGATTATAGGTCATGCAAGGAGGTTAGTGTTGTTTGCCTAAAATAAAGTTTTTACAGTATTTGCAGTCGTATGGCTCGCTAGTCATGTATTATCTGATTTCGTTACTCGCTTATCATCTTACTCAATGCATTTTAATATACACACATCAAAAGTGTCTAGGGATCAAGCATTTTTATGCGGATTTCTTGAGATTGAGATGTGGCTTTGTAATAAATTTATGATTTTATAAATTTATATGGATCCTTTTTGGTGCATTTCATAATTTGAATCAGGAACTGTGAATCAAATTCGAGTAAAAGATGAAAATCAGCTGTCAATATTTTCCCTATAAAAACATACAACGCATTGAAGACATTATTAGTGCTACTGTTTCCCTACTACTGATTAAAACCAACGTTATTATGGAGCGGCGACGTCATTTAAGCAGGGAAGAAATGCTCAGAGCCGTGGGAATGATAGAAGCTGGTTCCCGGCAACGTACTGTGGCTTTAGCTCTGAATACAAGTCAGAGTGTTATCAGTCGACTTTGGACACGATACCGAAGCACTGGTACCGTGGCTGAGCGCCATGGAGGACGGTATCGCTGCACCACACGGAGACAAGACCGATACATTCAAATCTTAACTCGAAGAGCTCCAACAATAACCGCCATGATGTTAGCCGTGAGGCTTCATCACTCTTCAGGGAACTTAATTAGCGACCAAACAGTCAGAAACCGCTTGCATGAAGTGAACCTTCATTCCCGAAGACCGCTACGGGTACCACCTATAGCAATGCACAATCGTAGGATTCGATATCAATGGGCTCTTGAACACAGAAATTGGGCAGAAGAACAATGGCGTTTCGTGTGCTTTTCTGATGAGTCTCGTTTTGGTATGAGACCGGATACAAGACGTATACGACACTGGAGAACCCCTGGACGCCAAAAGCGATTAAAATCCTGCCAGGAAGTCCATCCTTATAGTGGTGGAACCATCATGGTATGGGCGGGTATTTGGATCGGCGGAAGAACTGAGTTGATTTGGATCAGAGGCAACCTCAACGCTCAAATTTATGCTGAGACGATTGTATCAGACGTCATCGTTCCTCTACAAGTGCAAATCGGTCCCTTATTTCAGTTAATGCATGATAATGCACGACCGCACACCGCAAGAGTTGTAAGACAGACTCTCGCCGCAGCTAACATCAATGTCCTGCCCTGGCCTGCTCAGTCGCCAGACTTGAACCCGATTGAGCATGCATGGGATATGCTACAGAGAAGAGCTCTGCCGAATATGGAGGGTATCCAGTCGCAAGAAGACCTTTTTTTGTTGTTGCAACGAACATGGGCGGCCATTCCACAGCGTGATTTGGATGAACTCATTTTGAGTATGCCAAACCGATGTTCTTGTGTTGTTAGTGTTCGCGGTAGAAATACGGATTATTAATTGTTTAAGTTACCCAATAAAATTTTAGAGAAAACTGTTATTTCAGTCTTTTTTTCGAACTTTTGTGTTAGTGGTTCAAATGTCAAAAATCCCTTTATTAGGAAAATGGCAAATTTCTTTATTAATGCAAAGGTGACTTGGTTTATCGTTACTGTGACAAACGAAAACACTTTATTTGATGAATCCTTAAAGAAAATTTTAATTAATATCAATCAGGAGAAAAGTTATTGCAAAAATATATGTTGATCCCTAGACACTTTTGATGTGTGTATTTTATGCTGTTGTTCCGGTGGGACACTGCTCTGCTTACGACACTGGGTGAAGCTCCATATCTTGTATCAATATTTTATGTAATTCTCTATTATACTAACATATTTACAAGTTAATCAAATATAACTAACGCTATGGAACCTAGTAATGAAATAAATGATTTGCATTGAAATTGAAATGAATTCAACTTGTATTTAATAAAACATTTTTTGATGGGGATTAAGCACGATATATTGACTTCTATCATTATTCCTGACGTTTGAGATCCTTAACATGTTGATTATTTTACTGAATATGTACATGTACCTACTCAAAAAGTGCTGTGTTAAATGATTTGTGGACGTGAAAACTCAAACAATAAGCATTGTACTTCTATTTCATATAACTTGCTTCTCTGCACTCTTATTTGAAATAAACCATTTAGACACTAAAACTTGACACGAGTCGTTTTTTACAGAAAAGAAATGAACGTCATCAAGAAGATGTCATGGCTGCGAGCCGTCATGATATCATGTGTGAAACTTAACACCAAAGTTGCCATATTCCTAAGCATAATCTCATTCATATCATTCAGGAACGAACTCACAGCTGCTAAAGTTTACGTCATATTTACTTATTACGAAATGCTAAAGTATAACTTAGTAGATTTCCTACCATTAGCTATTACTTTTACTCTGGAAGCGTACGTGAGTGTGAAAAGGATGCAAGAGTTCTTGTTGCTCGCCGAAGTCGATAATCAAGATGGCGTGGATTTGGTTACTATAGATGAAAAACAACCGGTATCGAATGGCGTATTTGAGAAAATTGGAAACGGGTAAGTTGATTTATAAAAAACGAGCGAGCCTTACAGTAGTCGCGTATGATGGGTAACATTTGAAACATCATCTTATATTAGCAAAAAAAGAAATAAATCCTACTACAAAAGGAATAAGCCATTTGAACATTATGTTCTAAAATCATATCAAATAACGCGCGCTTTCCCGACTTCCTGTTACACCCTTCCGTCCCATTTCACGAAATCACTCCACTCCCACAAATTGCAGGAAAGCGAGAGGAAAGATGTTACACATCAAAAAGTAAACAAATATTGGACACCAAAACAATATTGCTAGATAACGTACAGATATACATATTTAAATACATATAAACATCAATACCAGGTAGGAAAATATACGTGCTCATTACATAAATAATTTGCCCCCTTCGGGTTTCGAATTTGAAGCGCCTGCGCTCGCAGTTAGGATCTCTAACTGCTGAACTAAGCAAAGCCGTTAACTATTGAAGTGAGCTTTTTTAGCGTAAAGTGGTACGGGCAAAGCTAAAAATAATGTTCTTCTATGGTATTAGGTACAACTATTAGGTCATCCACATATGCTTAAATCGTAAACCATATTTTACCTTGAAGTGATCATGTTAATAAAGTTAATTTAAAGCTTTAATGTATATTTCCAGCCAACAGACGTACATCAAGTCTGAATCAAACCTAGAACAGGCGAAACCACAGGCGTTACTGTCAATGCAAAACTACACCGCGTACTGGAGGAATACAGAAGATGAATCATTGGATAAGAAAGTCGTTGCACTTAAAGACATCAATCTTACGGTAATCTTTTAAGGCATTTTGTCGTCATTATAATATAAAAAAATATATCATATGGTTTCAGTTTTGATTTTTGTTTATAATACATAGTTTTGAAATACAGTGTGTAAGAAACAAATTGACATCTAATTTAAATGTGATATTGTGTGTCGAAAGTCCAACGGATTTACATTATAAATTCATTTTCCAATTAAATAATTATAACTGAATTGGAAGATTTTGATAAAAGTTTTTAATTAATTCACGATTCAAATCTTTATTACTACGTAGTCAAAGATTTTTCACCTAAAAAATAAAGTGTCTTAGAGACGAAACTTTAGATATTAATACTTTCAAAACTGAACAGAAATTTGACAGATTCTTATTTAATTACAATGTAATACTTATATATTTCATGTCATTTCGCTATCTAATGTTATTATATCCAGATTACTTGGTGCAATAGTTATTATTTGTTAAATTGTTCGATGGAGTATTATTTAACGTCATTTCATTTCAGATTAACCCCGAAACTTTGACAGTGATCGTAGGTACAGTAGGTTCAGGTAAATCTACCCTTCTTCAGGCTATGTTAGGCGAAATAACTTCAACCAGTGGACATAAACAGAAAAACGGGAAAATCGCTTATGCAGCTCAAGATCCGTGGCTCTTTGAGGCTTCGGTAAGTGAAACCGACTTAATTTCTCAAACAGAAAATTGATAATGTGCTTAAAGGATATTAATTCTTAACTGGTTACTTTAGAGACTGCATGTTACGATTAAATTGCTGAAGTAACTTACCACAAACTTTGCTGCTAAGAAACACTTGTTAGTCCTAGCTGCTGTCTGCTTTTATTATTGATTTTTTAAAGAAATCAATTTTGCTGATTTCTCGGATTTACAGTTTTGGAACACTTAGTTAAACTTAGTTTAATAAAGTCTCGGTAATATAGCGGTTAATGCATCTGTACGGATAGCGGAAAGCAACTATATAGTTCGAATCCAGCCTGACACATCCTTTTTCTAGAATCACAAGAATAGGCTATTAGACAGCATGAAAAATAATATATCAATTGTTGGCATCTGTATTGAATATGAATATTAACAGCGATTTTACTATTCTGAAAGATCAAATAATTAATAACTTTTGTATGAAATCATTAAATAGAAATGATTTTTATGCTCCATGGTCCCGTGATCGAAAACGCCTGGGATTGGCCAAGACTAAAATGACGTCACACGCTAGTAAACTCCGGCCAAAGTGACATTACATTGCATCGTTTGACGTTTTGATGACAGTCGTGTGACGTCACACACTAGTGAGACGCCATAATGTCCAGAGAAACGTTTTAGCGGCAATTTGAAAATAGAAATTTTAATTTTGCGTTTTTTTTACTGAATTACACAACAGAATTAAAAATACCCACTTTTTATGGACTGCATATACTTTCGTAATTGATGTTTTCTAAAACATTTTAAATACCCTATTCACAGAATTGTCTTTACTTTTATCCCAATAGGGATGATGACTCATTTTTTTTCTTCGTTTATCAGGTAGTTTATTAAAAAGTATTGGACACGTATTTTTTCTTTTTTCACATAATATAAATATTGCAGAGATATATTGATTTGAAAAGTCGCATGACGTCACGTTTTGGTACAATTTTCACTTAAAAGTGACGTCACGAGTCATTTTTTGGTTGATTGCCCAAAGAAAAAAATACGTGTCCATTATTTTTTGATCATCTAACTGACGGACGGAATAGAATTTCGTTTACTGTTCCCCGTCATCATTCCTATTGTAGATTAATAGCCATCCATAAGATCAAGATCAAGTTATAATAAGTCTACTTACCAGTTAAACTAAACTTTTTTTCTAAAAGGTTCGTCAAAATATTCTCTTCGGGCAAGACATGGATCTGCGTCGATACAAGCAGGTGATCAAGTGTTGTCAACTGCAGACTGACTTAGAGATATTGTCGCACGGAGACAAAACTATAGTGGGAGAGAGAGGTGACTATGATTTATAAGAATATCATTTGCTACTTAAGTCTTACTTAAGCTTTTTTTCTTATAAAATGTAATTTAGGTACTTATTACCTGCTAACTGTGCCCCGGTCTATTTGAGATATTTTCGCGCAGTAAAACGTAGCCTATGTGTTTATCCAGGGTGTCCGCTAACTCCTTACCAAATTTTATTAAAATCGCTCAAGCCGTTTAGACGTAAAGAAGTAACAAATTTACACACTCACAAACTTTCGCCTTTATAGTATTAGTGTGATTCATTTGCTTCTTAGGCCCGTATTATAGAAAGATTCTCAGTAATTGATCTAGTCTTGAGTATAGTTAGAAAGGGATGTCGCTATATTTAGCACATAGCGACATCCCTTTCTAACTGTACTCAAGTAAAGATCAACACTTAGTTGTCATTCTATAATACGGGCCTTATTCTGTCATTAACTAAGTTTTTTTCTCTTATAAAGTTTAAGTTAGGTACTTACTGATGTCGATTCTAGCATGATTCTCTAAAGCTAAACTAAACAGTGCATCCTTGTCATTCTCTATGCAGAATCACAAGGAGAGACTGATGTTAAATTTAGTTTTAAGTTTTGAGAATCACGCCAGAATCGACACCATTACCTATGTAATTTAATGAAAACCTGTTAGAGTCTGTGCGGAAAGGGAATGGGTGTGGCGAAAAACGGAACTAACATTAAGATTTTTATTTGGCAATCAAACCCAGCAATCTGTAAAACGTCAAAGTTTTGTATTGATACGGATTTGTTTGTTGTTGTGATTTCTTGCGGTTTTTTGTATTTAATCATGTCTAAAAGGGATAAAACTTTACAAATACGGTAGAAAAGCACTACAGCGCCCTCCAATCTAAATCCCATTCTTTTTCCGCACAGACTCTATTAACGTTACAAGTAGTCAATAAGTAAGTGTTAAAGGCTACTTTTCTGAAATAAATAATATATTTTTCTCGTGGTGGGTCATGGCCCTATCTCCCTATTCCATCCAAAGGGAAGAATAATTATTAGACGATTATAGACGATAAATTACTAGAATTATTTTGACGAAAAAGAAATCTGACGAATGTGTTCTAAATCGAGATTCGAACCCAGGATCTCACAAGTGGGCGACGACACCTTGATAGCAACATAGTACATACCACTCGGCCACACAGGTCGGCCGCGGTCAGTTTCAGATTTTATACACAATTACATCAGTACAACAGCCTATTAATGCCCTCACTGCTGGGGCACAGGCCTTCCCTATGGATGGATTAGGGAGAATGGGGCATGACCCACCACGCGGGCCCGATGCCCGCGGGCAGATGCAGCCGGGACCAACGGCTTAACGTGCCTTCCGAAGCACGGAGGAACTCGAGATAGTAAATTTTAGGTCACCCATCCAATGACTGACCTCTGCGAAAGTTGATTAACTTCAACGATCGCAGCCGGACGCGCTAACCACTTGCGCCATCGAGCTCCTCAACATTATATTATTATATTTTTTTCTTCTTAGGCGCCTCCCTTTCCGGTGGTCAAAGAGCAAGAATATCTCTGGCTCGGTGCGTTTATCAAAGTGCCGATGTATACTTATTGGACGATCCGTTGGCTGCTGTCGATGCCAAGGTAAAGTTTATCTTATTGCTAAGGATTAGAGTCGCAATTACGGTTGAGCTATTAGAAAAGTATTCTTTTTCCTTTGCAATATTAGTTGTAATACTATAGTTTTTTTTATTCTATTTTTATTGATAACAAATAAACTAAAAATATATATACTTATTATATGTTTCTTTTATAACACCACCAACTCCAGTTTCTTTCAATCCTCTGATCCAAAGGTTGTCTGGAAGAAATCGCTTTTAGCGATAAGACCACCCTTTGAATCACTGTGTTTTAACATAATGTATTTACCCCATTTTTGTACTGTAGGGTTTTCAATTAAGATTAAGTGTATTGTATTGTATAAACTATAATGTGATTATGTGTTTGTAATTCTTGTCTTTAAGGTGACTGAATTTAGTATGTTTTTTTTAGTTCACGTGACCTTTTTCACAAACGAGGTCAATTTTATTCGTAAAACAAATTCATAACTAAATCCCATTTGGCAGTAAAAGGTGTTTACTTGCCCTAATAATCGTTATTTTTTTCACAGGTGGCTCAAGCCATATTCCAGGATTGTATACGCGGCTTCCTCAGGTCCAAAGCGGTGATACTGGTCACCCATCACGTTCATTATACCGCTAACGCAGACCACGTGGCCGTTATGAGGAATGGACAGGTGAGTCTTAAAGAAATTATGGAAGTCAGGCAGTCCTCGACTTACGTCTCGTTTCGATTTACGTCGTTTCAAGTTACGTCAGACAATGTTTTGACACTATTCCTCAAGCATACGTCAATTGTTTCGATTTCCGGCATAGGAGGATACACTTGTCGTGAGGTCAATGTCCGTGGGGCGTCCGTGGTGATGTCTGGACTTAAGTCCTTTCGATTAACGTCGCGTATTTCGAGAACCTAACATGCCGTAAGTACGAGGAGTACCACATACTTGAGCCGGATCGCATGTCCCTTTTTTGATATGCTTGCATTTATAGTTTTTAAAAAAAATGGGTGCAGGTACATTTACCATCCAGGCACTTCTTTGCGTGGGCAAGACAACTCTCCAATATTCAAAAGCATTTTTTTATAGCCATCGAAAGTATCCCAATGTTGAACAAGTTTTCAAATGCTTAATGGGAAACCTGTTACAAAAATAGTTGTTTTGTTATGAGTGTGAGTATTACGCGTCGAAGCCCTGGTTAATTTTCTGTGCAATCGGTATATTTGCTGTGCAATCAGTATTTTTGATATGAAAATCATATTTCTGTGCATTTAAGCAAGTTTTTTGTCGAGCACTAGAGGAAAAAGTTTAATACAGATTAGATGTATATTTTTTGAATTATTTTTAGCAGTAGTTTTGTTCAACAAATGTTTTAATTGCAGTAAAATAATTATTTCTATGTAAAATGTATATAATTGATGTAAATAACTTGATGCGTGATAAGTTATTTTGCTGTGCATTTAAAAATATCCCATTACATAATAGTAGTTTATGCTGCTGTCATATAAGAAAGAGTATTAATAAAATAAATGAAATGAAGGGGGTTTAATAGACCAGGGTCGATAATTTTTGAGACCAAAAAAAAATATAGTAGGATGAAACCCATTAGAAAAGGTAGAGAATATAACAAAAATGAAAGGAAAAATAAATTACGATCGATCTGAGGTCGGGAAGGGGGAGGGGGTGAGTTTTTAAGGGTAAAAAATGGTTAATCTCGATTTCCGGTAAAACTGCAAGTCCTATGAAAAAAAGTTAAATGGCAAAGTTGTAGGTAATAAAAAGATCTACAACTTTTGTATCGACACTTTTTTCACATAACCGCAAAATTTATGTGAAAAATGCGAATAACCGAGTTTTTGTTTTTTGATTTTTATTTTTTGCAAAAAAAAAATATTTTTTCACGAAATTTGGTGAAAACTTACCTTTGTATGTCCCAAACATACAGTAATTTTTTTGATTTAAAATATTCATTTCTTCACCTTATTTTGACTTAATATTGAAAAAGCACCCTTATTTTCAATCGAAAATTCTCACGTCAAAATATCTGCTCTTTTAAAAAAGTTGGGGTGTTTTTTGTTTGTTGAAATCTCTACTTTCTGATGGTATAAAAAAATATACACTACTATGGTAAATGTTCTCAGAAACTGCAAATTAATAATGAAAAAAAAATCCAATCCGAAAAATTGATTTGAATCATTATGTAAAATTTACTCGAAAAACGTAAGATTTCATGTTATATTGATAAACAGAAAAATTACAAATCCATAAAACATGCAAAAATAGTTGTTGTAAGTAGGTATTAAAAATAGGATTTTCGGATTCGAGTTTTATTCATTTATTAATTTGCATTTTCTGAGATTATTTATCAAAGTAGTGTATATTTTATACCATCAGAAAGTAGAGATTTCAACAAACAAAAAACACCCAACTTTTTTAAAAAAGCAGATATTTTGACGTGAGAATTTTCGATTGAAAATTAGGGTGCTTTTTGGATATTAAGTCAAAATAAGGTGAAAAAATGAATATTTTAAATCAAAAAAATTACTGTATGTTTGGGACATACAAAGGTAAGTTTTTACCAAATTTCGTGAAAAAATATTTTTTTTTGCCAAAAACAAAAATCAAAAACCAAAAAGTCGGTTATTCGCATTTTTCACATAAATTTTGAGGTTATGTGAAAAAAGTGTCGATACAAAAGTTGTAGATCTTTTTATTACCTACAACTTTGCAATTTAACTTTTTTTCATAGGACTTGCAGTTTTACCGGAAATCGAGATTAACCATTTTTTACCCTTAAAAACTCACCCCCTCCCCTTCCCGACCTCAGATCGCCCGTAATTTATTTTTCCTTTCATTTTTGTTATATTCTCTACCTTTTCTAATGGGTTTCATCCTACTATAACTTTTTTTCACTTTTCACCATTTTTAAAATTATCGACCCTGGTCTATAATATAAACACGACATTCTGTTTATCGCATGAGGCTTCGCGACAAGGTTGCCTCTCGTCAAAGAATAAGGCTTGTATTTAACTGCAAAACAAAAAAATGTCCATTAGTATATAAATTAATTTAATACTTATTGCACAGCAAAATAGTCATCTCAAAATATTGTTATATTAGTAACAATTTAATTTTAAAAATGTAGAACAGATTAGATGTATATTTTTTTAAATATTTTTAGCACTAGTTTTGTTCAACAAATGATTTGTTTGCAGTAAAATAATTATTTAAATATAAAAAGTATTTAATTGGTGTAATTAACTTGATGGGTGAAAAGTTATTTGCTGTGCATTTAAAAATATCCCTAAGAAAATGTTTTATTCCAACAGATCGTAGCTCAAGGTACATACCAGCAACTGAAGAACGGTGCTAACGAATTCGAGAAGCTAATAGAAGTGTCCGAGAGGGACAAAGAAGAGAAGCAGAAGCATAACGCGATCAACTACGAAAACCAGGAGACTATTGTGAGTTGTTTTTTTTTACTTTTTTATGACACACGTGTGAGAATAATAATATGAAACAGTTTCTGACTAAAGTGTCTGTAGGTGTCGCAATTCTGCATGATTCTCTAAACTTAAAACTGAATTTAACATAAGCCGCTCCTTTTCTTCCTGTATAATCAGAAATCAATATATCTTTGTTCAAATTGGATGTATAGTACAATTCTTTTGAATCGTCTAAATTTTTTTCCCTACCACTCGTTATTGGACATATTTTTTAGCTGCGGAGAAAAACGAGCGAAAAAAGCTCCACAACATTTAAAGTATAATTTAGCAACATTTACAAATCATTATGTTGTTATAACGTCAATACAATCATGATTTATTGAACATAGAAAACCTGTTGGAATGATTGGAACAGTTGAAACGCAAGCATTCTTGTCTGTAATATAATCAGACACATTGTAATAAGCTTTTTTAATAAGTGTTGTTTTATTCATAGAGAATGACAAGAATACACTGTTGTCAAATTTATGTTTAGGTTTACAGAATCATGGCAGAATTGACAACATAGTGTACTTTAATAAGTGTCATTTTCCCAAAAGCAGTGTTAGTAATATATATCCACTTATCAATTTTAATGTCTAATTATGTGGAGTTTAATGTGTGTGTGTGAGAGAGAGAAAGAGAGAGAGTACTGTGATTTATCTTCTAGGATTGAAGCGGCTGCCTGAGAAAATAACCTAAATATTAAAGAAGAATGCAGACCAATATTATTTATTCTTTAGCGTGCCTGATACCAGAACCCTTAGCACGAACCAATACCGAAATCGAATAGTTGAATTCGATCTAGATACAAGTAAAATGTCAAAAAGGCTTGAAAGGAAATTTGAACATTGCCCCAACGGGCGTAACCAGTTTTTTTTATGCTTAATAGGCAGGCGTTTATCTTTAATCTTGCCTGATAGAAAGCGATGATGAGACTTAAGATGCCTAAGAGGTACATGCCTGCCTAGAAGATGCCTGTTCACTCTGGCCATGAAGATGTCCAGATTATATTGGTCCGGGAAAACAGACCTCGGCAAGGAGTTCCACTCCCTAGCCGTTCGCATAATGAAAGCGGAAGCAAATCGCTTCGTGCGAATGGGAAATTCAAAAAGTTCTTGACATTTGACGCTTATCGAAATCGAATTATTAACAACTATTCGATATTAGTTCTTGCAGCTTCCGAAACTAGACTATAGCTCACTATAAGGACCTCCAGAGAGGCGATTTAGAATATTCGGCAAAATAGCGCCTCTTTGATATGGGCGTCTTTTAGACATTGGTCCTTCGAGCAGGATCCTTCTCAAAATATTTCTCATAAAAATATTTACTGATTAAAATTCGAGATAAGTTTCTCTAAAACTATAAATCGCCTCTCTGCCCCCCTAGCATGAGCACCGAGATATGGTATGGCACGTTTTTATCACGCTCAATTGTCAAATTACTATGTTGATTGACAGTTAACCACGATAAAATGATAAAATGTATAAAGTAGTGCTCATGCTACAGGGATTGGTGTTTCTCCTCATCCACAATCCACTGGAACAACTTGACAGTTAAAAGGGACGAATAATTAAATGAAATAATTCTGTTTTAAAGGTGTTCAATGTAGTCGTGAAATCCGAAGAACCCAAAATGACACTCAAGAGAAGCGTTAGTTGTTTGATCTTAATATTGTATATTTATATTCTCTGGCTGCCATAATATTTTAATACCCACTACACTAGCTAAAAACAGTAGTGCTTCTTAAATTTCAATAATTTTGAGTGTAATTAACAACGATATTAAATACCCTAGATACACCACGTCCGCTCAAAATGTGTCCTAATCAAGAAGTGCTTGAACATCACTCAAGCACTTCTTGGTTCATAGTCACGCGAGGACCGTTGAAAAGTAAAGATGTCGCAAACCTCAGAGAAAAAATGCGAAAAAATATTTATAGTACGTAAAGTGTATTTTTTCGACAGGTACCTTATCAATGTTTGTTAATTTAACGCAAATTTTGTTCTAATACTGACTATAAACTGATTTAATAGAAAATATTTGTGATATTCAAATGCATGGTCGGTAATATAGCCGTCTCTTTCGGTCCGTACCTCCTGTGTTGGTAACAGCGCATTCAGAATTGATTGTAAAGTCAAAGAAATAAGGTCTATATTCTTCCGCATATAGCAGTAAGTCGTAAAATTTTACGAGCTTGCAATCCAAACTATCATTACTTTTTCATTCGACACGATCATTTTGCGGAGCTCCGTGGATTGTCCATGTACCTTTTGGACAGGTTTCGGCCATGATTTTGTTCGTGTTGGTGTATCTAGGGTATTTAATATCATTGGTAATTAAATGAAATTAAGTTTTTTGTGAGTAGCAGCAAATTCGTTTTTAACAAACTATCAACCAATTCTGATTGTTATATCAGTTAGGTTAAAGCTATATCTAATGGAGAAATTGCACAGTTTTGGATCACTTGACCCGACTTGACTGTTGAATATTTGACGACCTCCACGGCCGAGTGGTTTGTACGCCGGGTTTCAAGGTGTCGCCTACTCGAGAGGTCTCGGGTTCGAATCCCGGTGGGGGCAGATGTTTGTGTGATGAATACGAGTATTAGTACTCCAATCATGGATGTTTAATATATATTTCTGTATAAATATACTGTACTGATATGTATTCTATCCGTTACCCTAGTACCCCATAACACAAGCCTTACAGTGCTCACTTTGGGGCTAGGCTAATTGTTCTGTGTTGGAAATATTTTTTATTTTTAAATATATCAGAAATATAAATAAATATTTTTTCTGTCTGTTGGCAGATTTATGAACGTCACTGAGACTTATAAATAACTAAACAAGAATGTTAGTCAGCACTAAATGCAACACATTAAGTTTTTATTCACTAGCATAATATAAAATACAATTTTTACTAATAATAGCTTACGTATTCACCATTATTTTGTTACCTAATGCGAGACACGTATTTCATCATCATCATCAACCTATTAGTGTCCCCAGTGCTGGGGCGCAGGCCTTCCCTATGGATGGAATAGGATGATTGTGCCATGACCCACCACGCGGGCCCAGTGCGGATTGGTGGGTGCTGACGACTGCAGATGCAACCGGGACCAACGGCTTAACGTGCCTTCCGAAACACAGAGGAGCTTGAGATAATAAATTTTTGGTCACCCATCCACTGATGACCGACCACTGCGGAAGTTGCTTAACTTCAACGATCGCAGCCGAACGCGCTAACCACTTGCTCCATCGAGCTCCTCGAGTCGAAACACGTATTTCACAAACATTTTGAATAGTTTAAGACAACATTTTTGACATGTTTTACCACTCCAGTCAGAAAATGTATGAATTTTCTAATGTTAAATTTGAAATTGGTAAAACTCTTTTTGGCAGTCTTGTAGAAAATAGAGTAATCTTATTCTTGTTTAGTATACCACTTTTGATGTTGATGATTTTTTACAAAATATGGATGATTATTTATTTAAATAAAACAAGTTTCAACGGGTTAGATGCACTGGTTTCATTTATTTATTGACGTTTCTCATCCTTTGCAGGAATGCGTCATCAGAATAATGATTTTTGTAGTTTACTCCTTAAGAATCGATTTGAATATATAAGTGGCTCGGTATGAGAAAAATGTGAGGAGTAAAATCTATCGATGAATGACCTCGTTACGTTACCTTTTTACTGTCTACGCTGTAGCAGCCGTAGTGCTACACCGTAGCACAGTATCGTAGCGTACCTTTATTGCCTACGACGACAAAGAAACCGCGTCGGTGTATCACCGCGCCCTTCTTTGAACACAAAACCATTGAGTTTTAGAAGTAAACGTGGATATGGCATTTACAGTATCAATCTTTTTTAAGTTAAATAAACTCTTTTTGCGTCTGGTTAGACTATCGAATTTAAGGAGTAAACTCCAGTCGTGCGTCGGAGCTGACACACACATTTTTTTTTTTTATTTACTTTGTCGGATGCGAAACAACAATAAATAAATAAAACCAGTGCATCTAACCCGCTGAAACTCGTTTTATTTAATGAGTGATGTGCGTGAAAACCTTACATTATTTATTTGTTTATTATTAGGAACACATTCACAAACTCCGGTCCCAGAGATCCATGTCTGTAGCGTCGCAGTTATCCTTCAATTTGGATTTGGATAACAACTTGGAACCAAAATATGAGGGTAAGTTTTTGTTAAGACAGCGCCATCTAGTCACTGTATGTGAATCTAGATGACATGCAAACTTCGCATAATGCGTTTAGGTTTCGACAATTAGAAATTAGATGGCGTTGCCGACAATGTATCATGATTATAATATATTGACAAAAAATTGGGTTTAAAAAACACTTTTTATTGGCTTCCGAACAGTAAATGTCTTAGATAAACGAATATATATATATATATGTATATTCTAATTCCATCTGTCATTATCTGTTTGCTCAAGAGTAAAAAGTTGTCATTGTGTTATAAGCAGGGATCGGATAATGGGATGCATAAATAACTTAAATTGAAATGTTGGTTATTATGGTATGCCATTTTTTTATCCCAATAATCCCGCGATCCGGGAGATACAAATTTAAGTATATATTCCGTGAGCTCTTATAAACCCAGATTGACACAAAGTAGCCCAGAGTGTTAAACATAAAATATTGTGTACGATGTCCCTAATGAATAAATAAAATTTTCTCATTAACCAACCACACACACATACTCGAATGGGAAATTAAAATTTATCTTTAAGTAGACATACAGCCGATGCGATCACAAATCAACAAAACAAATCTCGGGATTTTATTTTCAATGAAAACATCCTAAGAAGCCTTTTCTATAATTCGATTGCCAAAATATAATTTTCGGTAAACAGAATACCACTATATGATCTCTAGTTAAAAGTGTCATATCTTTCTATTGAGTTCTGAATACAATATAATCTTATTAATAACATATGGATTTTTTTGCATTAAACTGTTCGATACAGATTCTGTTTAGTTTAATGACTAATTAGTACTTTTGTACGTTTGCACGTACGACTGACCATTTCATCATCACTATTATCAACCTATTAATGTCCCCACTGCTGGGGCACAGGCCTTCCATGTCCCACCACTGACCGTTAACTTTTTATCAAAACCAGGTGAGACTCAACACAAAGGCTCTGTAGAGAAAGGCGTTTATATGGCCTACATCAAGAGCGGTGGCAGCAAATGGACAATGTTGCTGCTAGTGTCATTATTCGTTATAGCACAAATATTTTACTCAGCGACAGACATATGGCTGAAAGAATGGTAAGTTTATATAAGTGTCGCCGCACACGGGCCACACGCCACAGCCACAAACGCCGTCACGGGAAGCCAGAAGCGGCTACTAAAGTGGCTGAAGCGCGCGACAGCGGCCGACTAAGGTAAGGGAGAGAGGGGTGGGGAATAGCGCGAGTGACGTGTGGCGGCGTTTTGTATCGGCGCATTAAGTGGCCGGCGCGCGGGCCACAAGAAGCGAGCAACGACGATTTGTAGCGTGTGACGGCTATCGGCGTACCGTGAGTGGCGAGTCCATATAAAATGTATGAAAACTACAAGAAATATGCCGGTGGCGGCGTTTTGTGGTTGTGGTCGGTTGCCCGTGTGCGGCGACACTAAATCATAAGAAATTTGGTTTCTTTGTCGTACTATTCGTAAGTGGAATTCTTTGCGCGCGCACGTGTTCCTTCCTTCCTACAATCTGGGGTGCTTTAAGAGAGGCGTCACGAAGCATTTTTGCAGGCCGGCAAGGTGAGGATGGTTGGTGTAGCAGTTTATAACTGCTGTACCAGCTATCTACGCGCTTGGACTCTAGCACCACTTAACATCAGGTGGGGTAGAGTCATTTGCCTACCTAAAAAACAATAGCTTTATAAATAATTTTATATTGTTTTAAACTTTCATAGTCACTGACGTTATAGTGATTTATGTTATTTACGGGATTGTTACCATGTACCTTGTTTATAGCGAGTTTCCGATATTTCGGCACTGTTGCAAGCGCCGCGGTCACGGAGTAACTGAAGTAATTGCGGGTAGGCTGTTATTGGCAGACATGTCGGTCTACCCTCCGACGAAGTCTTTTATTACTAAAAATAAGGTAACAATCCCGTAAATAACATAAATGACTATAAATACTTCATTTTTCTATATATTTTATAATATAAATAATTTGTTTTTTTTTTGCATTTTTCCACAGCTAAACAATATTCCACGACAATAGGGTATTTTCCATTCTTTTGAAAACAGTATAAACAGAAAAATAATAAATAAATAAATTAATGTCTTTTTTTTCTTCATTAAACCAATTAAAGTTGAATTTATTTTTAATGGTTTTGAAATTACTGCGAAAACGCTCGGTGCGATGACGTCTACTGCGTGACGTCAACTTTGTGAAAATGAATGTTAAAATATAAGCAGTTTTCAAAAATTTGGAAAATACCCTATTGTAAAGAATGTCACTCGATTTGAGAAAAAAATTATTAATTTTGTTATTTCTGACCGCCGAAGGTTTTCAAATGCCTCGCGCTCTTTTTTTTCTTTTGCATTAGTAATAACAATATTAATAAAGAAAATGAGCGTGAGGTATTTGAAAACCTTAGGCGGTCATATATAACAAAATGAAATCGTAAGCGACAGCGATAGGCAAAGCAATAACGTTAAGCGATTGGCAATGTTATATTCACTCAACCTGGATATTTATGGGTGGCCTGGAAATGATTGCTGCCTACCAATAAGGCCGCCTATATTGTGTACGTTCTATGTATTATGTTTTTTTAATTTAATTTTGTGCCTTGTATGTTGTAGCAATAAAGAATGTTAAGATAAGATAAAAACAAGCAGAAAACAAAACAAAGTAGAAAATACAATATTGCACAAAGTGCGGTCTTATCGCTAATGAGCGATTTCTTCCAGATAACCCAATGAGCTGGAAATAAAAGATGGTAAGAGAGTAGGGGAGGTTGTGCTCAATACAAGATAAAAGTTTTCTTTGATAGTTAGATAATAAGAAGACGAAAGGAACAAAAAAAAATACAATAAAAGAAATATTGTTATTATTTATGGTATATTTTCTTTGCAGGGTTAATATAGAGGAACAACACAGTGCTGCTGTTCACAAACAAGCCAGCACAAACATTACAGACGCAAACCCACCACACAGTAAGTAAATATAGAATCCAAGAAACGACTCTAAAGATTTTTTTACTTTTTACAGGAATTTCAATTAAATTAATTATATTTTTAAATTTAATTTACCATAACATTGGTGCCGATTCTAGCATGATTCTCTAAACCTAAACTTAAATTTGACAGCAGTATATCCTTGTCATTCTCCATAAAGAATGAAAAGGAGAGACAGATGTTAAATTTAGTTTTAAGTTTAGAGAATCACGCCAGTATTGGCACCAATGATAAAAAGTAGAGAAAATAATTTTAAATGCTTTAATCGTGTTTCAATGATGTTTCGCCTATCCGCCGTACTATTTTTTTATGTTTTTTGGTAGTTTAGAAGCATGCGGAGTTTTTAACTTAACCAGAAGCTATGGAAACTCCTTTTTGTATTTTTAAATTGAAGTTGAATGTTTGAATAAATCCTACTAAAAACTAAAGTTCCAACTTTCAAGCCTTTTTTGAGTAACTTTAAGTTTTTTCAGGAATGTGAGTTATTTTTTTTATTAAAGCAACATTCAAGACAATTATGTCACAAAAAAAGACTGCAAAATACCTACTACGAAAAAAGATATGAATTTTTGAAACCTCGCTAGCAGAAATCATTAAAAATACACAAAAGAAATTATAACTCAAAAACTAAGAAAAATTGCGGAAAATACATGGGGTATTTTATGTTGACGTCACTAGTTGGACCACCCTGTATATATTAAGCTTTCACCGCCGTTCGTGTTTTTAAATTTTCCCAAAGGGTGACTGGAGAGGCTATTAGCATTAAGTCCTTCTTTTGCACCATTATGATGTATTTTGGTCAATAAAGTTTAAAAGAAATAAATTATGGCATGAAAATGTGTAATCTTATTACTTTAAGAATGTGGGTTTCTGGAATGACGGGTGCCAGGTGTCAGCACTGAGACAAAAGGTCCACTCTTATGTCGAATCACATATGTTCCCTCCCTCTACAACCTGGGATCCTTTAAAAGAGGCGTGAAGAAGCAACATGCAGGCCGGCAGGGTGAGGATGGCTGGTGTGGCAGGTAGAACTGCTGTATCAGCTATCTTCGCGTGTGGACTTCACCTTCACTTAACATCAGGTGGGGTGGAGTGATTTGTCGGACCTATCTAAAAAAAAATGTTGTCATAACGCCAAAAACGTTATACAAAAATACCCAATGTCACAGTTGCGCCAACTGTACCCCTAGCACAAACCAATATCGAATTCGAATAGTTTGCGAGTGCGAAATGTCTTTGTCAATGTGTACTGATTTTTAGTTCTCCTTACGTACGTTATGGCGCTAATAGCTGTTCAAGTTTCCATACAAAATTTGACATTGACATTTCGCAAACTATTCGAATTCGATAATTGTTTGTGCTAAGGGTACTGTTGGCTCATTGTTTGATACTCCAACTTAATTGGGTAGTTGCCTAAGTTGAATATGCTCTTTATTACCAATGATTCTTCTTAGTCCGTATCTTCATTGCTGAAGGTCGTGTCTAACTTGAAATGATCTACTATGCCTCTCCACGCATTCCTGTTCTCGGCAGTCTTTATAGCCTTGGTTATTGATAGGCCAGTGAGCGACTTTAGGTCTGACTAGCGGGTAGGGGACCGACCGCGTGATCTTCACCCGTCGACCTGGCCTACCACCATTAGCTTCTCTAGGCTGTCAGGGTTTCTGCGAGCGATGTGTTCGAAATTCTTTAGTATGCGCTGGTAACAGATAGTGGACAACCTTGTGGTGATGCCGAGTTCTTTAAGTATGGACACGTTGGTCCGCCGTGCAGTCCATGGAATCCTTAGCATCCGCCTCCAACCAATGACTACATTTCTGTAAAAACTGAAATCGCTAATGATCAGAAGGCAGCAGATATATCACACTAATATTATAAAGGCGAAAGTTTGTGAGTGTGTATGTTTGTTACTTCTTTACGTCTAAAGGGCTGGAGCGATCTTAATAAAATTTGGTATGTAGTTAGCTGATCACCTAGCACCCTGGATTAACACGAAGCCTATGCTTCGTTTTACTGCGGGAAAATATCCCCAATAAACCGCGGGCAACACTGCGGGGCACAGCTAGGTAAATCATAAAATTTCTTGTTATCAAAATCATGGATATCTCTTTTGTCGATTAGATATGAAAGCGCAATATGAAGTTTACAAAGCAAAAGACAGAGCTACTTTTGTATTTGAGGAGCTGGCGAACAAAACGGTATATCTATATATATATAAAACTCAAAGGTGACTGACTGACTGACATAGTGATCTGTCAACGCACAGCTCATACCACTGAACGGATCGGGCTGAAATTTGGCATGCAGGTACATGTTATGACGTAGACATTCACTAAGGATGGAGTTTGATCAATTCTACCCCCAAGGGGATAAAATAGGGAATGAAACTTTGTCAATTTTAAACCGATCGGGCTGAGACTTTGCATGCAGGTATAAGAAGAATCATAGATGAATGTCATTGTGTATAATACAAGCCTGAGAACAAAAACTGTAGTCTACACTACAACTCTACACCGAAGCGAAGCGAGGGCGGGCCGCTAGTTTACGCATATGGTTTTCACCATGTAATACTTTATTTTTACAGCCCGGAGGTTTTGGCCCAGCTGAATTTGAATTTCAACTCATGTGAATCAAAACTGCTTATAATACTGTTAAAATTGCTCACTCAAAATTACTATTAAGCTCACTATAGGTATGTCATTCAGTTTTTTTACAGCTCCTGTAAAATTTAATTTGATGTAATTATACCGTTTTGTTCGTCAGCTTGAGGAGCTCGATGGCGCAGGTGGTTAGCGCGGTCGGCTGCGATCGTTGTAGTTAAGCAACTTTCGCAGTGGTCGGTCATTGGATGGGTGACCAAAAATTTCTATCTCGAGTTCCTCCGTGCTTCGGAAGGCACGTTAAGCCGTTGGTCCCGGTTGCATCTGCAGCCGTTAGCACCCGCCAACCCGCACTGGGCCCGCGTGGTGGGTCATGGCCCAATCTCCCTATTTCATCCATTGGGAAGGCCTGTGCCCCAGCAGTGGGGACATTAAGAGGCTGATGATGTTCGTCAACTCCTCATTTATATTAGCATATTAGCATCGGCGTTAAAGTATTAATATGAACCTTATGTCCTTTCCCACAAGGTATAGTTTACGAAGACCACTCGCTCAATCGTTTCGGCTTATCCCGCGCTGAATGCATCTACGTGTACGGCGCATTGATAGCAGTCTGCGTACTGTTCACGTGGAACAAACTGGTTGTGTTCTATAACACTTGTATAAGAGCTTCTGTGGCCCTACATGATACTATGTTTAGGTGAGTAATTAGTTATTTAATATATTAATAATATGGGGTATTTTATTTTTATGTTTTAAATTTAGTTTAAATCAAAAATGGAAGATACAGTTCTCTTTTACGTGTGAAATTAAAACTTATTCAACTCATATGCATTAAAATCCATTGGGCAGTTTGAAAGATCTCAATTTACAGACGACCTCCGTGGCCTCCTATTGTACGCCGGATTTCATGGTGTCGCCGACTCGAGAAGTCCCGGGTTCGAATCCCGGTGGGGGCAGATGTTTGTGTGATGAATACGAGCATTTGTACTCCAGTCATGGATGTTTAATATGTATTTATATAAAAATATACTTATATATGTACAGTATATGTATTCTATCCGTTACCCTAGCATCCCATAACACAAGCCTTACAGTGCTTACTTTGGGGCTAGGCTAATTGGTGTGTGTTGGAAATATTATTTATTTATTATTATTATTTATTCTTTCCAGGGGCGTTACCAATGCTCCTATGTGGTTTTTCCATCACAACCCGTCCGGGCGAATTCTGAACCGCTTCTCTAAGGACATGGGACAAACTGACACTCTACTTCCGGTGGCGCTAGTGGACTGTTCAGGGGTAAATTACTAGTCTTGCTGAACATAGTTTTAATCTCTGTTCCGCTTATTAATATACAATGTGTAAGCTTGGATTACTTAGCTCGATGGCGCAGGTGGTTGGCGCGTTCAGCTGCGATCGTTGTAGTTAAGCAACTTTCGCAGTGGTCGGTCATTGGATGGGTGACCAAAAAATTCTATCTCGAATTCCTCCGTGCTTCGGAAGGCACGTTAAGCCGTTGGTCCCGGCTGCATCTGCAGTCGTTAGCACCTGCCAATCCGCACTGGGCCCGCGTGGTGGGTCATGGCCCAATCTCCCTATTACATCCATAGGGAAAACCTGTGCCCCAGCAGTGGGGACATTAGGAGGCTGATGATGAAGCTTGAATTAGTTATTCCATGTTTGATCTCTGTTCATTGAATTACAAATGTCATTTCAGTGTTATGAACAAAACATAGCGTAACAATTCTAAGCTTATCCCTCGTTTATTAATAAGGGAGCAAGTATATAAAAATCAAATCCTACTTCCCTTGGTCATATCATAACTTGAAAAGGCTTTACCAATTTCATCCATTCAATAATAAACTAAATAAACTGGACCCGATGTTTTATTTTTTGAAAAACTAATAATAAAGTCTTTCACCAAAGTTATTGGGTCAAGTTGTGAATCTAAAACCTCCCATAAACTATTTTAAATGTGCATTTAAAATTTCATCGAAATCAGTGTAGTTAATAGTCGAACAGATGGCACTGCTTTGCAGTCTAAGAAATACTAGAAGAAACGCCATTAAGATCTTGGTAGCATAGTTGGTTAGCGCAGACGCCCGTTTAGCGAAAGGCTCATGTTCGAATCCTGTCTGTTACATGGACCTGGATATTTTATAGTAAAAAATACTTTTAGAGACTTTAAACTATAGCAGTTTAAAATGTCCGCATAATAAATCACTAATTCAAGTCTTTTCCCAGAAAACACTTTCGTCTTTTCACATTAACATTTCAAACCAATATCAAATTCGTATCGTTTTCGAGTCCGAATTGTCATTGTCAAATGTATGTACTGATTTTTAGTTCTCGTTACGTCTGTTATGGCGCTGCTGTTCAAGTTTCCATACAAAATTTGAAATTGACATTTGTTACTCGCAAAACCTTTCGAATTCGATAATGGTTCGTGCTAACGGTACTGAAAGTAATCTTCATACTAATATAATAGTATTATATTTGGTCAAATGGTGGCTCCCGCTACCCACTGAAATTTTCGTGGTGTCAAAGATGGAATGATATTTTAAATAGGTTAAAGCTTTAATGCAATAAGAATGTCGCAAGTGGCTTTAAATTGTTATAGAGATTTAGTAAGATTTTTAAGAATTCCACAGAAACTTTAAAATTTTCTGAAATAATAAGTATTCTATATTTCAACGTAGGTCTCTAAACTATATGTTTGCCAAATTTCATCCCAATCTGTGCAGGTGTTTAAGCGTGAAAGAGAGACAAACATCTATAGAAACTTTCATATTTTTAATATCAGTTGGAAATAAATAAATATTAGAATATTTCTTTAAAATATATTCTATTCTATTCTTTAAAGTCTTTTCTCCTGCACCCAGTTTATTAGTAGGGTATATCTATAATTAAAGGTTTTCTCCCCAGTTTATCCTGGAAGTGATCTTCATACTAATTGTAGTATGCTTGGTCAACTGGTGGCTCCTTCTACCCACTGGCATTCTCGTTGTGTTCCTATTGATGTTGCGTCACCTGTACATGTGCACCAGTCGGGAATTGAAACGGATAGAGGCTATAGGTAAGTGTTAGATGTAAGACGTTATTAGGAATAAGTACAATTTTATTGGTAAAATTTACTTTACACAAATGCATTTACGGAGGTTACTTTGTTCGAAAGTTCAAAATTATGGGCCACACAACGGAGCGTGTGGTAAAACGTTTTACCGCACGCTCCCATACATGGCGCCGTGCGTATTTTTAACGCTTTTTTTTTAATTTCGATTGAACCTCACTGGAAGCGCTCTTAATCAATACCTTTGTCTCACTTTAATACTAAAAATATATAGTTAGAAGATTTAGTATAGTTCTAATTTCCACCATCCGCATATTTTCAACTAAAGAAAGGACAATGTTAAAATTGGCCTAAGAACCAACACCAATTTGGCATTTATGACAATTGTTAATATATTTTTTGAGATAATTATCAGTATTTAGATTGTGACGGACACTTCCAGTTAAGTAAGCTACATTAAAAAGTTAAAAAATAATCTGAGACAATAAATACCATTTTATGTGTATAATCTATGACAGCGCTGCAAACAAAACACTCTTTCTTCCTAATGCCGGCACTTCACTTGGCTATTCGTATTTGCTATTTTAAAACATGACATCAGTCTGTCCTTTTCATTCCTTAATATGCATGACAAAGACAAACTGTTGTTAAGTAAAGGGCCGGCATAAAACTTGATACTCTGTGGTTGTAGTGCAGGCAGTTTGCATTCGTAGTAATCTGTGGCATTCGTGCATTCCAAAGAGTAGTATAATATACAGGAAAGTGCATTCTCGTTTCGGATTTCCTGTTGTGTGTGTTTATTTGCGATTGTTTTTCCTTTAATTTAACTATTTCGGATATATATTAGAATATGCCATCGATGTTACCAAAGAGCAGAGACCTTATTACCAAGTGCTAGTGAACCTGTGCCACAACATCCTGAGAAGATCATACTGCCAAATTATTCAAGAACACCTGATACACATTCACGTTGCATATTTACACAATATACATGTGATATACAAATAAATACCATATACAATATGATACAATTATGTGAAAAATAGTCAATAAATAAGAAGCAAAACTACAGTTTTTATTTTATTCATGATTCCTACATATCCAAGGTTTTCCTAATATTTATTCTTTAAAATCGCACCGAATAAAATGAATTAGTTGTAATATTAATTCACTTCTTACTTAAGTTCATAGGTTGACCTATGTTTCATTGAATATTAAACGTAACCTCAAAAAACATTTAGTTTTCCTAATAATTTAAGTTCTCAGAAGTGTCCGTCAATAATCTTTGTTTTTACAGTCATTTACTTACGATTTCGAACCTAGAAAATAATATTTCATGATTGTTGGTTCTTAGGCTAACTATGTATGGTCGCTGAACAATGTCCTTTGCTATGTGAAAACGAAACGTAATAGGGATGATCACTAATTGTTTTTTCTTCGTTTATCAGGTAGATTATCAAAAAGTATTGGACAAGTATGTTTTCTTTTTTCACATAATATAAACATTGCAGAGATAATATTGATTTGAAAATTCGCATGACGTCACGAGCCCCTACTCCCAAACTTTGACGCGCTATAACTTTGTCATTTTTTGGTTGATTGCCCAAAGAAAAAATACGTGTCCATTATTTTTTGATCATCTAACTGACGGACTAAATAGAATTTCGTTTACTGTACCCCGTCATCACCCCTATTGTAATTAAACCTACCTGTATGATATGTGTGATAAATAAAATATATCTCTGTCTCTATCTCTAACTTTGAAAACTTTAAATCGAGTTCTTTGGATATAAAATATCAAATCGATAATATCGACATCGACTTAACGATATCGACTTTTCCAGCTCGCAGTCAATCCCTAAACCACGCAGCTGCCACAGTCTCCGGCCTAACCACCATCAGATCCTGCGGCCTCCAACAACGTTCCGTGGGTCGGGAGTTCGATTCCCTGCAAGACTTGCACTCGTCCTCCTGGGCCATGGTCTTAAGTACCACCAGGGCTTTCGCATGGTGGATGGATATGGTGTGCTGTGCCTTCCTAGCCTGCGTCACTGCCAGCTTCCTGCTGCAGACTGATGGTGAGATAACTCTCTTATCTAGTTGGAGTCTTCATCATCATGTAGTTAGGAAATTTTATCATCGAGGAGTCTTTCATAAAAGATCTCCATTTTCAAGGTGTCGACATCATCTAGGTCTTTTCATCGTCAAGGTATCTTTATTATCTAAGTGTCTTCATCACCAAGATAAATAAATAAAATAATAAAATCAATAAAGATATCTTCATAATCAAGAAATCTTCATCATCAAGGTGTCTTCATTATCAATTCTGTTCACCATCAAGATCTTTTCCTTGTCAAGGTGTCTTCATCATTAAGGTCTTTTCATCATCAAACTGTCTTTAACATCAAGGTATCCTCTTCATTCAAGTGTCTCTATCAAGCAGTCTTCATCATTATAGTGTCTTCATCATCATGAAGCAATCTCGCTCGCTTGACTCGCGGCATTGGGCTCGGGTCGGCAATTTGATTTCAAGGTGTCTTCATCAAGGCACTTAAAAGACCTTTAATTAGTCTTAAGGTGTCTTCATCATCAAGGTCTCTTCATTATCAAGATATCTTCATAATCAGAAAATCTTCTTCGTCAAGGTGCCTGCATTAGCAATTATCAGGGTGTCTTCAACATCAAGGTCTCTTCATCTTAAAGGTGTTTTTTATCATCTAATTGTCTTTTCATCATTAAAGTGTCTGTATCATCAAAGAGTCTCCATTAGCAGTCTCGCTCGCTTGTCTCGTTCGCTTGTCTCGCAGCATTAGAAGGCTCAGCGGGGGGGGGGGGGGGGGGGTCGATTTTATTCGATTCGACCATAATTAAAAGTATTAATAATTTAAGTATTAAACTTTCTTTAAATCTATCGTAATGTCCCTTTTTAGCTCGAGGGAATGCCTTGTATAACAATAAAAATTGAGTAAATAAGAGAAATTATTGGTTTGGGCATTTAATAACAAATAACTTAAAATAAAAATAGTTTTAACGGGTAAGTGCACGAAATTTATTTATTTATTGACGTTCGCAGTCTTTTCAAGTCTGCATCGTCAGAATGAAGTAGTAGTCAGAATAATGTCATTTATTCTGACGATGCAGACCTGAAAAGACTGCGAAACGTCAATAAATAAATAAAGTTCGTGCATTAACCCGTTTAAACTAGTTTTATTTTAATGAGTGATGAGCGTGAAAACCTATGAAACAAACAAATAATTTTACATAAACATCATCATCATCGACCCATGCTCGTCCACTGCTGGACATAGGTCTCCCCTAATGCACATAAACATACTTTTGTCAAAAATATAAACTTCTCCCTTTTGTTGTAGGCACTATGGGCGGTAACGTCGGTCTGGCTATAACTCAAGTGCTTGGCTTGGTCGGTATATGCCAGTTCGGCATACGACAAACGGCTGAGGTGGAAAACCAGATGACTTCCGTAAGTTGAATCTATCTACTCTTGTATAGAGGCTATATGACACACACACAATCTATACATATAATAAAATGGTAGGAAAGTCAAAATTGTACATTGAATATTTTTTTTAAAGAATACTTGAGGTGTGATCTACAAAAATATAGTTTTTAGATTTTTTGTCTGTTTGCCTGTATGTCATCATCATCATCAGCCTATCTTAGTCCACTGCTGGATATAGGCCTCTCCAAATGCACGCCACTTAGATCGATCTTGGGCTACTCGTATGCCTACTTGCCTATATGTCCGGGATACACTCAAAAAGTACTGCATGAATTTACTTCAAATTTGGCACGAATGTTATCAACATACAGGCTACATATTATCACGCTATCGTCTACGGAGAACGATCAGTGAACCTTTATTTCTAACTAACTCTACGCGTACGAAGTCGCGGAAGGTCGCTAGTAAATAAATAAAAATACATTTACTTTATTAGTCTTTCACCAGCATCTTCTGCTGACCAGGTGTGTGTACTAACCACTCTGTTAACTAGCCCTTAATGACCGTGTCGAATTTCCTCTAGTATGTCTCAGTCTGCAATGCAACGCCCATTGAGTAACTTAACAACGCCATCTTGTCGCAATCTAAGTAAACCATAATGGTGTAGAAAGGCCGAAGGGGAAGATCTTCCTCCGAGCTGGGTAATGGTAGCTCAGGCATTGTATATATGGAGTGTTAGCCTCCGAATTTCACTTGCGCGATGTAGGCTTTCATACGTTTGAGCGCTGCGCCGGTAGCGCCATCTCTCGAGGAGGCGAGTGATTATTCCTCCATGTTGATTATATGTGAGGCATGTAGATGTCACCGCCACAATGGCCACAATGGCGAAATACTTTTACAAGAATTAAGCATTTGAAAGAAGAAACAACATTATTGTAGTTTAAAATATTGTTGTTTCAAAGCTTTTTACACTTTATACTCCAGACAAGGACAGTTATGTCATAAGGTTCTGTCACTTTGTCCCTGATAATTATTGATGTCTAAGGGCCGATTTTTTCAAAATTCGGATAAAAATTAACTGTTTAATAAATCAATACTCAATCAACTAGAGAGAGATGTCATCCGTCACATGATATCAATGAACACAAGTTAACTCTTTATTTTGTCCGTATAATAATACGATATCAGACAGATTAATTTTATCCAGTGTCTGAGAAATCAGTCTTAAGTTTAAATAGTCATAGTCATAACATTAAAATTTATTGCTTCATGTTGGTTAGTTCTTAAATCTAATAACAGCTCGCAAACATGAGCCCTGTATGGGTATTGCAAATTATAATAACAGACTACAAATAATAAGTTTTTTTTTAATCATTTAACTCTAGCAGTTATGTCTATGTTTAAATCTAAAGCAAAGTTTTACTAGAAAAAATCCACGCGGACCAGGCAGGGGACGGAACTCGAACCCGCACCCTTTGTGGGTTACCTACAATGCGAAGAGATGGCGCTGCCTTGCAGCTTAAGGCTAGGAAAATTTCGACGCGGCCATGAGAGTCGTGGTAGCATAATTGGTCAGTGCATTCGCCCGGATTGCGAAGAGTGCGGGTTCGAGTCCCGTCCGCTACAAATATGAATTTAAAATTTGATAAACTTACAATAGGATAACTATTAAGATGATTTTATTAAAAAAAAATAGTTATAAAAAAAAATAAAAATTAATTCATTTAATACTTTAATTAATTATTTTACTTGCACAGGTTGAAAGAATGCTGGAATACAAGAACTTACCACCAGAGACTCCCGTGGAACCTGACGAAATCGCATTGAAGAATAAACATCCAGGACTTGACCTAAACAAGTGGCCTACTGTTGGTATGTCACTGTCTTCATCATCATCAGCCTATTAATGTCCCCACTGCTGGGGCACAGGCCTTCCCTCTAGATGGAAATCGGAGAATCCTTATATGAGCAAGCTCTCAACCGATTTAGATAAAATTTTATATAAAAATAGTTCGAAGTCCCAGGGGAGAGTTTAGGATAGCTTTTTTCCACGAATTCAGCCTTTAAAAGGCCTTCCATGCTTTCCATACAGGCATGGAAGTTTGTATCAAAATCCAATTTTTCCACAAAGACGAAGTCGCAAGCACTTAGTGGGTCAAAAAAATTTGTGAGTGCTAACGACTGCAAATAAAGCCAGAGTGACGGCTTAACATGCCTTCCGAAGCACGTAGGAGTGAGAGATAATAAGTTTTTGGTCACCGATCCAATGACCGACTATTGCGAAAGTTGCTTAGCTTTCATAATCGCAAATCGAACGTGCTACCTACTGACGAAATGAACGCCCATTTCCCTTGATCAGATTATTGAATGATTACAGTTTTCATCCATCTTTGTTTCTTTCAAAGATTTTTGTAAGGTTCTTACAGAATAAAAACAAGAAAGTTGCTTAAATAATTGGACATTTTTAAGAAATAAATGAAAATAAACTTTATTCGCGTTGACTTATTAAAAGCTCTTAATTTTTTCTATTATAAGATCACCTAACTTACCCGATAGTTGGCGCTGCGGTCGGATTTTAGGAGTTTTTCTTTTAAGTATATTTTCAACTAGGATGAGCTCGATGGTGCAAGTGGTTAGCGCGTTCGACTAGAATCGTTGAAAGTTAAGCAACGCTCTTAGTGGTCAGTCATTGGACGGGTGACCAAAAAATTACTATTTCAAGCTCCGTGATTCGGAAGGCACGAGAAGCCGTTGGTCCCGGCTGCTTCTGCAGTCATTAGCGCCCACCAATCCGCACTGGGCCAGCGTGGTGGGTCAGGGCCCATTCTCCCTATTCCTTCATTAGGGAGGGCCTGTGCCCCAGCAGTGGAAACATTACTAGGCTGATGATGATTTTATTACTGGCATGGCAACGTCTGTCGGGTCATTCGTCTCATTTCAATCTTGAATCAAAATCAAAGTTGAATCTCATTTATCAATTAATTCTCCATAGGTGAAATAGTATTCGAAGACGTATCTCTAGAATACGAAAAACCTCCAAAAAAGGACACTCCATCACCGGAACCTCTTAAGGAAGAACTAGCCATCAAGGAAGAACCAGCTCTAGCCATAAGGAACGTCAGCTTCACCATCAGGGGGGCAGAGAAGGTAGCTGTGGTGGGAAGAACTGGAGCTGGGAAGAGTTCTTTACTCAGCGCGCTGTTCAGGTAAGAATCTACGGGGCAAATGACCTCAGAAAGGTAGGTACAAAACGACAAAAAGACACCACAAAAAGGTAGCTCTAATGACCAAAAAAGGCATATAAAATTACTACAAAAAGATTCTTTAAATGACCATAAAACGTTGGTTTAGTAATCACAAAAATGAAGGTTAAGGACCACTGAAAGGTAGATTTAAAAAAAACCCCAAAAAAGACACGCCATCTCCTGAACCTATCGAGGCTAGTTCTTAGCCATCAAGGAAGATCCAGCTCCAGCCATAAGGATCGTCAGCTTCACCATCAGGGGGGGGGGGGGGGGGGGCAGAGAAGGTGGCTGTAGTGGGAAGTAGTGGAGCTTGCAAGAGTTCTTTAGTCAGCGTGCTGTTCAAGTAAGAGTCTATGGGGCAAATGACCTCGGAAAGGTAGGTGAAAAGACGAAAAGAAGACACCACAAAAAGGTAGGTCAAATGACCAAAAAACGGCATGTTAAATTACTACAAAAGATTGTTTAAATGATCACAAACAGCACTCACCATAAACGACACTCCATCACCGGAACCTATCAAGGAAGTACCAGCTGCTAGACCACCAGCAGGTTCCGGTGATGGTGTGTCTTTCAGGTAAGAATCTATGGGGTAAATGACCTCAGAAAGGTAGATGAAAAGACGACAAAAACAACAACACTAAAAGGTAGGTCAAATGACCAAAATAGCCATATTAAATTACTACCAAAAAGGTAAACAACCTTTTTGTAAATGACCATAAAACGTTGGTTAAATAATCATAAAAATGTAGGTTTATGACCACTGTTCTGGTAAGAATCTATGGAGCAAATGACTTCTGATGAAAGGTAATACGAAAAACTTAAAAAGACCACAAAAAAGGCAGGTCAAATGACTAAAAAACAAGAGTTTAATTACAACAAAAAAAAAATCCGGGGAAATCGAGGGAAACCTTCAAATTTCAAAGGGCCGCACAATGTTTTTTACGCATGTTCACCGATTGCTCCGTCAATTGTGTTATTGTCTACTAGGACGATGTAATTTTCACTAAAAAGGATGAAACGAAAAGGTACTCATGCATAATATTATGTAGTGAAAGAGTATAATAGGGATGATGACTAATTTTTTTTTCTTCGTTTATCAGGTAGATTATCAAAAAGTATTGGACACGTATTTTTTCTTTTTTCACATAATATAAACATTGCAGAGATATATTGATTTGAAAAGTCGCATGACGTCACGTTTGAGTACACTTATAAGTGAAAATTCACTCAAAAGTGACGTCACGAGCCCCAACTCCCAAACTTTGACGCGCTATAACTTTGTCATTTTTTGGTTGATTGCCCAAAGAAAAAATACGTGTCCATTATTTGTTGATCATCTAACTGACGGACTTAATAGTATTTCGTTTACTGTACCCCGTCATCACCCCTATTATTATGAAATAAGCTAATTGGAGCTGGATGCGAGTAGCCCAAGATCGATCTGAATGGCGTGCATTTGGAGAGGCCTATGTCCAGCAGTGGACTCAGATAGGCTGTTGATGATGATGATGATGAAGCTAATTATAGTGAGAAGTGAAGTTTTACTCATTAATATTTATTAAATACTATTTTCCTACAGGTTAAACAGCATATCAGGCAATATCCTAGTAGACGGCGTACGCGCCGAGGAGACAGGGCTGCGAGCGTGGCGTTCTCGCCTTTGCGCGTTACCGCAGCGAGCCGCCATGTTTGCGGCAACCCTGAGGGATAACCTCGACCCGGGGGCTGTGTACAGCGACGCTGATATATATAGGGCGTTGGAACAAGTGAGTTTTTTGTCCTACTAAAATAAAATAAAAATATTAATTTGTTTCTTAGGTTTTCACGCACATCATTCATTAAATAAAACTAGTTTTAGAAAGCCTCTCTGACTTTCTTCTCAGAAAGGTCTCCTAATTTTGGAACCGGTGGTAGTTTACGGTAGTTAGGGTCAAATAAATAAACTCAAAAGTTACAAAAAAGAATTTTAAATAAAATACTTTGATAACTAAATTAACTAATAAATTCATACATAGACAATAAAATTTTAAAAATCTTCCAATGAAATAACAGAACGCTCAATAAATGGCTTTCGAAGGTAGCTCGACAAAATTAAATAAAAAATCATTATTCTGACGATGCAGACCTAAAAAGGCTTTGAAATGTCCATAAATAAATTAAGTTTCGTACATTAACCCGTTAAAACAAGTTTTATTTAAAAATAATAAAATAAATATTTCCAACACTCACACCAATTAGTCCAGCCCCAAAGTAAGCACTGTAAGGCTTGTGTTATGGGATACTATGGTAACGGATAGAATACATATACAGTGCATATACATATTTATACAGAATACATATTCAACATCCATGACTGGAGTACAAATGCTCGTAATCATCACACAAACATCTGCCCCCACCGGGACTCGAACCCGGGACATCTCGAGTCGGCGACACCATGAAACTCGGCGTACAAACCACTCGGCCACGGAGGAAATTAAATTAAGTTTGACATTCACATGACCAGTCTTTGGGAAAATGGAGGAACTAAATGAAAATCACCACCAAAATGTATCTACTCTTATTTGTGTGAACAAATAAATTTCATTTCATTTCAACATATTAAATACACCAGATTTAACATAAAAAATATCCATTTTGTCCCTTGTAACTATTTAATTGTGGCCACAGCCTAGTAGCTACAATAATAAGAATATGCTCTTTCTCTCTCCCACAGGTGGAACTTAGTGAAATGGTAGCCAATCTACCAGCCGGTTTGAACACTAAAGTAGGAGACGGCGGTGGAAACCTATCCAGTGGTCAGAAACAACTAATTTGTATGGCGAGGGCTGCACTAGCCGGGGCCCGGGTTCTAGTCCTGGACGAGGCAACTGCTAATGTGGACTCTACGTAAGTATTTATAAGGGATATAATAGTGTAATCACTGAGGCGACATCTTCATGCTACACGTATATCTAATGGAGTGGTAACGCACTCGATAGAAGTGTGGAAAGCCTACATCGCGCTAGTGAAATTCGGTGGCTGACACGTATATACAATGCCCGTTTTAAGTCACCCAGTTCGGTGCAATAATTTCCCATTTGGCCTTCCTACAATTGTTTAACTAATCGGGTCTCGGGTTTTAGTCCTCGACGAGGCAACTGCTAATGTGGACTCTACGTGAGTATTAATAGGGGATATTATAGTATAATCACTTTGGCGCCATTAACATGCCCCACGTATATCTAATGGTCTGGTAATACACTTGATAGGAGTATGGAAAGCCTACATCGCGCTAGAGAAATTCGAAGGGTAAAACGTATATACAATGCCCGACCAACATCACCCAGCTCGGTAGAAGATCTTCCCTTTCGGCCTTCCTACAACTGTTTAACTAGTCAGGTCTCGGGTTTTAGTCCAGGTCGAGGCTACTGCTAATGTCGACTCTACGGGAGTTGTAATAAACGAATTAAAAGTCGTCGTCGTGTTGTTTGCAGTAGATAAAATCTTCGTGAACTCTTAGGCCCGTATTACAGAATGACAACTAAGTGTTGATCTTTACTTGAGTACAGTATATAGAGCATATAGCGACATCCCTTTCTAACTATGCTCAAGACTAGATCAATCACTGAGAATCTTTCTATAATACGGGCCTTATTTTCGCCGTTTACGAATTCGACTAGTTCATGAAATAACGGGAGACCGTCTCGATACGTTGATTGTAAGCTGATGGTCGATTTTAACCGTTCGTCGATTCAACACCCGTACACTAATCACCCTTCCTTTACTTCGATGAAGACTATAGTTTACTCGGGTATGTATAATAACTAGAAACTCTTCCCTTGAATCACTCTTGTCTATTTCAGAAAACTGCATTAATATCTGTTACGTCGTTTAAAAGATCTAAGCGTACAGACAGCGGAAGTTACATTTACACTCAAATTAACATTTGGTGTCAGTGCCAAATAATTAAATGCCAAATCTTGTGATCTGAAATAGCAAGAATAGGGTATTTGACAGTATTAAAAATACAGTGCTAATAGTTAGCCTCTGTATTTAGAATGACTATTGGCAGGAGTTTTTACTATTATTACAGAAAAAATATCCATCATTCTACTAAAAACCCACGAAAAAGATAATAGTTTTCATATCTATTGTCACGTGATTGAAAACGCCTGGGATTGACGGAGCCTAAAATGACGTCACACACTAGTAAACTTCCGGTCAGAATGACATTACATTATATCGTTTGACGTTTTAATGACAGTCGTTTGACGTCACACACCAGTGAGACTCCATATTGCCCAGAGAAAAGTTTTCGCGGCAACTTGAAAATTGAATTTTTGATTTAGTTATTTTTACTGAAATACACAAGAGAATGATGAATATCCACTACTCCGACTCTGGACTCCATAAACATTAGTAAGTAACGTGAGATCGTTTTCCAAAACTTGTCAAATACCCTATGCATGTTTTATTTATCGAACAGCAAATGTTACATTATTTCAAATCTTAAAATGGCAAGATAATTATTTCATGAAACATCAAATGAATCTGTCTAATTTGACATATTTGTGTGAGAATGCTTCAAATTGACACTCAGATGAAATGTCATTAATGTCAAAATAAATGAAATGTTTTGATGGTTCATCTAATGTTACCAATGTATATCCCCCAGTTAGCATGGCACACACACTTTTCTCATGAACTTTGAATATAAATTATCCTTTTGCCTACAGGACAGACAAGAACATACAAGAGACAATAAGGACCAAATTTGCGGATTCAACAGTCTTAACCATAGCTCACCGTTTGAATACAGTCATGGACTACGATCGGGTCATTGTCATGGATAAGTGAGTGCTTAATATTTTTTTTAACAACAGCCGCTTCGGATGAAATTATTCAATTATTTTTTTTATACAGGGTGTAAAAAATCCTATGACAAGGACTCAAACAATGCATTCTGTATACCCAAACAAGTTATATTACAAAATATTATACGTGGGAAAAATTTGTATTTTTAGTTAAAAAAAATACATTTTTTTTCCAGTACGCAATGTATAGCGCGGCGCGCTACTGTGGCGCTACGCAAAGAATGTCCCTGTGTGTATGTGTGTACGTGCGTGTAAGTGCGTCGATCTTAAAGTTTCTAAACGTTTTGAAAATATTAATGTAAAATTCTTGAAAAAAGTAAATTGTGACTTTGACCTTCAATATCTTCTACCAGAAATTTCCCAGGTATGGTCCAGAAGAAAAAAATTATCGTCATGATGAGGAAAATACGTGGCCTTTGACTTCGTTAAAGGTTTTTTACACCCTGTATAGATAGCCAGGTAGGCAAATGACTCTACCCCACCTGATGTTAAGTGGTGATAAAGTCCAAACGCGTAGATAGCTGGTACACCAGTTATAAACTGCCACACCAACCATCCGCACCTTGCCGGCCTGCAAAAATACTTCTTCACGCCTCTCTTAAAGGACCCCTTTAAGGAACCCTGGGTGCGCAAGTCCGACTCGCACTTGGCCGGTCTTTTTCTAGTAAAACTCGCACCAATAAAGCAACGAATCGTTAATGAAGACGCAAGACATTCTGTCCCTCTCGTACACAATCCCCGAGAGGATAAGCGAGAGGGACAAAACATCTTTCGTCGTTATTTTGTTTCTATATTGTCGCGAACTATAAAATTTTCATCAAATTTATAAATCTAGCATTTTATTGCTTAAATATAACAATACTAGCTGAGCCAAGCCAGAGAAGGGTGAAAATTTAGGGTTGTATGTATTTTTGTACGATGTTTCATAAAAAAAAAAATGTCTAAAAAAATTAATGGTGGTAAACCCTTAACATCTAGAGGGACCTACTGAATATGCATATAGAATTTCATGAAAATCGGTCGAGTTTAATTACGCACACCGTGACACAAGATTTTTTTATATTACATTATAAACTATTATGATATTCGCAGAGGCCGCGTGGTAGAAACTGGGCACCCTTACGAGCTTCTCACTCAAACAAGTGTATCAAAAGCTGATCAGCCACATAGGAGATCGCTTTTATCTAAAAGTCAGGTAAGTTTAATAACTTTAGTAACTATATTGCATAACTAGCGGCCGCCCGCGACTTCGTACGCGTGGAGTTAGTTATTTTCACATACTTTTTGACCCCAAAAGGGGGTTTATCTCTAAAGATACATTGTTAGTATACCTCTACACCATGTATAGAGCATACATGTTAAATTTCAAGTCTCTTACTTCAAAAACATAGGACATTCATACAAAATTCCAACCCCCGTATTACCCCCTTAGGGGGGTGGGTAGTTGATAATATGTAGCCTATATGTTGACCCGACTTCTTAATAATATTCGTGCCAAATTTGTAGTAAATCCATGCAGTACTTTTTGAGTTAATCCCGGACATGTATAGAGACAAAAATTCTAAAAACTATATTTTTGGCTTCGGTATCGATTGTAGATCACACCCTAAGTATTGTTTACAAAAATATTCATTGTACAGTTTTGACTTTATTATAAGTATAGGTAATAGCAGCTAATATTACCATATTTTATATTCATTGACTAGTTTTGGTTGTCAAGTTCGTTAAGCAATTTATATAACAAGTAGTGGCCCGCCCTCGCTTCGCTTCGGGGTAGAATTGATCGTCTAGATGTGAGGACCTGTAATTGGCTCTTTGTCGCTACTATTCATTTCTAGTATATTAAGATAAGCTGTTGGTCTTCCAAGTAACCAAAATAAATAAATAACCAAAATAAATAAATAAAATCCTTTCTTAGCGGATGCCTACGTCATAACATCTACCTGCATGCCAAATTTCAGCCGGATCCGTCCAGTGGTTTGGGCTGTGCGTTGATAGATCATTGTGTCAGTCAGTCACCTTTGAGTTTTATATATATAGAAGCATGCACTGAATAAACTAAAAGGATCCAAAAAGTTTGATTTAGAATATGTGTCAAAATTCTTGCTTGGCCCTCTGTACTCCTAGCACGAACGAATATCGAATTCCAATAGCTTGCGAGTCCCGAAATGTCATTGTCAAATTTTATATGGAAACTTGAACAGCAGCGTCACAAAGGACGTAACGAGAACTAAAAATCAGTAGGTACACATTTGACATTTTTTATCACACCAATTAGCCTAGCCTCAAAGTAAGCACTGTAAGGCTTGTGTTATGGGATACTAGGGTATCGGACAGAATAAATATACTGTACATATATAAGTATATTTATGTAGAAATACGTATTAAACATCCATGACTGGAGTACAAATGCTCTTATACATCACGCAAACATCTGCCCCCACCGGGATTCGAACCCGGGACCTCTCGAGTCGGCGACACCATGAAACCCGGAGTACAAACCACTTGGCCACGGAGGTCGTCAAAACAATGACATTTTGGAATCACATTCGAATACGATGTTGGGTCGTGCTAAGGATACTGAATAAGATTAAGTTATTTACTCCGTCTCATAGTACAGTACCATGCCTTTTATAAGTCGCATCGTGCTTTAGAGAGAGATACTCGGCTAGATTCGGCTACCTTCGGCTTTGTAGAGCTTCATCTCTGTCACACGAAACACTTACAGTCCGGTATCTATCTATCTATTAAGAGCTGCTAAAACTTTTTTAAGTTTTTTTTTAGAAATCAATACAAAAAGAAAATATGTAGGTAAAAGACAACATATATGTACTATGTATGTTAATTTATTTATTTTAATGAAAATCTATAATTTTTATTTCCAACCAAATAACAAAATACAAAAAAGTAATAGATATGCGAAGCCTCTCATAAAATAATTACTGCCATCATCATCCTTAATATTTTTCTTTCTTTCACGAAATATTTATATTTGTCTTAGCAACTCTGTATACCTATATATTTTAAGAATAACGCGACTGCTCTTTAGCGACGTTGAACTACGACTGGTTTGATATAGGCGGGTCGGTACGTTCCCTAAAATGTGGTTAAACGAAGCGATGGCTGGTTCATGCGTCATGCTCGTGCACGGGTGCTGCCAGCGGAGATGAGTCTGCCCTAACTACTTTGATATTTAAGATGTAAATGTTTAATTACACCTATTATAAATAACTCTATTTGTATTTTTACTGTGTGACACAGCAATCAAAATGCAGGTGAACAATTAATGTATAATTTCACATTATGTAATGAAAGGTGATGAATCATCTCTGAAATCATTTTGTCAACTTGACGACTCTGTAAATGATAAAACAGGGAGGAAAAAACAGCCCTTGCTGAGTTTCTTGCCGGTTCTTCTCAGTACAAGGTCTCCCGCCGTAGATTTACGAACCGATGGCGTAGCGTCTAGACATTCATATGTGCTTGTAACAGCTTAAACTGAATAAATGATTTTGATTATGATTAAGACTGACAAATCAGCGACTAAACGTCAGGTGGACAAGGGTGACAGAGGCGCTATACTAAGCCGAAGCTAGCCGAGTATCTCTCTCTAAAGCTCGATGCGACTTATAAATGGCCGGGTACTGTATATTGATTTTATTATTTATTTAAATTTGATTGTTATTTCTTTTCAACAGGCGCCTCTAGCCAAACCAGAAAGCTTTACACACGAGTCCGCAGACAAATTGGACGATGAATCTACCAAACTGTTGGCTGGAATGACAAGAACGCACAGCAAGTGAGTGAATTTTATTATTTCATTTAAATTGTTTCTTGGTGCAAGTGGTTATCACGTTCGGCTGCGATCGTTCAAATTAAGTATAACCTTAAATTGACGAAATTAAATATCGGTTGAACTTCGTTATCGAAAGTTCGTTTCGGAGAAGGAGAGTCTAGTCGGGTCTATCCTTTTTTAATATATGAAGATGAAGTTTTGGTCTATGTTTTGTATTATTAAATAAATAAAATAGGTACTCATTCCCCGATTATATTGTTTCTAAGGTCTGAATCTGAACAAACTACTGGAATATTCAAGCTCTTAGTGGAACAAACTGGAAAGGACACTGCAGCAATGCTATACAAAATGGCTGAGGAGGTATGGACTTTTTTTAAAACATATTTAGAAATTTTCTGATTCCCACTCGGATAGCATAGAATCCTGTCTGACACATAGGCCGAATCGTTTTTTTCTATTTTTTTTTATTTTCTTATAATTTGAGGAGCTGGCGAACAAAACGGTATAATGAGGGCTATCGCGTATGAATCCACCGCTAGAGGCGCTAGTGTAGCGAGCGTAAGGTCTCCGAAATGTCAAATGTTATTGCTTGTTGGTTGACTACGCGGGTTTATTTCTTATTAAAATAATGTTGTGAATAATTGGTAACAATTCGGCTTAATAGGCTAGTTGCCTATATTTTAAAAAGTGGTTAATAATATACCTTGATGTTTATTTAACCCCAAAAAAATATTATTTTATATAAAAAAGTACAATAGCAATATGTATTTTGTATTTTAAAAAATTTATTCAAATTTCCCTCGAAAACGCTCTAGACTGTCATGGCGTCTAGAATGACGTCACGCCGTGCAAAGCAAACAATACGCTGTACGCCGACTATTAAAATTATTTAGTTAAAAATGAATCCATCGTATTACAAGTACTGTATAGTGTCCTAGTATAAAAGGAGAAGCATAAAACGCCAGACAAATTATTTATATGCCACAAATGCGGAAAAAATGGTTAGAACTTGCAAGGAGGGATGGTACCTATTCATTGTTTATCAACAAATACAAGAATAATTTTGTGATGAACATTTTTGATGTAAGTATTTTGCATAACATAATCAATGAAATCAAAATGTTATACAAGCTGGATAAATTATATTGCATTATATTGATAAAACAATGACAATAGGTTGAGGTTAGGTAAGTTGATTTAATTTTATGATATGATTTAGAGTCTATTTGAGAGTTCAGTATATTTATTCATAATAATAAACACATCTTATCCTTTTTCTAGTTGCCAAATGATATGCTTATTTATGTCGAGTAGTTATGCGATTAATTTTTTATTTTGGTTAAAATATTATTATTTGCTTCGGTAAATCCCAATTCCATGGATTTATTAGGCTTCCTTTCAATACTTATCTGAAAACAAACAATCAAAGTAACAATAACATGAATGAGATATCAATGAAATGTATGGAAACGGCAACCACAAGTAATGTTTTGCACGTGGTGACGTCAGTCTTTCTGATTGGTGTTTGCCGTCACGTGATCTAATGCCTATTTTATTCGAATTTATTTTCTAAAAATAATAATAATCTTTAATTATTATGATAAATAGCTTTATTTTTTGTTATCTGTATATCATAATTCATATTTAGAAACTATAACCCATTCGATTTATTGTTAGTTGACACAAGCCTATTATGGCAAATATGAGTTATGTGGCGATGAATGTCAGTTATTAAAAATTTGAGCTTAGAAAAATGATTATGTTCCCATTTTTTCCGAATAAAACGGAACTGGGCGTCACTGTGGCATGGCCTATTATGTTTAGGATATGGTTCTTTTGTGTTAAAATACGATCTAAATGTAACCTTTGATTTCATGTGCGTATTAATAAACTCTAAAAGTTACAATTTAGGACCTCACTCAACAGTGGCGCCATCTGGTGAGCCAGAAAACGGTAGCCCTCATTACATAAAATTAAATTTACAGGAGCTGTATAAAACTGTATGACATACCTCCAGTGTGATTTTGGAATGAGGTTTAATTTATAAATTTAGTAATTTTAACATTGTTTTAGGCGGATTTGATTGAATGAGCCCGAAAGCTCCGGACTGTAAAAAAACGACGGGTTGCACTCTGGGAGTGCCGGCAGAAGTGAAAACTGGAATATTAACGTTGTGCATTTTTGATATTTTGGAATGGTTAGGGAATAATTTTGCACAAATTGCTTTAATTATCAGTATAAAAGTACTATCATGTATGTAGAAGAATACAATATTTATTTATTGAGCTATCGTACACAAACATGACAATTTGTATTACATTAAAAAAGTTTATCTCTCAGAAAAATCAACTTACATGAATCACGTTTAAGCGCACTTAGCGACATCTATTGTAAAGAAATCAAATTACATGAATCACATTTAAGCGCACCTAGCGACATCTATTGTAAAAAAAATGCATTTTCTTCGCAATAAAGCTGCCACGTGAATAAAATATTACTATGTTTCGTCCCATATATTGAAAGTCAACAACCTTTCCAATTTTATTGTGTGTCATGATGCGATCAGCCCACGTGTTTAACCTGACGCGAGTTTAACATTTTTTACCCATACAAAAAATTTGTACAACGCCGCTAAAGAAGTTTTCACTTCAAAAAAAAGTAGTTTGAGCGTAATTGTACCGTTTTGTTCGCCAGCTCTTTTTTTTTTTAATTTTACCTAAGTATATGTTAAAACTCCTTTAGTCAACTTACAGTCGAACTCGGAAACGTCAAATAAGTTAGATTCTCAAATAGTCTCAAATGGCTTTTTTAAAGTCACATATCACTATGATACATTGGCAAAGCTGCGGGAAACGGAAATACTCATAGAAAAAAGAGTCTGATGCTGGCTTATTCTAATCTCATGCAAAGAAAGATGGAGTCTGTGCGAAAAGAGAATGGGATTTAGATTGGAGGGCGCTGTAGTGCTTTTCTACCGTATTTGTAAGGTTTTACCCCTTTTAGACATGATTAAATACAAAAAACCGCAAGAAATCACAACAACAAACAAATCCTTATCAATACAAAACTTTGACGTTTTACAGATTGCTGGGTTTGATTGCCAAATAAAAATCTTAATGTTAGTTCCGTTTTTCGCCACACCCATTCTCTTTCCGCACAGACTCTATCTAATGATTCAAACTTAAAACGTAATTCTTGTTACTGAGTACGGCTGTTTGTATTAATTATTAACAATGTTACGGAACTTTGGGTTTAGGTTCTGTAGGCACTTAAAGTGAGGAGTTCGATGGCACGGGTGGTTAGCGCGTTCGGCGGCGATCGTTAAAGTTAAGCAACTTTCGCAGTGGTCGGTCATTGGATGGGTGACCAAAAATCTTCTATTTCGAGCTCCTCCGTGCTGCGGAAGGCACGTTAAGCCGTTTGTCCCGGCTGCATCTGCAGTCGTAAGCACCCGCCAATCCGCACTGGGCCCGCGTGGTGGAGCATGGCCCAATCTCCCTATTCCATCCATAGGGAAGGCCTGTGCCCCAGCAGCGGGGACATTAATAGGATGATGATGATGATGAGGCACTTAAATGTTGCCTAAAAGCTGATAAACCCTACTATCGTGCCTTTGCTTTCTGTCTGTCTGTAACAGGGCTTTATCTAATGAACAGCAATAGTTAGACATCTGAAATTTTCACTGAATGTTTTGTGGTCGCCATCACAATAAATAAAAATGAAGTTTTAATAATAAAAAAGGGTCTCCATTTATTCAACGTTGTTTTTCGATTTCTTGTGGTCTGTATAGTTATAAATATTGTACAATGTTACGGAACCCTTCGTTTGTGAGTCCGATTCGCACACTATTTAATTTATTTATTAGTTGAATACATTATCATTAATATGTTTATTTAATTTTTCTTACAGAGTTACAAAAAAATGTTGCAGAAGAAGAATGACTAGCGCAATTTCTTATTTATTTATTGAATAGTTCTATGATATACATTATTTATGTATATTAAGTTTAGTACTTGTGTTTATATCATCTATTCTAAATAACGCGTACAAACTTGTGAAGTCTGGATTGCATAGATTTTACAGAATGTCAAAAGATTCTTATGTGATTTTCACATAGAGGTATAAGAATAGAGTAGGGGAGATATAGACTCTACTACAAGTGGAAGTCCCTCTAATAGAAGGAGAAAGAAGATGAGATACCCCTAGCTTTCTCCCTCTAATCGTGCATGCGCATTGGCAACCGTAAGCTTCTTACTATTTCGATGTGAGGCCATTGGATGCCATGCGTCACAAGAGAGAGAGATAGCTAGCGATCTCTCATCTTCTTTCTCTTTCTACTAGACTCACACTTTTAGAGCCGCCTTCCCCACTCTATTCTTATACCTTTATGGATTTTTAACCTTTCTATAAACGCCAAGATACCGTACAGTTGTACGGAAGCGCCCCAAATAATATCTACTATATATGGTAGATACGCTCGTCGGTATACACGCACACATTGACTGCTTTCAAACAATCTGACATCAGAGTCACGCACACAATGCGAGTAAAATGAGCCGTTTTCTTTGCATGGTTTATTTGGATGGTTCATGCAAGGCGTGTTTATAATCAATGTTGTCAATTTTAAACGTTATGTCGTAAATATTAAAGTCGAAAGAAAAAAAAATCGTGTACTGTTCACACTGCAAGCAAGAGGAATACAGGTATGTTTACGTTTTTATCTAAATGAGGTCTATACATGGTGTACGAAAGATTTTATTTTTGTACTTTGTTATAACTTTGTATTTGCAATTGCACTTTTTAATTTTATTTGATTTGAATAATTCAAATCATTGATGCTATTTTGAGAAGAGATTGATATGATTATTTACAAGCATCTTTAATTTTAAAATATTATTTTTAATGGATTTAGTTTATGAATAATTATGAAAATGACATGAAACTATTAAAGTTTTTTTTTTATAATTTACGTTGAATGAAAATTTGCACAAAAAGGAAATCGCTCGTGAATACAAATGCATGTATGAATCAACTGTTTTTAACAAATTAAAAGTAAAAGTCCAAATAATATTGGAAATTGATAATTCTACAATTTTCTTTTACATACTTACTGGTTGATTGATACTTTATCCAGTGTTTTTAAGGCTATGCATGTTTTGTAATTAGAATATCTCGTTATGATATTCCTTAATTATGTTTAGTGTCGCTTCTTAAACTTAAATAACTCTCTTAAGTGACGTTTCAGTATTCGAACTTTACTGTTATTAAAATATAATATCCTTTTACCATTTAAAATACACTCACGAGCAATGTACCCCTATTCCTAAATATCCTAAATCCGGGCTTATATTCCCATTTATTATAAATTTCTGACTATTTCTATAGATACATGTTTTCATGTAACTTTATTGAGTGTAGATGTATAATTTTAGTAAGAATGCAATAGCATTCAAAGTTTTATTAATTACAATTATCAACCAAATCTAATCACTAAATAGAAAAGTCGATATCCATTGTTCTTGAGTGTAATTTTATTAGAGGACATGCAATAGTTATGTGAGGTAATTATTTCAGAATAAAGAGATATGAAAAAGTTATTAAATTTGTTTATCAATTTCGTAATGGTGCTGGGAACACTGCTGGTAAAAAATGTTGATAAACACTAGAAAACAAAATCTAATGAGCCAATCTTATTCCATTTTCGTGTAGATGTCTCGGAACGTAATCCAAAACCGAGAGCCGATATATTGTTTTCAAATGTTATAAATGTTTGAAAACATTTTCCTTGAATGTAGGAGCACCCAAAATATTTAACAATTCGTAACAGAATGTAATAATTTCCAACATTTGTTAGAAAATGTTTCACTGTATTTTAACAACAGTGTGGAAGCATCATAAGATATGCCTGTCAAAATGTGCTCCTTTGCTTAAGCGAAAATTTAATGTTGTCATTGTTTATTTGTTATTTTTTTATAGATTACAGAGTTGATGTGGAATTTTATTTTGTAAGATATTTCTGGATTTTTAGCTCTTTTAATTATTGGACGTCCTCACTATAATATTTGTTCCTGTATTTGTGATAATTTGAAATTTTGAATTTTTCTTAGTCTTAGCACCATAATGATTCGGCTATTTTTTACTACTTACATAATATACAAACTAAAGTGTTACTTAATTTACCAATTAGTTTGAGGCGAACGAAAGATCTCGAAAATTACTGCAACTTAAAGCATTTAAAATTTAGACAAATTTTATTATATTACAAGTATGAACTATGAGGCTTAATGATATGCTACATACAAAGATGAGAATGCCACTAAAATGACAAATGTAACTTAATTATTACAAGTTTTTTCGCAGCTGGCAAAACACATATTTTATGTGACCAAAAATTATTTAAATACCTACTAGAAAATAATGGAAATGATTCTTACATGATTGTAAAAAAAAAACTCCTTATTCCTATCAAAACATTATCCTGGAGAGTTCCTTATTACCTTGTTCTTTATGACCCAGTCTTGTAAAGCTTTTTTTATCCTAACGTGGCCATGTATCTTACTTTAATCTAAGTTGCCCATTTATTTAGCAACGATTTATTAGGTCGACCTATATGTAACTAACTATTCAATGGAATCTATGAATCTGAATTATACGCACTTCTAATTCTTGTATCATCATGTAATTTAGCAATAGGGGTGATGACGGGGTACAGTAAACGAAATTCTATTTAGTCCGTCAGTTAGATGATCAAAAAATAATGGACACGTATTATTTCTTTGGCTTTTTGGTTGATTACCAAAAAATGACAAAGTTATAGCGCGTCAAAGTTTGGGAGTAGGGGCTCGTGACGTCACTTTTAAGTGAATTTTCGCTTATAAGTGTACTCAAGCGTGACGTCATGCAACTTTTCAAATCAATATATCTCTGGAATGTTTATATTATGTGAAAAAAGAAAAAATACGTGACCAATACTTTTTGATAATCTACCTGATAAACGAAGAAAAAAAAAATAGTCATCATCCCTATTATATGTAAATTAGATGACAATAAAATATAATGGTATCATCGAGCTGGTCTGGTGATGGGACTGGAAGGTGGCTGATGGGACCCTGGCCTGCTTACTAGTAAACATATCGAGTTTAGGTTCGCAGTATATAAAAGCGTGTTTTTAGTTTTTGACACTAATAATTCTAAACCAGTCTTCCTTAAACATTTTGGAATGATGGAACATATTCTATTATTTTATAATTTACACAACGGTGTGATAAATATCCACTTTTTTGGAGTCCATGAGTAGTTAATTACGTACCGATGTTAATTTTTAAAGTACTTATCGAAGATTTTAGGAATAAGTTGCTAAGATCAATTTAAGGTCAATTATGCGAGTGCTTCGAGTTAAAATATAATGATTTTGATTCGTCCAGAATCGACTGATAGAGCGAGGTGCTATTTTTCTATGTATCTTCCGTAATAGATATCTATCGATCGATGTAAAGCAATGATATCGATTCTGGCATGATTCTCTGAAGCTAAATTTAAATTTGACAACAGTGTATCCTTGTCATTCTCTATACAGAATGAAAAAAAGAGGCTGATATTAAATTTAGTTTTAAGTTAAGAGAATCATGCTAGAATTGCCACCAATGTTCATGAATTATGAGATTCATTGAATATGTACAGGTTGTTTCGTAAACACTCTAACAAGCCGAAATTTACCTATTTTAACATGTCAATATAAAAATTATTAATTGTAGCAGAAAATACTTTCGATACAAATGAAAAGATTAGCTGATTGAGTTTTTATGCAAAGTAGTGTTTAATACAATTAAGTACATTTTCATTTTATTTTTAATATTCAGCTTGTTAGTGTGTACTGAACATCCTATATAACATGATTTGTTGAAGTTGCTAATTGTTTTTGTCAGCGCCATCTGTTGGGCGCGACTTAACTCACTTCACCTTGATTGCACAAATAAACGCATTGTAGATGCTAAATGCTTGAAAACCAAGTGTAGGTAATGCTTTTAACGACTTGGAAATGATATGGAATACCATCTGCAATAAAAAGTGGTTCCACGCAAACTGCGATCAAGTGGGCGGGGCAAAGAAAATGCGATCAACACGCCCTTCACGGGATTGGTTGGGATTTTCGTTTAACATTATCTTACCCAATGAATGGATAGCCGAATTGATCTGCAGATAATTGATTTGTCAAATTATTTTGTTTTTCTTCTGTGTGCGTATCGCGTTAGCATTGAAGTTTAGCTTATGGGTTTGGAATCATATTTTAGTGGCCAGCAATGCTCCCTAGAATTTCCGTTTCGTTAAATAATTTAAATAATATGAATTAGGAATGTACCGAACAGTATTTTGTTAATATCCACTTCATAATAATAATTTAACTAGCGAAATTTTATTTAAAACAAAACTATACATCACTTTAGTTAGTAGCGTAATTTATTTGTATTTATCTGACGGTATCGCACTCAAAGACGTGAGTTAACTCTTAAGTTTGATCAAAGTTGATGTTAGTGTCGAATCTTGCATGATTCTCTCTCTAGATCTTAAAAATAAAATTGACAACAATCTATCCTTGTCGTTCTAGAAAAGGATACACTGATGTTAATTTTAGTTTTAAGTTTCGAGAATCATGCCAGAATCGGCACCATTGTCTTTTTCACCACAATATCAAGAGAATAATTCGTAATCGCAAATGGGAAACAAAAAGCTATCCCACAAACACTAAAACTTTTAAAATGTTTCCTCGTGTTGCAAAATGTTGCTTCACAAAAATTAATTCCACATATTTTTGTGCTAATTAAATTTATCAACCTTTCAATTGAAGTATACCAAATACATGAAGTTCTTTTATGAACCTCATATTTTCTGCACTGCGTGTTATCACAATTGATCTATAAATATATTGCAACTTCATTCAGAGATTAAAAAAATATTGAGGCTAAGAATATACAGGAATACAGTTTAATAAGAAAAAAAAAACAAAGACTGATTTGTTTTTTGCTTATTTTTAATAATAGAAATTTCCAATGTACGCCTTGATAGTTAAGACTATTATTTACTGTTAATTATCCTGGGGAAGTGTTTAGATTATATAATTTTTTTTTATTTACTGAAATAAATGGATAATTTTCTTAAGTTGCTACAGCTAACATCCTCATAAATATCGATATAACCTCATAAACGTATTTAATTAGATTACGGCATATTAATTTACGACAGTGATTTTTTATTTATTATTACGGAAATAAAAATATGAGCCAACTAATATTACGTATGTTTGTTACTTAATCACGGAAAAACTACTGAACTGATTAGGATGAATTGGTATGCATAGCTTGTTATCACGATGTTAGGTTCCGGAGGGATTTTCAAAGAACTAAAGTTCACGTGGACGAAGTCGCGGGCGGCCGCTAGTCTTCCATAAAATACATAAGGTAGAGGCACCAATGACCGACAGGAGCCAATTATCGGCATTTTTCGTGTATAATTAATGAAAAGGGTAGGTAACCGATCACTCAATATGGTAACACCTAGCTATAGACGCTCAGTGTTACCATTATTTAGTTCCTGTCGGTCTTTTGTGCCACTACCTTACAAGGGAGTCTAGAAAATTTATATAAAAATTAATGAATCCCATAGAAAATCATTCCTTTTTGTTATGCAACAATATGTAAATAATTAGTTGAATATTATACAGAAACTTAATGTTTATGGGTATCCTTGAAAGAGTTTTCTTTAAATAACTTTTTTTATATTATATTATAATATCTCGAATAGTATAATGTTACCATATTGATTATTTAATTACTTACTAGCCGCACTGTTAGTACTCCACTTAATAAGCAATTAAATATATTATCTGATATACATACATAGAAAAATAAATATTTTTTGAAATTACTTTTACTTTTTTATTTATCCAACCATGAAATCCTATTTATTGCTATCTCTACTCTACATATTACCTACTAAACAAAGTATTCCGCGCCGCGTCTTTTTGTCTATTTGGAATTGTGTCAATAACTACTGAGCTGATTTGATGCAGTTTTTACCAACAGTAAATTTTTCACTGCACGCTATGTATAATACAAACTCTTCTTGTCCCTGGCAAACGTTTTTTTTAAAGCGAGGTAGGGAAATGACTACTCCACCTGATGTTAAGTGGTAATAAAATCCAAACGCGAAGATAGCTGGTACACCAGTTATAAACTGCTACACCAACCATCCTCACCTTGCCGGCCTGCAAAAATGCTTCTTCACATCTCTCTTAAAGGACCCCATATTTGTAGGAAGGAGGGAACGAAGCTGGGGGGCATTATGGGGCGATAGCCTATCTCTGACTGCGATGGGCAGTACGCCCCTTTTAAAATTACTTGTAACCGCTGCCTTATCTTAAATACGGCTTGAGTAAATGTAGTCTATACTACACCAAAGCTAGAGGTGGGTTCATTGTAATAATAAATGTGCAAGTTTTTATGTTTGTTCCGTTAAGACGACTGAAGGGATTTGAATAAGTTTTTGTACACAACTTTGAAGTTAAACCTGTTTTCAGTGCCTACCAACCGTTTTGGTAATTTAAACTAATAAAGGATAATTCTGTGTGTCAGTCGGTGTTAGTTCCACTTTTAATCGACAAATCAATTGGGATAAATTTTATTGTCGTAATAAAATAAAAGGGACTTTGGACTTCTTGAAAGATATACTGTAAGGGTAAGTATGTATTTAGGAAATGTTTATACACTTTTGGACACATCTATTGGCCCACCTTGTATTTTCATTTTCGTTTGGTCCTAGCTAAAATTTTATATTAGGTCGAGCAAAAAGTTTTTATGCAGTTTTGGACCTGGCACATTCACAATTTCATTCAATAGTCTTTTTTTGAATTTCGAACACAGAATTTAAAGAAACAAATACAATTTGGAGCCTGTTTGTTGATATCAAACAATCGAATACTAAGAAAACTTGGATTTATTGGTTTACTTGGATTTAATTCTTGAAAAAAATGATTAATATCTTTGGTTATGCAACAAACATTACTTATTATTAACATTAAGGTGAGGTTCTATCAATAATCTATGGATATTTCACCTGAAGTCGCCGCCCAAGCAGGCCGGATACAGCCAAAGAAACGTGAGTGCTCAACTTAATTTAAGTCGATCTGCGGTTCGAAATGTTTGTCGAAGGTACCTAGAGAAGGTACCTGGCGGCTTTGTTCGTCGCCAAGGAAGGCCATGATCTCGGGTCACAACTGAAAGGCAGGATCGATTCATCGTGACGACTTGCTTGAGAAATCGTCACCTTACCTTCATTGAGATACAAAAACAAATTCGCGACTTCCACCGAGTATCTGTGAGCGCTCGAACTGTTCGGAGAAGGTTAAAAGAACGCGATATGGTACCACACAAGCCAGCTAATGGGCCCAAACTAACGCGAGCCCACCGAACAGCGCGCCTTCATTTCGCACGCAGTCATTTAAATTGGACACAGCAAGATTGGAGCCGTGTACTCTTTTCTGATGAATCTAAAATTGTGTTACATGGCAATGATGGAAGGAAGAAGGACTACCGACGTAAGGGAGAGCGTTTCGTACAATGCTGCTTTGAAGAGAGGGTTGCTTATGGCGGTGGCTCATGGACTGTCTGGGGCGGTATATCCGCGAGCGGCAAAACTCAACTTGAGGTTGTTACAGGACCACGGCTGCCAACATTAAATGCTGAAAGGTACATTCGTGAGTGCTTAGAACCTCACGTGATACCATACGCCGACTATGTGGGCCCAAATTTCCTTTTTATGCATGATAATGCAAGAGCCCATGCGGCCGGCATCGTCAGAGAATATCTTCGGGATGTGAACATCACAGTTATGGACTGGCCAGCCAGAAGCCCAGACATGAACCCCATTGAGCACATGTGGGACGAGCTAAAAAGACGTGTTGGGGCTCGTCAGCCAGTTGCCCAGACGATGCAGGAGTTGAAAACTGCCATAGAAGAGGAATGGCAGATCATCCCTCAAAATTTCATAGAGAGGTTGATAAACTCTATGCCCAATCGTATGAGAGCTGTGGTAGATGCCCATGGAGGCAACACGCGTTATTAAATTGAACCTTTATTTGATAAAACATGTTTTTTATTCAAAAATCAATTGCCTTTAACAAGGCGCATATCCGACTTGTTAGGCGTAGCTCCATGTCGTATGGTATTCTGAATTCAAATTTAAAACAATACCGTCACGTCTTGCCAGCTCAATTTATCATTGGGTTTGGTAGAAATGGTAGAAAATGTCATCCTTTTCTATTTGTGATTTACTGATTAATTACCGATACGAACGATTCGTAAACTATGAAACGTATTTAAACATTTCTACAGTTCCTATAAATAATAAAATAATTATTGATATTTTTAAAATAAATCTAAATACAGAGTAAAAGTAGTATTTAATTAGTTGAGCCTGGTAAGACTGAATGTAAGATGGTGATTTGTTCACTTTATGACAATAACAATGATGACACTTGATGACAATTTGATTTGAAATATTGTAAATTTGCTTAATAAAGTGTATTTTTTTACAATGGTGAACTCGTGTTGTGTAACAGGGTGCTACAATGAATCTTATCCCGGTAGCCCTTTTTCTTTTCACGGGTAAGTAAAACTTACAATCATATTCATTAGGTGAACCATGAATTTTGGAGGTAGATGAGATTATTTTTCTTAACAGGAGTTGTGTGAATTTAATGAATCAATTATTAAATAATGCGGTCGCGGTTACTTCATTGTTTCGTAGGTACTTTTTAGAGCGTTTTTAGATAGGATAGGGAGATTGGGCCATGACCCACCAGGCGGGCCCAGTGCGGATTGGCGGGTGCTAACGACTGCAGATGCAGCCGGGACCAACGGCTTAACGTGCCTTCCAAAACACGGAGGAACTCGAGATAGATGTTTTTGGTCACCCATCCAATGACCGACCACTGCGAAAGTTGCTTAACTTCAACCATCGCAGCCGAACGCGCTAATCACCTGCGCCATCGAGCTCCTCACAAAAATAGTAAAAAAAAATTTTTTTTTTTCTTGTATTGTGTAGATTTCCGAAGAACGAAAAGCAGAAATTGATGTGGGAAAATGCAGTGCCTGGAAAAATTTCTAAGTCGTCAGTTGTTTGCAGTGCGCATTTTAAATATGAATAAGACATTTAAATAAGACTTGGAAGCTACGGGAAGTCCTTAACCCTTGAGCACGTAGGACATAAGGCTACATTGCGACAAAAACTGCACAAAACTGTATTATTTAGCAATGTATAAAAACCAATTTTAATAAAAATATTGTAAACAAATGATTGTCTTTTTTCCGTCCAGAATTTGATGAATTTGATTTGGCATTGACCCATTTATCTATCTCACAATATGTGGGTCCCCCTTACCTGAATAAACATACTTTTAAGAGTACTTTCCCTTCAGGTGGCTGGCATTACAAAATTCCACCCTCTTTATCTAATCTCAGTCCAAGCCAAACTACGCGTACTAGTTTAAATGCCGAATGAAACAGTTCATAGTACCTATGTATTATTATTTTTAAAACCTACATACCTTCGATTGGTCTGCGTTTAGAGGTATATGCATAGATGAGGTTTTTCATATTAATTAACACTACATAGTCTAAATTACGTAAAATAATAAGTTTTTGTCGATGTAACAGCAAAAAAAAGGTGCCAAAATCAGGTATTGGCATTTTAAATTAATGGTAAGTCTGATGATACATTTTTGTTTCTTAGGTTTTCACGCACATCACTCATTAAATAAAACTATTTTTTCACGGGTTAATGCACGAAACTTTATTTATTTATTGACGTTTCGCAGCCTTTACAGGCCGCGTCGTCGGAATTTGTCATCATACAAAGACAGTGTAATAAAAAATTACACTAAGTCGTATGATGCACTTAGCAAGTTAAAAAAATGGTTGCCTGTAAAGTCGGTTTTACGGGCGAAGATTTTACGTGACAACGTCTTTTTCTCGGTAGAATATTTATTGATATGAATATAATTAAATTGCACAATAGGAACAAGGAATTGAATGAAAATAAGAATTGCACAAATTTTAACTATAGAAATATATTTTGTTTACTAAAACATTGTACATGTAAACTTAAACTTAACACGAGAGACTCATCGTAACGTTACCGAGCGTTACACTTTTTCATAAGTGACTCCCAGCCGCAACCTAATTTAAGACGTTGTCACGTCAAAATACGCCATGTAGTTTTTATTTTAACTCATAATCACAAATTACTTACATGTTTAGACAGTAGCAGATACTAAACACAGTCCTCTTTACAAGCTATATTAAATAACAAATACTAATAACAAATTTTGTCCCGCGTTACGCTTGAATATGGTCACTTCATTAGAAAGGAACACACTACCATTGGAAGCCCTCTCGCCCGGACCGTTTTTAACGCGATGGTGCACAGTCTAGGTATTATATAAAGTCTTTGTTGCAGCCTTGTTGCCGCTTTACATGAGATTAATTTATGGCTATACAAACAACAAACATGGAATTAACTAGTCTCCGTAATAAAAAGTTGAGAAGTCGAGCAAATATCGTGCTTTTAAATGTGGCGAATTTAATAAATATTTTGTTTTATATATTTTTCCTTCTAGCAATATTTATGGCAAGACTAGGTGTTACATTGAATTATTTGAATATCTGTAATAGATAATCAAAGATTGAAATTTTAGGTACATGTTACAAAGTCAAAGCCCATTTTTTATGATAAACAAAATATAATACTAATTAATTCGCAATACTAACACTTTTGAAATAACAACAAGAAGATTTAAATATCATGAGATATCTGCGCACCCGCCGCCCGGTGTCACGTAGACCATCAGGAAACTTACCTTCATGCCGGTCAAGTTAAACATGCATGTTGTCATGAGATTTTACTTATCGGAAATAATAAAAAAATATATCTACCTACCTTTATTTCATATAAGTATTTTACATAAAATAGAAAAGCCCGTAAAATGCAATCCCGTTAGATTATTCTTTTATTTTTTTTTGCTTATCCAACTTCGGCACTATCAGTTTGATATATATTATCCATAGTTTTACAGGAACGCACAGGGTTAAATGAGCGACAAACAATGTACTTCTTAATATCTTTGGCGGCAAGGAAATACAATCTTAATATAGTTTTGTTCTGACGACGATGATTCTAATAATGTACGTAGGTAGCGAAAATATGATTGAGATCGAGCATTTACACTTTTACGAATTATAAAAAATAGTTTATATCATATCTGCTGCTTAAAAATATACAACATACCTCTACCTTCTACAAGCAGACATAACAGTACAACAGATATCACAGTAAAATATTAAATAAGATAAATATAACTACTAATGAAAACAGCAGCCTAAAGAAACCGCTATTCCTGTTCATAAAAAAATATTACAATATAAAATATAAAAAAACGGCTCCAGTAAAATATTAAATTAGAAAAATATTGGTTTAAAATTATACCAGTGGTAACACTGACTATTTTGACGTTTCTGTCCACGTAGTAATCTTTTTTTTTCTCTTTGCCCGTTCTAGTGCGAGTTTGTGCGCGTCATTCATACCCATGCACACAATACGCATGTCGAACGAAACGTTAATTTAAGAAAAAAAGTGAACGAAAGTGTTTCCGTCACTGTTGATCGCAAACATATTTCTTCAAAATTATTACCTTCTAGTTCGTATTTTATTCAAATCGAGTACAAAAATCAGTGCTTTTAATGGATTATTGTATGTAAGAGTGTATAGTTAAAAAATATCAACATGATTATAGAAAATCCAGATGCTTTCAAGTCTTGGTTGACGTCCATATTGGATCCACTGTGAGTACAACTTTCTCAGCCATATTTTTTTACTGTTTACTTAGTTTTGCAGAGGGTTACTGTAGTGCATAAAAACGTGGTATTTCACTTTGACTTTAATAATTTTATTAATCTTTTTTTTTAATATTGCGGTTTTTGTTAATTTGCAATGATGGTATCACGTTTCCATTATGTCAATGTCACTGATAATGGTATTTTCACTCACATTCCTTTTGGCAATTAATTTCAATATGCAAGGCATGCCTACAAATTTTCGGTTTTTCGTTACTTACTTTCCATTGAACATTTTTGGTGCATTTCTTAAAGGGTGTTATTTTCTATTGCTGGTAATAGTATCATACATTTCACCATCAAATTAGCCTTAAAAGCGGGCTGTAGATAGTCACTCAACATAAACACACATTCATTTTACTCAATCAAAAACCAGAGATAATGATTTTGATTTTTCTCAATCCTATCTCAATAAAGGCCTATTGCCTGCCTACTGTCTTTTAAATATCTTGAAATAGCCTTATCCTTTTATAGATTTCGGTTTGTTGCTTTTTGTTTACCTTTCACGTGCTATAAAGCTAAAACGTAAAAACGTTAAGCAGATATCTTTCAACATGTATTATGGTAAGGAATTTCATTGGATCCTCACCTCGACACAGGCCTGTGTATTAGCTACGGACTCCCCAAAAGGAGTGAATTTGTGAATTATGCTTGTATTTAATGTCGTATTGGTAACAAATACTTTCCTGCATCACCTGGGTATAAGTCGCAGCACAAAACTAGCCCTGACAGTTATTGCGCAGAAGTAAAAATTAAGATGTCTTGGGGGGAAATGAGGGCGTGCGTTGCGCGGATTGGCCCTCCCATTTGATCCCCATGTGTAGCTATCCCCTCTTCTTTTTGTTCAGCACTAGAGTTATGTTCCACGACCTGTAACATGGTTAGGTTAGGTTAGGTCCCTAATGCTTACTAATGTTATGTGCTATTGCCCATACACAGTTAATCATGGATACATTGTGGTAAAAACAGTATTAAAAGACACAGTGAAATTTTTTCTAGATAATTCTATATTCAACATGAGTTAAGTTACATACTATCTCATAGGATCCACAATATTTTGGTTCAGCAGATGCTGAACTGGCTATTTCTGTTGAACACGAAACCATATGGTGAAGATAAACCTGCCATATTTATCCTATTACCTCATACCAAGTGTAACAAACAGTAGCCAAGGTGGGTGGTGACTAAATATAGACTGTGTACACATATAAACAAAGACACTAATCCAGTGGAGGTGATGTATAAATAGTTGGACTAGTGACTTAATTATGAATACAGATGTATACTCCCACTAGTGTAAGAAGTTTCAAGGGTCTGTATCAAAAATTTATGTTTACGGTTGAGCAATAATTTAGAAAATACGAAAAGATTTTTAATATTTCGGCTACAAAACTGTGTAGCTAATAACTTTTTCTCAATATTTAGCTAGGGACCATCTAAACTAAAAATGCTAGGTGGGCCGATACATGTGTCTGGAAGTGTCAATCACAAGGGCTTATAAAGCCACTTATTATGTACAATAATCTCAAACCTCACATGCACTTGAGGATTCAAAACGAAGATTGAAAAACAAACTGTGTATGTTGATTTTTGTCAAAATTTTATTAAAGAGCAAATTTTTGAAAGATTTCCTTTTTTTATTATTATAACCCTCAATCCCCTGATGGGCTATGGGTAATCCCCTACATATACTATCCTGTAGCTGATTTTGTTAAAGTAATAAAAATGCAATAAAGTTTAAAAAAGAATATAGAATAGATAAAGAAATTTTTTTATCTAAAAATATGTAAAGTACTCTTGAGGTTATGATACTTATTGTGTTGTGTTTTCAATAATACACCAAAATTCATAATTGCTTTTTTGAGCTTTAGAGAGAGATACAGAGATTAGGTATTAAAAGTTTCATCTTTACCCACATTAAATCTTATTTTACAACAAGACAACCAGTTGGCACTACCTACATAATATATAAAGATATAAATAATTATTTCTTGCTGTCTGAAAATTAATACTTAACAACAGCACATATCTAAAGACTTACTTCTAAAGCTATAAGTATTTTCCATTGATATATATCTCTGTAATAAAAAACCCTACAGTCACCCTCACACCTATGACAATAGATGATCCACTTCAAAAACTTTGACTATATGTAAATCCTTCCAAAATCCACTAAAAGTTGAATGTTGTCTACTGTAAACATATCTATCCATATTAATTCTACCATAAAGGAAGATTTTCCAACAATGTACAGAGACATACAAGAAGAGGCTTATTGATCACCTGAATGACCTAGCTAAGCTAGCCAGCTAATAAAAACAAAAAGAAAGATACAGTTGAAACGCCATGTAATACTAGAAACCGACTAGACTTAGTCAGATATCTCCAATGGGAGATACACTTATGAAAAACACTACTTCACACATCAAATTTGCTTGTACTCTATGACTGATTGCAGATCATTATAATACAAAAGAAATATATATGTTATAGGTATGTACTATTATTTATCACTATGCTTTAATGAAATGTAAGGGAAAGCTTATCTAATACTAACAAGTTTTGCTTTATTTCTACTCCAGTGTAGCAGATACTGTAGCCACCCGTGATGCACATTAAATCCAGCTAAATAAAACCTCTCACAAAAATTTGACTCATTATGTGTTCTAAAGATTGTTTCTGAACCTTATACAGAAATGTATCAATGTGGGAGACTTAAAGAACTCCCAAGAATTAAAAATAGACATGAAGTCCCACAGCAAGTTGCATTTATTTTCTTGTTTAGATTGGAATCCTCCCTTGGGTCCTCTTAGATTTATTTTTACACCTGTATAGTTATTTATCAATAATCTATTAATTCATTTTATTTATTTATTTTTGTTCAGTTTGTCATGTCGATTTTATTAGAATAATGTTACTTAAATGTAACTTTTTTTTGTAATTGGACTCTATAATGTTTTAATATACTACACTCATCAAAAAGTTTAAGCAACATGCATCATCCATTATATTATTGATATGAAATATATAATTTATTTAAAGGGTCTTTGCTTGAAACACAAATAAATCAAATTACTTAATGGAAAGAAAAGTTTTACTACAACAAGAAGTAGTAATTATAGTTATGTTTTAAAAAATAATAAAAACATAACTATAATTACTATTTCTTCTTTCAAATGTTTAATACTTGAAAAAGTATTCATTTGACATTGTGGGTTACCTACAATGCGAAGAGATGGCGCTGCCTTGCAGCTTAAGGCTAGGAAAATTTCGACGCGGCCATCAGAGAGCATAATTGGTCAGTGCATTCGCCCGGATTGCGAAGGGTGCGGGTTCGAGTCCCGTCCGCTGCCGGGGCGCGTGAATTTTTTTTTCTAGTAAAACTTTTAAACATCTAGCAGTTAAATGCTTAAAAAAAAACTTAGCCTCTCGTGCGCCGCGAAACCGACTCTCGGTTTCTGTCATTTTTCACATTTGCGCTGCGCGACCGACTTTCGGTTTCGCGCGTACCCACCTAATCTGTAGCAAATATTACAACCATTTTGTTTTGCTAGCACCTTCATTCTTATATCAATTTTTAGAGGAAAAAACGGGCTAGCTATCTAGCCATTCATAAAAACAAGTGCCATATGAAATATTTATACTGTTATCTGTCAAAGTTCGTCGTTCGCCGTTTTTTGTCTGAAAAAAAATATGCCGTGTATTCAGACTATTTTAAGTGCTTTTGAGTGGTTTTAAAGAAAAAAACACCATGCCTGGTTAAGTTAAATACATTTAGTTACTCTATTTTGATGTTTCGTTTGCGGGTCTCCGTGAATTTTTTTTTTTAGAATTTTTTTGCAGACGCGGTCGCAAAAAAAATCAGCGAAAACTTAGGGGTACTTACCCTATGTTTTCATTTGATAATTTCGATAATAATTGTAATGTTTTAATTTTTAATTATTGAATAAATTATTCATGATTAATACTTCGAATACAAAGAATCCCTTGAGTTCGTATTTTTGAAGAAATAAAAAAAAAACAAAATCCGCGCGGTGGAACGGTCGTTCGAAATTCAAATACACGAACGAAATATTTTTTTATATTATTTTCTTGTATGTGAACTAGTAATTAGTTTTTGTTTATTCTAAAGCAAATTTCGCGTACATTTTGATAAAAAAAACTGTTTATCAAAATTGAAAATACTTTTCGTTTTATAGACATAATACTGAGATGACTGATTTGTAGGCGATTTTTAAATGCCTCGTTGTAAGTTCTTAAACCTAAAAAATATACAAACGTTATTCAAAACAATCTTGGTTCTAATGTTATCTTAACACTCGGAGCTCATGGAGTAATAAATTACAGCCATTCAAACGCCCGGCCAAATCCTTATCGACCCACTTGAAATTTGATCTGTTTATACTTCGCGGTTTGTTTACATTAACGGCGCGCGCGCGCAATGTGACGAGCTGTAGGTATAATTAAATTGTGCGAGTATAGTATTTTATGTGTTTATTTGGTAAGTTATAATAGAATGTGCAAATAACCAAAAAATCTGGAAATAAAATTTTGAAAATATACTCCATTTTACCCATCTAAACGCCTTTTTTTTATCTTTCCCGAGTTTACCGTAACGTAATTAAAATAGATTATAGACATGAAGCATTGTGTGGACACTATCTTATAGGAAATTTTATGGAGAATGCAAATATATATAGTTTGCGTAGGGTATTCTTACAAAATAACAGAGAAATCGGCAAAACAATGCAATCGTTCCCAACCCGCGCGGGGCCCCATGAAGGTGGCCGGCGCAAATCAGGTGAAGGGCGTGTGCGCTAAGGCCGCCGAGAGGATAACTACTAAATGGAATATAAATATTAAAAATCAGTCTAACTTCTTGTTGCTTATACTATTTTAATGAGTTTATTCAGCCACAAGAACATTTTGTTTGCATAACATGACTGATTGATAACAGGTGGTTTACAAAATAATCACACATCCACTATTTGCTACCAATTATTGTAATTCTTATCTAACATAACAAGCTGAAAGGCATAATTCATTATGTACCTACTGCACTATCAGTTAATGATAAAATGAATACCGAAAATAAATAACACTGTTAAGAAAGTTGGCTATCAGTCATAAATAAAAAATTGAATGAGGAAAAAAATAAAAAATTATAAATATGGAGAGATCAAAAAAATATTGAATTTAAATAAAAATCCTGAGGCGTCAGACCTACCCCAATAGCTTCACTGAAAGGCCATTGGACTATTAATCGCAAAGGGTGGTTAAAATAAGATCAAGATTGTAATCAGTACACCGTAGGGGATCTCAAGTAGGCATTTTGGAATTTACTCGAGCGCTGCACAGTAACATAAAGACCTACCATACCTGAGCCCTTTATATAGGGTCGAACGTCTATGGCAGCAGCAAAAAAATTCAACAATCAGCCATGACTTTTCGTCATGTCCATATTGTCAGTCTCTTGAAAAGGAGCTACTGGAGGATTCGCAAAACTTGTGATGATGGAAAAATATTAATCTTATTAATTGTTGGCTTGCCCATTTCTTTTATACTTCTTAAACTGGTCTCTCAAATAGTATGTCTGAAAGATCCAATATGTATATTAAGCCTTCAAAAAAAACTAAATCGGCAAATTACTAAATTTATAAATTAAAAACCATGCTAAAAGCTCATCATTCAGACATTCAGTTATATCCAGCTCCTGTAATTATACCGTTTTTGTAGTGTATAATTAGTGTATTTAGCAAGTAAGCAATATTGATTTATATTAAGTAACGCGCGTGAATCGCGACGGCATTAACAATTAAGACATAGATAAAACTAGTTTTTACGGGTTAATGCACGAAACTTTATTTATTTATTGACGTTTCGTAGCCTTTACAGGCTTCGTCGTCAGAATAAAACTTTTATTTAATTTGTCGAGCTACCTTCGAAAGATTTTATTGATAAAATAAAAGTCTTTCGAAGGTAGCTCGACAAATTAATTAACTTTTATTTAATTTGTCGAGCTACCTTCGAAAGACTTTTGTAAATTGATAAAAAAAAAGTGACGACGAAGCCTGTAAAGGCTACGAAACTTCAATAAATAAATAAAGTTTCGTGCATTAACCCGTAAAAACTAGTTTTATTTAATGAGTGATGTGCGTGAAATCCTAAGAAACAAATAAATTAAGACATAGAATAGTAAATATGTAATCTAAAAGGAATAGTTTTATTAGTTTAATAACTGTTACAATCAACGGCTCCTACGACAACCGTGGATCGCGACTCACGCGCGTTACTTATTATAAATCAATATTGCTTACTTGCTAAATACTCTAATTATACACTACATTTTGTTCGCCAGCCTCCGAGCTTCGAGTTCCTCAATTGTGAAATTGACATAAACCATTGTCAGTTATCATTATTGGTGTTTACGCATAGATAATTAATATCCTAATGGCGTAAGTTCAAAGATTTGCATAACCTGAAGTGTTGCTGATTGTACATTTGATAAAAAACCGAACGCTGTGATGTAATCTGTTCTACTCGTGTTTGTAATAACACACAAACACTTGCTAAGTTTATTGCGACGAACACTATGGGTACACTACGTTTTTTAATATTATGTAATGAATGTGATAAGATTAGGTTTGTTTAAAAATACTTTGTTTTACTTACACAAGAAAATTTAAAATGTGTTTACGTAAACGATTGTGGATACTTGATGAATCGATGGAGCTCGATGGCGCGGGTAGTTAGCGCGTTCGGCTGCGATTGTTGAAGTTAAGCAACTTTCGCAGTGGTCGGTCATTGGATGGGTGACCAAAAATTACTATCTCGAGCTCCTCCGTGCTTCGGAAGGCACGTTAAGCCGTTGGCCCCGGCTGCATCTGCAGTCGTTAGCACCCACCAATCTCCCTATTCCATCCATACTGAAGGCCTGTGCCCCAGCAGTGGGGACATTAATAGCCTGATGATGACTTAATGAATACAAATCTTTAAGAATGTAGTATTTTTATAGAGCAAGCCATGCTTAAAAGAGAGGTAAACCTTTATAGGAAAAACTTAGCCAAATTTCTGACACTGGCGCTATTGTCACGGGAACTGCTGCCGACAAACTGCATTGTAGTTTGGCAGAAATATAGATATTAAGTGTTTTTCTTTGTGGAAAATAAATAAAAAAAAAGGGGCAATAAACACAATAATAAGAAAATAATAAAATAAATATTATAATAGCCTTGCCAGTTTGTTATATTTTCACATTAAACGTTGACCCAATCTTGAAGTTTTGTATGATGACCAGTACCCATAGCAACAAACCCAAATCGAATTTGTAACGTTTGCGAGTCCGAAATGTCATTGTCAAATATGTACTGATTTTTAGTTCTCGTTACGGACGTTGTGATGCTGCTGTTCAAGTTTCCATACAAAATTTGACAGTGACATTTCTCACTCGCAAACGATACGAATTCGATATTGGTTCGTGCTAAGTGTACAGGCCAATGATGTGGATTGGTCCTTTCCACCACGTTTGGCCAGTGCTATTTGGAAGGTACTAACTAATACATGTAGTGCTCAGTGGGCAGGCCCCAGGCAGAGAAGGTGGCCCGACGATCTTGTGAAGGTCGCGGGAAGCCGATGGATGCGAGAGGCGCAGGACCGATCGGTGTGGAGATCCTTGGGGGAGGCCTATGCTCAGCAGTGGGCGTCATACGGCTGACATGATGATGAACACATGGAGACAGAGCGAACGTCCGTTTCTACGTCACAACCACTCTGTCGCGTTTCAGATATAATAATAATAATAAATATTTCCAACACTCACACCAATTAGCCTAGCCCCAAAGTAAGCACTGTAAGGCTTGTGTCATGGGATGCTAGGTTAACGGATAGAATACATATACTGTACATATATAAGTATATTTATATAGAAATACATATTAAACATCCATGACTGGAGTACAAATGCTCGTATTCATCACACAAACATCTGCCCCCACCGGGATTTGAACCCGCGACCTCTCGAGTCGGCGACACCATGAAACCCGGCGTATAAACCATTCGACCACGGAGGGCGTCAATGTATGCATGTCCCACAAGTTTTCAATAACACTGAATTTTCCCTATTTAAAGATGGATTTTGTTTCCAGTTGCGACGCGGACCCCGCGGCGTTGGCCAAATATGTTTACGCTTTGGTCAAGAAGGACAAGCCCCTCGATGAGCTGCGGGAGGGTATGCTGGACCAATTGGACGTGTTCCTACAGCATGGTAAGTGCTATCTGATAATATCCAATGTCTTTGTTATAATCTACTCGTCTGGGGTATTACCTTTTGGCGGTGTTATATTTCTGTCGGTATGGAAGGCTCCAGGGCTCCACGGCTTAGGAGATGGGGGTCGGGGAAGTCAACAACACGACGCCCATATTTTGCGTGGGGATTAGCGTCAGTCTTGCCTTTCCAGCTCCTCCAGAAAGGTCGGTGGTCTGATTAACTTACGTGATAGCTGTAGGTTTACCTTAGGAACGGCTTCTCTAGCTTGCCTGCAGTCCGTGAGTTTTGCACAGTATTCGTCGTGTTGTCGTTGACAGCGCTTCCTTATCCAGGTTCTCAGCTGTCGATAAGGTATGGGTACAATCCGGCGGCTGGCTCCGGGCCAATGTCCGTCCTGCTGGACCCTTCTAAGCAGCTTTTTCCCTAGCTAAGCAGTCCGCCGTACCGTTGCCCCTTGAGCCGCTGTGTCCCTTAATCCATTGTAGGGTCAGCCTATTGTCGTTACAAATATTAGTCAACTTACAGTGGCATTCATAAATTAAGCCTGATGTCATTATATTGTTGTCCAGTGCCTGTAGGACGAAAGCGCTGTCAGAGAGAATACAATCACAATCAATCAATCAATTTATTTGTTCTTATATGAGTACATAATTTGGTGTTACTTAATTATAATGTCCATTCATATTTTACCCTATATGGGTGTGAAACAAATTAGGTACCGTATATCTACAAAATCCATAATTGTCACATATCAATAATTGTACTAAAAATAGATTAAAATTGTTATAAAATCAAACACTTAATAAATTGTCAGATTAAATAGAAATTGTTCATGTCACTTAAAAAAAAACATTAAATATATAACATTAAATTAAAATAAATTCAAATAGAGCTTAAAAAGATATTAAATAATATTGGTAACAAGAATCAATAATTTAAATCACATTTCATTTCATTGTATTGTCACTTGAAAATTCATTTATGCAATAATAACATATTTTGTCAATCAAAATTTTACACCGTCTACTTTTAAAAATAGTCAAATCTAATTGTTTCAATTAATTTGGAATCTTATTGTAAATACGAGGCGCTAGATGCAGTACGCTTTTTTGGAAGAGGGCTGTTTTACATTGTGGTATTCTTAGCTTATTAACGTATTGACCCCGCGGGGGGTTTCTTTGAAAGTCTAGCTTTAGAAATAATTTTTTGTTTGCTTTCACGAATGCTGCTATCTCCATGATGTAAATACAAGGTACTGTTAATATTTTGAGTGATTTAAATTAAGGCGTATAGCTATCCCTGATATTAAGTCTACACATTGCTCTAATTCATTTTTTCTGAGCTCTAAAAATGTCGTCACGATCAGTGCAATTGCCCCAGAAGAATACTCTTTATCTTAGCACAGATCCAACTAATCTATGATAAGCAGATAGAACTGCATGCCTGTTTACTATTTTTGTCCCCTCTTGTTGTCCACTCTTTTTTTTTTATAGATAGGTCCGACAAATGACTCCATCCCACCTGATGTTAAGTGGAGGTGAAGTCCAGACGCGAAGATAGCTGATACAGCACCAGCCATCCTCACCCTGCCGGCCTGCATGTTGCTTCTTCACGCCTCTTTTAAAGGATCCCAGGTTGTAAGAGGGAGGGAACACGTGAGCGGGCAGAGCATTCCATTTACGGATAGTACGACAAAGAAATGAGTCACCAAATTTCTTCGTACGCGTTGGAATTGTAGCCACTATGGCCTCTGCGGCTCTAATGATGCCCACACACACTGCCTGGAAGACTGTGTTATATAGGCTTCTAATGCTGTTGAAATGTGTATATTTAGGTCTGACAGACAACCGAATCTGTCCCACAGTTGGTTTTTGATCCGTCTGTGAAGACCCTCATCTCCTTATGCAGAGAACGATCCGGGGTATCTTCATAAAGGGTGGGTCAGGGCACGGTAATATTATCTATACAGTATTCTATCTTCATAGAAACGGTCGGAAAGCATGTCATACCTACGCCACTCGAGTTCGCGCGGCACCCGTTGGGCATCCAGTCGCGAATGCGCGCCGCAGCGACGACCGAACGGTGGCAATTGTTTTTTAAGCAGTTAGCCGTGCTTAAACGTTTGTATTGTGAATATTTGATTGAATGAAGTAGATACCTTCATAATTTAATATGGCAAAGAGCAATAGTCGATATTGTGCTAGTTTTGGTTGCTTGACCTCTTCAATAATTATACTTTTTATACGAATGCGTATGTATTATACTATTAAATTTATCAATAAAGCTTTTCGTACGTCTCAGTCCAGGCGTAAATATTTTTGTGTCTCAAATCTACATTTTTTTTTTATTAAATATTACACTTAAAATAACATGTATTTTATGTAACACTTCCTAATTCATTCACATCATTTTTTTTACAATTGAAATAAAATATTTACACTAAACTAGAAAGAAACTCAATTACGTAGATGAAATTAAAATACTGTAGGCGGGCAGCCCTACCGTGTGGATACGCCCCGCCGTAGCCGTAGGCATTTATTTCAAGGACAGGGCCGAGTCACAATACTGTATAGATAATATTACCGTGGTCAGGGTACACAAAGTCAGTAGAAGGCTGCTGACTGCTTTCTACTGAATTGGTCTGCTACTTGTTTTGTATTCGTACAGAAACTAAACCGTTCGTGGACATGCTGTTCAAATCGCTGGAGAGCCAGGAGTACCTCCAGGCGCAGGGGGTTGAGAAGCAGCCGTCCCCGCCCCCGGAGCCTGCGCTCGCGCCCGCGCCCGACAAGGAACCGGAGACCAACAATCATGGTGAGATAAAATATCAAAATACTCATCAAAAGAGCCCTAATTTTATGTTATTTAAGAAAAGAAGTTTCACTTCAGATCTGTGGTCTGTTCACACTTTTTTGTATTGTTTATGTTCGCTGTCTGTATTGTCAATAATTTGAAGTTCTCCCACAATCTTCGCTCTCACACACACACCCTTTTTTATTATAACATTAAAAATGGGAGATTTTTTACTCAAACCCTGTCTTGACGATAACGAAACACAATAAAAAAATAAAAGAAAGAAAGAAGGACATACATACTTTTGGACGATTCCTTTTTGTCTGGTTGAATCTAATGGGGTCTAATCTCTTACTCCAAAACGAACTTTCGAGAGAGAAACGAGAGAGAGAGAGAGAGAGAGAGAGAGAGAGAGAACCATTTTATTGACCATTAATTAATTTTGTATGGAAATTTGAACATTAGCGCCACAAAGTACGTAACTAGAACTGAAAATTAGAACATATTTGACAATGACATTTCGTACTCGCATTCGATACGAATTCGATATTGGTTCGTGCTAAGGGTACAGGACTCTGTCAATCACGACAACGCTGGTATTCTCACAGGGCCTGTAGCAGTGAAATACTTAATAAAATAAAAATATAAGTAGATGACGATCTCCGTGGCCGAGTGGTTTGTACGCCGGGTTTCATGGCGTCGCCGACTCGAGAGGTCCCGGGTTCGAATCCCGGTGGGGCCAGATATTTGTGTGATGAACACGAGCATTTGTACTCCAGTCATGGATGTTTAAATATGTATTTCTATATAAATATACTTACATATGTAAAGTATGTGTATTCTATCCGTTATCCTAGTATCCCATAACACAAGCCTTATAGTGCTTACTTTGGGGCTAGGCTAATTGGTGTGAGTGTTGGAAATATTTATTTATTTTATAAGAAACAAATCGTTTCTCTCCGTCCCTCGTACAGTGCCCGCGGCGCCCGCCCCAGAGGTGACCAATGGCGAGGAGGTCCGCCCGCCCCGACACCGCGTGGTGATGTCCCGGGCGCCGCCCCGCCTCACCGCGCCGCCCCCGCCCCCGCCCTACATCACCCAGCCTACCAATAGGGCGCCGCCCAATGAACAGACGCTCGTCAAGGTGAGATAACTGTTAACTTTTTATGAATATACACTTCTGGACACATCTATTGGCCCACCTTAGAGTTTAGGTTTCGATGGCCCCTACCGAAATATGATTGCTAGATTGAACAAAAACTGTTGATGCAGTTTTAAACCTGATACATTTCACCATCTTTTTCGATCGTATTGTTTTAAATTTGAATTCAGAATACCATACGACATGGAGCTACGCCTAACAAGTCGGATATGCGCCTTGTTAAAGGCAATTGATTTTTGAATAAAAAACATGTTTTATGATCATCTCCCATTCCTCTTCTATGGCAGTATTCAACTCCTGCATCGTCTGGGTAACTGGCTGACGAGCCCTAACACGTCTTTTTAGCTCGTCCCACATGTGCTCAATGGGGTTCATGTCTGGGCTTCTGGCTGGCCAGTCCATAACTGTGATGTTCACATCCCGAAGATATTCCCTGACGATGCCGGCCGCATGGGCTCTTGCATTATCATGCATAAAAAGGAAATTTGGGCCCACATAGTCCGCGTACCATCACGTGAGGTTCTAAGCACTCACGAATGTACCTTTCAGCATTTAATGTTGGCAGCCGTGGTCCTGTAACAACCTCAAGTTGAGTTTTGCCGCTCGCGGATATACCGCCCCAGACAGTCCATGAGCCACCGCCATAAGCAACCCTGTCTTCAAAGCCGCATTGTGCGAAACGCTCTCCCTTACGTCGGTAGACCTTCTTCCTTCCATCATTACCATGTAACACAATTTTAGACCCATCTGAAAAGAGTACACGACTCCAATCTTGCTGTGTCCAATTTAAATGACTGCGTGCGAAATGAAGCCGCGCTGTTCGGTGGGCTCGCGTTATTTTGGGCCCATTAGCTGGCTTGTGTGGTACCATATCGCGTTCTTTTAACCTTCTCCGAACAGTTCGAGCGCTCACAGATACTCCGTGGAAGTCGCGAATTTGTTTTTGTATCTCAATGGAGAAAAGGTGACGATTTCTCAAGCTGGTCGTCACGATGAATCGATCCTGCCTTTCAGTTGTGACCCGAGATCATGGCCTTCCTTGGCGACGAACAAAGCCGCCAGTCTCTAGGTACCTCCGATAAACATTTCGGACCGCAGATCGACTTAAATTAAGTTGAGCACTCACGTTTCTTTGGCTGTGTCCGGCCTGAATATGTGCCACAGCTTGGGCGGCGACTTCAGGTGAAGTATCCATAGATTATTGATAGAATCTCACCTTAATGTTACGAATAAGTAATGTTTGTTGCAAAACCAAAGATATCAATCACTTTTTCAAGAATTAAATCCAAGTAAACCAATAAAACCAAGTTTTCTTAGTATTCGATTAATATCAAATCAACAAACAGGCTCCAAATTGTCTTTTGTTTCTTTAAATTCTGTGTTCGAAATTCAAAAAAAGACTATTGAATGAAATTGTGAATGTACCATGAACCTGGTAAAAACTGCATAAAAAAAAACTTTTTGCTGGACCTAATATAAAATTTTAGCAAGGACCAAACGAAACTGAAAATACAAGGTGGGCCAATAGATGTGTCCAGAAGTGTATTTATGATATGATAATATAACAACTTGATAAAAGTAAACAAAAACCTCCGTGATCGAGTGGTTTGTACGCCGGGTTTCAGTGTTTAGTGTCGCCTACTCGAGAGGTCCCGGGTTCGAATCCCCGTGGGGGCAGATGTGTGTGTGATGAATACGAGCATTTGTACTCCAGTCATGTTTAATATTTATTTTTATATAAATGTAATTATATATGTACTGTATATATATTCTATCCGTTACCCCAGAATCCCATAACCCAAGCCTTACAGTGATTACTTTGGGGCTAGGCTAATTGGTGTGAGTTTTGGAAATATTTATTCTTATTTAAAAAGTTAATTTTAATATATTCAAGAAAATACAATGAAAGAAATCAGAAAGAAAGTCTGTACCCTTAGTATGAGTTTTACAATTACGAAAACTATGATAGTTTTCGTGAGCTCGCACTCGTACTAAGGGTACTGATTTTATTGTTTTCGTTTCAATACAAATAAACAGTGTTTAAATTATATCATTAAATCATTTGCGACTTCTTAAATTTGAAGTATATTTATTTTACTTTCCACCAAAATGGACATAGAAACATAATTTACAATTACGAAAACTATGATAGTTAAAGTTGAGAATGCAGATTTATAAAGCTAAAGTTTCCATAAAATACTGTCATTAATTTTTTGTTCTACGACAAATATTGATGAAGTTATGACAAATAACTAAACGGAGTTTCAGCTGGCCGCGTGTTGGCTGTGACGTCACAGAGCTCTAGCGCTCGGGCGCGAGCGTAGAGACGCTAAAAAAGTTCGACCGAAGTGAACCACGATTGAGCTCTGTGACGTCACACGTTTCGGCCGCCGGTGAATCTTGGCTGGCATAAAATTTCGATGATTTAAAAAGTATATTAATTAAAAAGCTGATTTTGAGTTGATTTGCTGACCTAGTAATGATCCTCATTATCAATATAAAATGTATGATTTATTCGAACGTTTTCTCAAATTAAGTCACTAATAAATAGATTGGTCAATAATATCATCATAATCATCAGCCTATTAGCGTCGATACTGCTGGGGCACAGGCCTTCCCTATGGGGATGGAATAGGGAGATTGGGCCGTGACCTAACACGCGGGTCCAGTGCGGAAGGGTGGGTGCTAACGACTGCAGATGCAACCGACGGCTTAACGTGCCTTCCGAAGCACAGAGATCGAGATAGTCAATTTTTGGTCACCCATCTAATGACCGACCAATGCGAAAGTTGCTTAACTTCAACGATCGCAGCCGAACGCCAGCGCTAACAATTTCGCCATCGAGCTCCTCGTTAATAATTTATTATTAACAAAATAATATAAATACTAAAAATCGGTCAAATCGGTTCATGTTGCTTATATGATGACTTGAGTATTCATGTTCTGGTCAAATCTTGGAATTTTTAAATCCACAGATTGATTATATTTTGAAACACGTTTAGTTTGGATGACAATGCAAGGTTATATAAGTTATTTACGGGATTGTTACCATGTACCTTGTTTTTAGCGAGTTTCCGATATTTCGGCACTGTTGCAAGCGCCATGATCACGGAGTAACTGAAGTAATTGCGGGTAGGCTGTTATTGGCAGACATATCGGTCTACCCTCCGACGAAGTCTTTTATTGCGTTCGATACCCGTACCACTGTTCACATTCTCAGTATTCACTCGAAACTGTTCTCGACACACAACACTTACAGTATCGGATCGCGACACGACACTTTTTTGATTATTTCCGGTTACACATACGAACCACAGGATTCCAGACATTATTTATATTACTGTTATGTAAGTGACCATGAAAGTTTAAAACAATATAATGCAAGGTTAGCTGAGTGACGTCATTCTTAATCCAATATGGCGGCCCAGTATTATTTTTTGCACTTCTCTGATATGTGTATCAAATGAAAAAGTTTTTTGATATAAAATACTAATAAAAATAACGGCTGCGTTCAATTATAATTTAAATAAAAGCTTGTTTTAAAAAATATATATAAATTTATTTAAAAAAAATATTGAATATTTTGTGTTTAATACGATATCAGATAAACAAGTTCTATTTATTCTACAGAGATAATTTATTTTTTTATTTAATTTGTAACAATTTCCAACAGGTATTACCAACAGAGTTATTGGAAGAACAGGTGGACCAACTGCCCAGAAGGAGGGACAGACGTGCAGACTCGGTATGTATATACGTATTCTGTCCGTTACCCTAGCATCCCACAACAGAAGCCTTACAGTGCTTACTTTGGGGCTAGGCTGATTGGTGTGAGTGTGGGAAATATTTATTGATAGTAGCTGACTCAGCGAACTTCTTCTTGCGAAAATAATATTGCGACTATAAATTGAGATGTAAGCTATCCTATCTTTCAAGTTGGATCAAACTGCACACGGTGTGCAAATTTGATTAAAATCTGTTAAGTAGTATAGGACTCCATCCCGGACAAACAACGTGACGCGTAATTTATATACAGGGTATAAAAAATCCTTTAGCGAAGTCGAAGGCTACGTATTTTCCACATCATGACGATATTTTTTTTCTTCTGCACCATACCTGGGAAATTTATGGTTATGGAGATATTGTAGGTCAAAGTCACATATTTTTTTTTCATGTTTTTACAATAATATTTTCAAAACGTTATTGAAGTTATACTTCTTTAGCCGCGTTATGAAAAAATTATGAGAGTGAAATTTTAAGATGCGCGCGCATCACTGTAACACAAAAGTAACATAATGAAGTTAGCCGCGGGCGCGTTATGAAAAAATGATGAGAGTGAAATTTTAAGATGCGCGCGCATCACTGTAACACAATAGTAACACCATGAAGATGGCCGCGGGCGCGTTATGAATGTTAGTGTCTAATAATGGACCATTATTAGACATCTGTTCGAAAGGTACTTTGAACGATCCACTGAGCTCCATAAGATGATCGCGTTGTCAAAAACAATGTTGGCACGCTCGTCGCCTCTGATCACTGTTTTCATATTTATAATATTTATCCACATGTTTCTAGTTTCTATATAGACACAACGTGTTTTAGTTACTTACAAGTGCTAATTACATATGGACTAATAACTTAAATTCAGTAGTGATTTTAATTGAATATTTTGAATATTTATTTAATTTTTCAAATTAAAACTGAACTTAATTGACTGTATTAACTATCCTTTTCCAGTCCTTTTATTATTTTATTGTAATTATTAATCATTTGCATGCAATTAAAAAATATTTTTAATGATGCTAAAGACGTATAACTTCTCACGCGCGTACATAAGTTACACGCATCCATTTTTTAGAAACTTTTTTATCGACGCACTTACAGACACGCACATGTATGTGTATACACACAGGCGCATTATTTGCGCAGCGCCACAGTAGCGCGCCGCGCTTTACATTGCGTACTGAAAAAAAGATGGTATTTTTTTAACTTAAAAATACGAATGATTCCCACGTATAATATTTTGTAATACTACTTGTTTTGGTGTACAGAATCAACGATATTCAATACCCTAGATACCCCAACACAAACAAAATCATTCCCGAAACCTGTCCACAAGGTCCATTGGACGATCCATGGAGCTTCGTAAGATGATCGCGTAATTTAAACAATATAAGGCAATATTTAAACATTGAAAATCACCTTATACTGTATAAGGTCTTTATTAAAACGCACGCGTTAAAGAGTTAAGTCATTCCGAAATGTAAACTCGGTAAAATTTTTAGACTTATCACTATATGCGGAAGAATATAGACCTTATTTCTTTGACTCTACGCGCAATTCTGAATGCGCTTTTAGCAATATTGAAGGTACGGTCCGCGAGGAAAAGAGATGGCTATATTACCGACCATGCATTTGAATATTACAAATATTTTCTATTAAATCAGTTTATAGTAAGTAATAATACAAAATTTACTTCAAATGCGTTAAATTAACAAACATTGATTTTAGATACCTGTCGAAAAAACGACATTTTACATACTATAAGTATTTTTTTCGCCTTTTTTCACGGAGCTCAGCGGCAAGTTGACTTCAACGGTCCGCGCATGACTGTGAATCAAGAAGTGCTTGAGTCGAGTTCAAGCACTTCTTGATTTTGAGCGCACGTGGTGTATCTAGGGTATTTAATATCGTTGGTACAGAATGCGTAGTTTTAGTCTTTGTCATAGGATTTTTTACACCTGTATATTAAGATTTATATTTAAAGGAAGTTGTTAGTATGATGTTAAATGTTTCTCTCGTTCTCCCGTATAGCTCGGTGATAAAGAAGATAGGCGTCGTCGCCGCTCTCGCTCGTGGGAACGACGACGAGTGCGAGCGAGACGGCATCCTCGCGACAACGACGACCCACGGAGGTAAGAATATAATTCTCAGGTTTATATTTGTTTCTTTGGTTTTGACGCACATCACTAATTAAATAAATCAAGTTTCAACGGGTTAGATGCAAAGTACCCTTAGTACGAGTTTGAGCTCACGAAAACTATCATAGTTTTCGTAATTGTAAATTATGTTTCTATGTCCATTTTGATGAAAAGTAATAGTCGGAGAGCTGGCAACGAAAACGTGAACTGATAAGGTGTAGTAAGTAACGAATAGAGTATTTGACAGTGTTAAAATAATGTGCCAATTGTTAGCATCTGTGTTTAGAATGAATATTGGCAGGGGTTTTTACTATTTTTACAAAAAAAATATTCATAATTTTACTATAAACTAACGAAAAAGATAATAGTTTTCTTATCTATTGTCACGTGACCCAAAACGCTTGGGATTGGCGGAGCCTAAAATGACGGCACACGCAAGTAAACTTCCGGTTAGTGACATTACATTGTATCGTTTGACGTTTTAATAACAGTCGTGTGACGTCACACACTAGTAAGACGCCATATTGTCAAGAGAAACGTTTTCGCGGCAATTTCAAAATGGAGTTAATGATTTGGTTATTTTTACTGAAATACACAACAGCATGATGAATATCCACTTTTTTGTCCTGTCAAAAAGTCCGGACATTTTAGTCACAAAATGCAAACATGAGAATAAACATATTTTATTGATGTGTAACATCTTACCTCTCGCTTTCCTGCAATTTGTGGGAGTGATTTCGTGAAATGGGACGGAAGTGTGTAATAGGAAGTCGCGAAAGCGCGCGCTATTTGATTTGATTTTAGAACATAATGTTCAAATGGGTTTTTCCTGTTGTAGTAGGTTTTATTTCTTTTTTTATTAATTTAAGGTGAGGTTTCAAATGTAACTAGACTTGCAACGAATATTCGGTTACTATTCGGTATTCGGCCTTTTCGGCTGCTTTTATTTACAGAATACTTAAATAATATATTTTGTCATAGAGAAATAATTGGTAAGATGAAAAATGAAAATCGATTGATTACATATTTTCATGTCTGTTTATATAATCATTTAAGTAGTCATTGGTGTCAATTCTGACACGATTCTCTAAACCTAAACTTAAATTTAACATCAATCTCTCCTTTTCATTCCGTATAGAGAATGACAAGGATACACTGTTGTCAAATTTAAGTTTAGGTTTAGAGAATCACGCCAGAATCGACACCATTGTTACATAACACAGTACATAATCATCTTCTGAATTGGAAAAATGGAGGATTCTATGTATTTGAATTATTGTGGTAATCAAAATTTAGAGATTTAGAGAAGATCAAAATTAGAGGTTTTCATTTCTTTTATAATCATTTATTAACTAGTCATTGGTACATAAATTAATCATTTTGTGTTGGTTGGTTTTGCCATTTAGCCGCATTTTAGGCTGAGGACGGCAGATTAGAACAAAACAAAGGAGCGCGAAACAATCACGTCTGTACAAGTTTTTGGCGCTAAAATCCAGCCGAATACTTTTGCCTAATATTCGGCTATTCGGTCAGGGTCCTCTCCGAATATTCGGTATTCGGTATACTGCCGAATGTAGTATTCGTTGCAAGTCTAAATGTAACATATCATACGCGACTTCTGTAAGGCTCGCTCGTTTTTTTTTAATTATTTATTTATAATTTTGTGATTGTTAAGACGGCCGCTGTCCCGATCGCCTTCGCCCAGAGGTCGATACAGGAACAGAAGCCCGCCCCCTACGGCCGTCGACAGACCGAATACTAAATCAAGGTATATTATATTATAGGTACACTAGCAAACCAGTGAACCAAATGTTCACCAAAACCTGATTTAAAAAAAGAAGAAAATGTATTTAATTAATTGAGAACTTCGGAGATTTTGTGTGGTTTCGTTTGAAATTCGTGATTTCTCGAAAACCGGAAGTGCTACGTTACTCAAAGCCGGTTTGTAGTCTTATCAGACTATTCGTAACTTATAACTTAAACATTCTCTTTATCTATCTCTTACGGTTTGGCCGCTGAAACAGCACCACAGACGGACGGACTTGTCTAATAGATATGAGATTATGTACTTTTATATGTATATATGTGTGTGTATGTATTAAAAGCTATTTAATCATGTTTTTCTCATTGTTTGATGTTTGCTCATTTCTATGATTGTCTGCCGTTTTATTGACTCTGCATGTTCTTTCCGGTAGACTGGTAGAGAATGCAGCATGGCATTAAGTTCGTCATATGCAATGTAAAGGCATTAAAGATTAAATAAATATATATATATATATAGCACAATACTGCCCTGATGAGCTGAAAAGCGGTATCTCAATCAGAGTAAGGTTTTAGGAAATCGCCTTCTTGTAGCAATTTACTAAAACGCGATTATCTGAAACTTAAGTCAAAGTCAAAATATCTTTATTCAAATTGAGTGCAAAATATAACTCTTTTGAATCGTTCAAATTTTTTTCCCCACTAATAGTAACCTCAAATAATTATGTAAAAATATTTACAAAATATTATATTGTTACAGTGTCAATACAAAATCATTTCATCTTTATTATAATTGTAGAAAAAGCCTACCAAAAAACCTTACTCTGTTGAGATACCGCTTTTCGGCTTATTAGGCTGCCCTAATAAGCCGAAAAGCGGTATCTCAAAATTTAATATGAGTTTTTGCCGGGATTTCATGGAGTGCAATTGACGTTTCATTTTAATTATTCTTCAATTCGTTCATTGCGGATAATGTGTAATAAAATTGGTGTTTATTTGTGTTACAACCAACTGCGCAATTGAAGAATCAGCGGAATCTTTAAAATATACGCTAGAAGTTTCTGACCCGTTGAATTTGAATCTCCAATAATTTTCAATCAAAACCACCCAAAACAGTGTTAAAATTACTAAATTTATAAATTAAAAACCAGGTCAAAAGCTCACTGGAGGTAGGTATGTCATTCAGTTTTATACAGCTCCTGTAAAATTTTATTTTATGTAATAGGGATGATGACAAATTTTTTTTTCTTCGTTTATCAGGTAGATTATCAAAAAGTATTGGACACGTATTTTTTCTTTTTTCACATAATATAAACATTGCAGAGATATATTGATTTGAAAAGTCGCATGACGTCACGTTTGAGTACTCTTATCAGTGAAAATTCACTCAAAAGTGACGTCACGAGCCCCTATTCCCAAACTTTGACGCGCTATAACTTTGTCATTTTTTGGTTGATTGCCCAAAGAAAAAATACGTGTCCATTATTTTTTGATCATCTAACTAACATCATCACCCCTATTATACCGTTTTGTTCGCCAGCTCCTCACTGTTTATTTTGAAACGTTGCATGTTATATATAATATTATACACATTACTTTTTACAACTTATAAACTATTTTATTTTGTGGTACTGATTCTACTTGGACGGTTACATACTTCGAACGCGCACTAACCTGCAGCACTGCGCTCCTCTCACGCATGCACTCAACACGCTGTCTCTGCACATTGACTTGTTTCAATGCACATTGAATGAATTCACACGGGCCGCTTATTGTATACTATCATAGAAATGTTTATTTTATCTTCGTGTTAGTGTTTTATTTTTTTTATTTTTAGTTTTGTATAATAATTGGATGTATCGTAACTGCTCTATTGTATTAGGTTATACCTGTAATGATAGATGTAAGTGATTATTAAATAAATAAAAAATAATTTTTGTAATTCCCAAACTATTTGCCCTTAGATCAAGATCACCAATGCCAGTGCGCGACAGAGAACACGAGCGTGAAAGGGACAGACTGCGAGTGCCCAGAGAGATGGAGAGGGACAGAATATCCCGTGACAGAGAGCACAGGGATAGGCTGTCCAGATCTAAGGATAGAGAAAGGTGAGTCATTTGTACAAGTTGATAAAATAGTTATCTATACTAATATTATAAAGAAGAAAAAAATTGTATTTAAGTATTTTTGTAACGAATTGGCTCAAAAAGTACTGGACCGATTTTAAAAATTTCTTTCACCATTTGAATGCTACATTATCAACATTGTTGTTGTTGCGTTGTTTTGCTGTTGTTTTTGCAACATTTTTCATCGATGCTCCGCTGCTACTGGTCGTAGCCTGGTAATATATAGCCTATAGCCTTCCCCGATGAATGCACTGTCCAATACAAAAAGATTTTTTCAAATCGGAACAGCAGAGCAATGTTGCATTCGGTACAACGGGTCCTAAACTACGCAACGAATTTTTTACTTGGAATGGAAGGTTTATAATTATTATGAAGAAAGTCTTTGTGTATAATACAAGCCTTTGCACAAAAACTTTAGTCTACACTACAGCTCTACACCGAAACAAAGCGAGGGTGGACCACTGGTTTATTATACAGGGTGTTACAAAAATACAAATAAGGAGTCTTATCTAATTTTCTTAAAATATTTGCATGAAGACTCCTTATATGATGTACTTCAACGCCCTTCAAGCTTTATTTGTATTTTTGTAACACCCTGTATAAGTATCGTAAGTTGGTTATACAAACGAGTAGGCGAATGTAAGGGGGTTAACATAGTCATGAATTTGTAAATACCAATTCTGCACAAATGTCATGCAACGTTTTTCAACAAATTTGCGAGAATACATTATGTACCTAATCCAAATTTTAGTAATGAAGCAAATTATTTCTAAAATAAGTATTTTTTTCTAAAAAAAAAAATCTAATGAAGAAAATGGCGCGCATTTCTAAATGACACCACGTGCAGGTGGTGAAAATTTAAAACTACATCTTTTGTCTCTTTCTTTTTAGTATTACATTGAGACAAAGGTATAGATTAAAAGCATTTCCAAGGAGGTTCCGCTGAAATAAGAAAATCGTAAATGATACGAATGGTGCCATGTATACGCGCCTTAAATATAAGTATTTGGTTCTCAAAGCCTTATATCTTTTTCGAGAATGCAGTCATACAATAAGGTTTATTTTCCTTTTTGCGTAGATCCCGCGATCGCTCCCGGGACCGTTCCCGGGGATCGGGATCGCCCCGGGACCAGCGGCCCGATATCAGCGACGCTTACAAACGAAGATGCCGGGACTTTGATGGTAAGTTCCTTACTATTCTTTCTGTTATATTGATTTATATATCATGATCTCTTATCTATTAGACAAGTCCGTCTGTCTGTGGTGCTGTTTCAGCGGTCAAACCGTAAGACATAGATAAAGAGAATATTTAAGTTATAAGTTAAGAATGGTCTGATAAGACTACAAACCGGATTTGAGTAACGTAGCACTTCCGGTTTTCGAGAAATCAGGTTTTGGTGAACATTTGGTTCACTGGTTTGCTAGTTTCTTATAGTATTGTAGCTTCATAATAGGGTATTTGACAAGTTTCAGAAAAGGATCTCACATTATAGTATGAGGCCATGAGAACCATAGTGGCCTAACTATTTTTTTTACAATATTGAGTTTCTGATTTTTTCCAGTTCCAATTGATCATTTTGATAGAACCAGAGTGGTCTAAAAATGATACAACGAATTATATTAGATGGCGGCATAATCACTGATACGGTTTTTAGTCTGTGATCTCGAGGTGCCATACTGGCCTAAGTAAGATAGGCCACTATATGGTTAAAAAATGAGTTGGGCCACTTGGCCTCATATACTAGTGTTTATGTGGTATCAGTGTATGATATTCATCATTCTGTTGTATATTTCAGTAAAAAAACTACATCCAAAACTTATAAATTATGTTTCCGCAAAAACGTTTCTCTGGACAATACAGCGTCTCACTGGTATGTGACGTCACACGACAGTCATTAAAACGTCAAACGATGCAATGTAATGTCACTTTAACCGGAAGTTTACTAGCGTGTGACGTCATTTTCGGTTCCGTTTTTGGTCACGTGACAAAATAAATATTTTTTTTTTTTTTTGACACACCAATTAGCTTAGCCCCAAAGTAAGCACTGTAAGGCTTGTGTTATGGGATGCTAGGGTAACGGATAGAATACATATACTGTACATATATAAGTATATTTATATAGAAATACATATTAAACATCCATGACTGGAGTACAAATGCTCGTATTCATCACACAAACATCTGCCCCCACCGGGATTCGAACCCGGGACCTCTCGAGTCGGCGACACCATGAAACCCGGCGTACAAACCACTCGACCACGGAGGTCGTCAAATTAAATATTTCCAACACACACCAATTCTAGCCCCAAAGTAAGCACTATAAGGCTTGTGTTATAGGATACTAGAGTAACGGATAGAATACATATACTCTACATATATAAGTATATTTATATAGAAAATACATATTAAACATCCATGACTGGAGTACAAATGCTCGTATTCATCACACAAGTATCTGCCCCCACCGGGATTTGAACCCGGGACCTCACAAGTCGGCGACACCATGAAACCCGGCGTACAAACCAATAGGCCACGGAGGTTGTGAAAAGATAAGAAAACTATTCTTTTTCGTGGGTTTCTAGTAAAATTATGAATATTTTTTTCTGTAAAAATAGTAAGAACACCTGTCCAATAATCATTCTAAATTCAGATGCCAACAATTAGCACTTTATTTTTAATACTGTCAAATATCCTATCAGCCTTTAAGAGTCCCCATTACTGCGATACTGTTTATTTTCACACTGTCTGGAAAGTAGATAAATGTACAAAGTAATGTTTTAAATATGCAATGGAAATTCCTCAGATCATCGAGGTAATATTATTTCTTAATTATTTTCGTAATCTATATATGAATAACATAAATCGATTATAAACTTTTTAATAAATGTATTTTGCGTTCTATTCTACCTGATATTCGTTTTAATATAAAGGACATCGACGAAATCGGCCCTAGCTTGCCCAAAAGAATGTCCTTCACTATTATTTTTCTATTATTTTTTAACTTATTAGCAATTAATCATAGTAAACGGACAATCTGTTTAAAAAAATAAAAAATATAAGTTCTGTTAATAGATACTACAGTCTGTTCATCCACCTTGTCCTATTTGGTAAACAATCTTGGCACTCCTTTTTATTGAAAATACAGCATTTAAAATCAACTGATAACTGGATTCAATAGGTTTCAGTCTATAATAACGATTTATTTTAATAGTTTATTGGCTTCGTTAATATTTTATTATTAAATGGGTGATTCTGTTAAAAAGTTGTGCCAAGATTGTTTACCTTAATAAATGCAATATAGGCGACCATAGGTATTTATCAACATAAAAATAGAACTAGGTACCTTAGTTAATAATACTTATAGTATTTATATTACATTTATAAAAAGATTTTTTCTGAAATAATGTAAAGATAGTTTATACTCCCATACCATGTAATATCTGTTTATTTTTATGGAAATAATAATGATAACCAGGTACATACATAATACCGATAGTAAAATATAGAAACGGGTAAATGGAGAGACTTTGAACATTTCATTTGAAAAGAAATCTATTATTACTACAGGTAGATATAGGTATCATAGGTGCCAACTGCCAACACACATAAATCAATATGAATATGAGCATTTATTATTAATTGCATTTTATGATCATTTAATGCATATTATTTAAGTGCTTACATAGAAGTAAACACTAAATCTATTCAGAATATATAAAGAGTACATCTTTTACGATTAAGTATAATAATTGTAACCTCAAAATCTAATACATTCTGTAGTACGCCACGGTTCCTCAAGTTGTCCGTATCTCAACAAATGCCTAATTAGAGTTTGTGAATGATTCCGAACACAACTAGCATCTTCTCATTGCTGGGCGTTCTAGGGCATTCAATGTATGGGGAACGAGCAATGTCCTTTACTTTAATTATAAATTTACTTTGTTTAAACACTATCACCGTTAGTTGTCCTTCTGTAATACGAGCCTAAGACTACTCACGCATTAATAAGAGGTATCTAGTTTACAATTAAATCTAAAATTTTCTACAATTGTTTATAATTTAACGATTCAAATGTTTTGTCGTTACAGAGAAAGGATACTGCATGCGTGGCGATCTATGCCAATGGGACCACGGGACTGATCCATTAGTTTTAGAAGACGCAGCTTTGACCAGAGTACTGACCGCCCCGCCTCCTGTGCCAGGTAATTATATATAAATCTATTTACATATATAAACGTGGAGCTCGATGGCGCGGGTGGTTAACGCGTTGGGCTGCGATCGTTGAAGTTATGCAACTTTCGCAGTGGTCGGTCAGTGGATGGGTGACCAAAAATCTTCTATCTTGAGTTCCTCCGTGCTTCGGAAGTCACGTTAAGCCGTTGGTCCCGGCTGCATCTGCAGTCGTTAGCATCCGCCAATCGGCACTGGGCCCGCGTGGTGTGTCATAGCCCAAAATCCCTATTTCATCCATAGGGAAGGCCTGTGGATCCAGCAGTGGGGACATGAATAGGCTGATGATGATGATGATGATGAACATATATAAAAATCATTTGCTGTTCGTTAGTCTCTCTAAAACTCGAGAACGACTGAACGGATTTATCTTATCTTGGTCTTGAAATGTTCGTGGAGGTCCAGGGAAGGTTTAAAAGGTGAGAAAATATGGAAAAATTGTGGGGAAGGTAGTAAAAACGTCAAATAAAATTTTCCATATAAACTGTTGCATCTTTTTTCCTGTCAAACATTTGAAGTTCGTCCCTTTTGGTACTGCAGACTCGGGTCCGTCATTTCTTCCAAATAATTTTAACCCGTACGAAGTACACGGGGTCAACTAGTAAATAAATATATATTTCCAACACTCATGCCAATTAGCTTAGCCCCAAAGGAAGCACTGTAGGGTATTACTAAGTTATTTTATTATTAAACACACCATTGATGGAATAGCATAATTTATCAATTCAAAATTTAATTAAGCAATTCAGTTCTAAATTAATCAAGGTTACCGCCGTTCGCGTTTTTCTTTTTTCCCAAAGGTTGACTGGGGGAGAATGCTACTAGCATTAAGTCCACCTTTTGTACCATTCTCTTGTATATTGATCAATAAAGTTTAAATAAATAAATAAAAAAGACATGTGATGTTTAAGCGAATTTTGTTTGACGTTTTCTTTTCTTATATTTTCGTTCTCCCTACAGAATACAATCCTTTGACGCCGGACATTTGGTGCGGAGCCCCGGGCTTCGCCCCCTACCCTCATCCACGACCTCTGCCGCCCAGGGAACTAATACCTATACCCAGGTGAGTACAGTTTGTTTGAATTTTCATACTAAGGTCCGCTTGCAACATATAGGCTAGTTGACTCATGTCAAATTGCACTACACAAATGTTTGTTTCTTATATTTTTTGATATGAGGAACCTAAAAACATTGATTTCACTTCATAAAATTAAAAGATGGCTGTAGTAATTTAATTTGAAAAGCAGTTTTTTAGCCTATGCTTTTTCAACACTAAAAACGCTGTCCACCATGATTGTGACGTCAACAAAGGACAATGTTAAATTTGGCCTAAGAACCAACACCAATTTGGCATTTATGATAATTCTTAGTATATTTTTTGCGATAATTATCAGTATTTAGATTGTGACGGACACTACCTGCTAAGTAAGCTATATTAAAAAGGTAAAAAAATAATCTGAGCCAATAACTACCATTTTATGTGTATAATCTATGACAGCGCTGCAAACAAAAAACTCTTTCTTCCTAATGCCGGCACTTCACTTGGCTATTTGTGTTTGCTATTTGTAAACTTGACATCTGTCTGTCCTTTTTATTCCTTATTAAGCATGACAAGGACAGACTGTAATTGTCAAGTGAAGGGCCGCTAGTTGAAGTTGAAGGTTATGTGTATCACAAAGATACTGAAATTTGAATCTTAAATATTGAAATTTAAATCTTAAATTGTGGGTTAAAGAGAATTAAATACAGAGTATACAACATACCATTTCTTGTTTACAGGGTGAGACACGAAGCTGTTGGAGTGCCACCCCCGTTAAGGCATCCTCCACCGCACAAGAAGAATTTCGACTACAACAGACTGGGTGAGTATAATGTCTTCGGAGCGATAATTTCTTATGGGAGGGTAAACCGCTTCGTTACGTAATGCGTTACGTATTAACCAGTGTGTCTGGCTTCCTTTTGCCGCGTAAAGGAGGTAGACGCCACAGCCCGTCGCTGGGTTTTCCCCTGTCATAAGAGTTTATCACTTCAAAAAGTCGCTTGACTTTCACGATCGCAGGCTAAATGCGCTAACCGGGCACCTGGGGCACAGGCCATATGGATGGAATAGGGAGATTGGGCCATTATCCACCACGCGGGCCCAGTGCGGATTGGTGGGTGCTAACGACTGCAGATGCAGCCGGGACCAACGGCTTAACGTGCCTTCCGGAGGAACTCGAGATAGAAGATTTTTGGTCACCCATCCAATGACCGACCACTGCGAAAGTTGCTTAACTTCAACGATCGCTGCCGAACGCGCTAACCACTTGCGTAATCGAGCTCCTCGAGTATAATAATATACGGTGTATTTATTATTTCAACAGGTGCCCCAAGGCCTCCGTTGCCGGTTAACTCAGGCAACTGTTCACTGGAGGTGAAGAAAGTGCCGAGGGGACTGAACGACATTACGCATCTCAACAATCACTTCTGTAAATTCGGGAAAATCGTCAATATTCAGGTAAGATTTATTTTAAGTTTAACTTTATTCCCCCTGGGAGCCATTCGCCTAACGGAAATGCTAACGCTTTCGATTTCATTTTGTTATTTCTAGACGCCTGAGGGTTTCAAATGCCTCGTCGCGCGGTCTGTGTAAATGGCACATTTCTGGCACGAGATGAGAAAACTATTTTCATTTTTCGCTTTTTTATCATATTCAGTAAGGTTTTTAATTTACACATCTAATATGGAGATATGTTCGTAGAGAAACTATTCAGGATTGATTTAAGACTTAAAAGAAGGCTGGATGTACAATAGAACTCGAATAATAATAGGAAAATCATAGTAAAAACAAAATGGAGGGAATAGAGTGGGGAAGGCGGCTCTAAAAGTGTCTGTCTAGTAGAAAGAGAAAGAAGATGAAAGACCGCTAGCTATCTCTCTCTTTCTTGTGACGCATGGCATCCAATGGCATCACATCGAAATAGTAAGATGCTTACAGTTGCCAATGCGCATGCGCGATTAGAGAGAGAAAGCTAGCGGTCTCTCATCTTCTTTCTCATTCTACTAGACAGACATTTTTAGAGCCGCCTTCCCCACTCTATTCTTATACCTCTTTTCTCAATCTTAGTAAGTCTTAGTAATCGTAGTAGTATATGTTTTTCTCACTTAATCTTATAGTAAATAACTTTTATTAAATTAAAGCTTTTTTTTGCTCACTCTACCTATTTGGTTTGGATTGACAGCCATGACGTCACAATATGGCGCCCAATCGGTCCTATTCTTAGTTGTATCGCATTATAAATGATTTTTGTTCTATGGTCACGTGACCGATAACGCCTGGGATTGGCCAAGACTAAAATGACGTCACACGCTAGTAATCTTCCGGCCAAAGTGAAATAACATTGTTTCTTTTGACGTTTGAATCTACTGGACGTCACATGCTAGTGAGACGCCAGAATGTCCAAAGAAACGTTTTCGCGGCAACTTGAAAATTGAATTTAGTTTTTTTACTGAAGACAAGAATCACAGAAGAATCTATATCTATACATTTAATGAAATGGTGGGAAAGTCAAAACTGTACATTTTATATTTTTTTAAAAGAATACTTGAGGTGTGATCTACAACCGATACCGAAGCCAAAAATATATTGTTTAGAATTTTTGTCCGGGATAAGCTCAAAAAGTACTGCATGGATTTACTTCAAATTTGGCACGAATATTATTAAGAGGTCGGGTCAACATATAGGCTACATATTATCACGCTATCACCTACGGGGAACGAGCAGTGAACCTTTATTTCTAACTAATTCCAAGCGTACGAAGTCGCGGGCGGCCGCTTGTTAAAAATATCGACATTTTATGGACTCCATAAACATTAGTAAATAACGTGAGATCTTTTTCTTAAACCTGTCAAATACCCTATTTGTCCACAGGTATGCTTCGAAGGTGACCCAGAGGGAGCCCTAATAACGTTTTCCAATCCCACGGAAGCCAATGTCGCCTACAAGAGTACCGAAGCTGTACTCAACAATAGATTCATTAAAGTGTTCTGGCATAATCCTGAGGTTAGTAACTTATCTTAATATCTACTATTTTTTTATGTTGTTTTAATTATTATTACCAGTTTCAAAGAAATTATGAAAATCTTAATTGAACTACTACAATCTGCTGTTTTTTTTATGTGAAACTTCTTTTCGGTCTGGGTGTAAATGGAAAAATCCTACGGAAAAGATGAAACGGAAATGCGTCACAAGTGTCACACGACTATTATATATATTATGTGTGTGTGTACGGTGCGTGCGCAGCTCTTCCCGATGAGCATGAACGTTGGAGGGTAACTCGGCGAAGACAGACATTACTTTTACCTGAGAGTCTGAGACTACTTTTGTTAAAAAAAAAAAAACAGCAACCCAGCTCATATCTTCACTCCCTTTTTCGCTATCTTGATTGAAGTACTTAAACATAAATACTAGCTTTGCAGCCTTTTCTTTTCCTAATCGGTTCCTTAGTTTTGACTGTACTAATGTACTTTTATTTTGTTTTTTACAATAACAGTTACTCGTTATTATCAACGATAATTATCAAGATAATTAGCCAGTGCAACCCTCTTTATTAGGTCAATTTTATTCGTTAATTCCTTAATTAATTGCTACCCAGAATAAACAAGAGAACATGCCGCCCACACAGCAACAGAAGATTCAACCGGAACGGCAGAACAATCACCCGATGTCTCACAACAAGGTGCTCATCAACAGGGACAATATTAAGGCTACCAACGACAAGCAACAGTTGCAAGAAAAGGTTAGCATTTATTAAATACGTAAATATAAAAAATACTATCCAGTTTTTCTAGGCATTAGGGAAGATTCGATCCTGCGCCTTCCGATATCGTTAGAGAAGAAACTACGGGTTGCACCCTGGGAGTGCCGGCAGAAGTAAAAATTTTACTATTAACGTTGTGCATTTTTGATATTTTGGAATGGTTAGGGAATAATTTTGCACGAATTGCTTTAATTATCAGTATAAAAGTACTATGATTTATGTTGTAGAATTGTTCAATTTCCATATTTTTAACACTTTATATACACGAATTTTAAGAATACACAGCAGTGTGTCCGCTACACAGATGGTCGAACCATCAGCTGTCACCTTAGATTTAAACAAAAAGGGAAGATACGGCATTCGCGGCTCAAAAGTGATCCGCTTAAATTGTGGTCCACGACCATAATTCGCTTTAGTCACAATTTGCCATTCAAACACGCTGAATGTACACTCAATATAACAATATTGCGTATATTCTGTGTTATGAAGATATAACAATGCCTTTGATGCTTTTATAAAGAACACAAATATTTCAAAATCAAATGCCCCGGCAACACTTTTCATTCGTAAAACTCTGAAAATATTTTTTTCTCAGAAATCACGGTTTGTCGTGTATATTATTTACGTAATCGCCATTTTGTAAGCAAGAAAAGGACAACAATACGCTGCGTTGAAGCGTATAGTTATCATATTTTATTTGATGTTAGTATGAGCGTACCGTATCTACCCTTTTTGTTTTAATCCAAGGCTGTCACCATCCATGGATGCGCGTGGCACGCTGTAACATGAACACACACAAACATTCGCGCAAGCGCCCTGCGCCGCTTAATCGTCTTACGAATTTTTGATTAGGTCACGTTCTGATACGATCTGGTCACGTATCCTGACGCGATCAGCCCACGTGTCCTGACGCGAGTTTAACATTATAGTTTACCCATTACAAAAAAAGTGTACAACGCCGCTAAAAATTTTTCACTTCAAAAATAGCAATTATTGTGTTTAGGATATTGTTATTTGAGCAAATTAATCAATCACACAAAAACTACTGAACTGATATGGATGATATTTGGCACTCATATAGTTTATTTGACGACCTCCGTGGCCGAGTGGTTTGTACGCCGGGTTTCATGGTGTCGCCGACTCGAGAGGTCCCGGGTTCGAATCCCGGTGGGGGCAGATGTTTGTGTGACAAAGACGAACATTTGTACTCTAGTCATAGATGTATAATATGTATTTCTATACAAATATACTTATATATGTACTGTATATGTATTCTATCCGTTACCCTAGTATCCCATAACAAGCCTTACAGTGCTTAAATAAAACTAGTTTTTACGGGATAATGCACGAAACTTTATTTATTTATTGACGTTTCGCAGCCTTTTCAGTTCTGCATCGTCAGAATAATGATTTTTTTATTTAAAATTGTCGAGCTACCTTCGAAAGACTTATATTGAGCGTTCGGTTATTTCATTGGAAGATTTTTAAAATTTTATTGTCTATGTATGAATTTATTATTTAATTTACTAAATAAAGTATTTTATTTAAAATTCTTGTTTGTAATTTTGAGTTTATTTATTTGACCCTAACTACCTTAAACTACCACCGGTTCCAAAATTGGGAGACCTTCCTGAGAAGAACCGGCGAAACAAACTCAAGAGAGGCTTTCTATCTCCTTCTTATGTTAAATTATGCAAACAAAAAGAACTAATAGTATCGGATGGTCTTGCAGTGTGTGCTCGGGGTTGGGATTTTATCTCCTGTATAATAGGTTCCCAAGCTGGTGGTATATACCAGCCATCTTCCCTATTGAAATTTGGATATTTTTTAATCTCAATAGCCTCGCGCATCATTCGAGGAACGAACCGCCGCTCAGCGGCAAGGATCTGTGGTCTATCAAATCTAATGTAGTGGTTTTGTCCCCCTAATGCATGTTCATGCATTAAACTCAAAATTACAAACAAGAATTTTAAATAAAATACTTTTTTAAGTAAATTTAATAATAAATTCATACACAGACAATAAAATTTTAAAAATGAAGGTAGCTCGACAATTTTAAATAAAATAATCATTATTCTGACGATGCAGACCTGAAAAGGCTGCGAAACGTCAATAAATAAATAAAGTTTCGTGCATTAACCCGTTAAAACTAGTTTTATTTAATGAGTGATGTGCGTGAAAACCTAAGAAACAAATACCTTACAGTGCTTACTTTGGGGCTAGGCTAATTGGTGTGAGTGTTGGAAATATTTATTTATTTATTTATGATCTTGTTTGAGAAAGGACACTTGCGATTGTACAGCAATAATTAAACAGTTTCTATTTGAGGATCATTTAAATATGACCCTTTGATTTTTTAGGGTTCCGTACTTCAATAAAAACGGAACCTTTACGGGATCACTTTCTTTTCCGTCTGTCCATCTATATCTCAAGACCCTTTTTGTATCATAGCTCAATTTTCATAGCATAATAGTCAGTGCATCCGCCCGGATAACGAAGCGGGTTCGAGTCCCGTCTGCTGCCTGGACCACGTGATTTTTTTTTTAGTAAAATTTTCTTCCGATTCTAACATCTAGCAGATAAATGCTTAAAAAATATTACTAAAATAGTTATTTCTTCTTACAAATGTTTAATACTTGTAAAGGTATTCGTTTGACATTGTGGGTTACCTACAATGCGAAAAGATGGCGGTGCCTTGCAGCTTAAGAAATACTAGAGATAATACGACGCGGCTATTAGGGCCGCAGTAGCATAATGGACAGTGCGGGTTCGAGATCCGTCAGCTAATGGCCCGCGTGGAATTTGTACTAGTAAAATTTTCTTTCCATTAAAATATCTAGCAGTTAACTGCTTAAAAAATGTAAAAAATATAGCTTTATTTGTATTTATTGTTAGCAGGCTAAAGAGCTGGCTGCCAAAGAACTGGCTACGAAAGAATCATCGACAAACGGACAAGAAGTGAAGAAAGACCCACCGCCAAAGCCCATAGACAAGAGCAAGCAGGTTATGGAAATGATGAAGAGAGCACAGGCCTTGTTAGAGAAGCAGCTGCAGCAACAGATGTTGCTCATAGACAAGCTGGAGTCCGGTGAGCAGAGATTTTTAGTTTATATCTCTTGTTGGGATGGAATTTTAAGGCTGTGTTGTAGTTAAATTTGACAGAGAAAAAAATAACTTTTTGTCAAAGTTGTACACATTTACTAATGTATTTGACGACCTCCGTGGCCGAGATGTTTGTACTGCCGGGTTTCATGGTGTCGCCGACTCGAGAGGTCCCGGGTTCGAATCCCGGTGGGGGCAGATGTTTGTGTGATGAATACGAGCATTTGTACTCCAGTCATGGATGTTGAATATGTATTTCTATATGAATATAGTTATATATGTATCAGTATATGTATTCTATCCGTTACCCTAGCATCCCACAACACAAGCCTTACAGTGCTTACTTTGAGTTAGGTTAATTGGTGTGAGTGTTGGAAATATTTATTTATTTATTTATACTATAGTCAAATTAAACAATGGATGAAACAACCCGGGTTAAGGGTTATACTCAGTGATATAGTTTATTTCTCTTATTTATAAACGAATTTAAAGCTCAGAGGAATTAAATATAATTAAGTTTGATTAGTGTTGATACTGTCACTCTGTATGCGATAACGTTCTCTCTTTTGTCTCACTTTTATGGCCGTAAACTCGAAATATTTACTCATTGTCAAGTTTTAAGATTAGGTTCTGTACCCCTAGCACGAACCATTATCGAATTCGAATAGTTTTCGAGTCCGAAATGTCAATGTCAAATTTTGTGTTCTGACATATAATAACGCCGTTAATATCTAATGTGTACGTAATGAGTTTCTGTAATTGGCCTTAAGATTATATCTATATTTTATTGTATTAAATTTCACAAAAACCGCTGTAGAAACTTTGTTAAAGATAAATAAATAAATAAATTATATGGAACCTTGAACAGCAGCTCCACAAAGTATTTATCGAGAACTAAAAATCAGTACACATTTGAAAATGACATTTCGGGCTCGCAAACGTTACGATTTCGATATAGGTTCGTGCTAAGGACAGGTCTTTCAAATTAAAATAAATAATAAATATTTCCAACTCTCACACCAATAACCCTAGCCCCAAAGTAAGCACTATAAGGCTTGTGTTATGGGATACTGTACATGTATAAGTATATTTATATAGAAATACATATTAAACATCCATGACTGGAGTACAAGTGCTCGTATTCATTGTTACCTACAATGCGAAGAGATGGCACTTCTTTGCAGCCTAAGAAATATTAGAGAAAATTCGACACTGCCATCAGGACCGCGCCAGTATAATGGTCAGTGCATTCGCCCGGATAGCGAAGGGTGCGGGTTCGATTCCCGTCTGCTGCCTGGTCCTCGTTGATTTTTTTCTAGTAAAATATTCTTTTAAAAAAAAGGGATCTTTGAAAACGACACAACCCACTTTTTGTCGCGTTAATTTTAAAGCTAAAAAGACGTGATAGATTGTATTGAAAACTAGTATTCTATTACTCAATAGTATAACTACTGGAAATTATCATCGTCAGCCTATTAATGTCCCCACTGGGGACACTTGGGGCACAGGCCTCCCCTATGGATAGAATAGGGAGATTGGGCCGTGACCCATCACGCGGGCCCAGTGCGGATTGGCGGGTGCTAACGACTGCAGATGCAGCTGGGACCAACGGCTTGACGTGCCTTCCGAAACCCATCCAATGTCCAACCACTGCGAAAGTTGCTTAACTTCAACAATCGCAACCACTTGCGCCATCGAGCTCCTCTACCCCAACTTGTTTAAATTGCTTTGTTAAATTCGTTTTTCTTCCATCTCAGGTAACGTAACAGGACCGCAAAAAGCTGCTTTAATGGAAGCAATCAACTCTGCTCAAGAAGGCATAGAGAAACTACGGAAGGAACTCTTCGCTTACAATGGCACTTTGAGGCAAATGCAGGTCCGTATTATTATTTTTTTAGGTTTAAGAAATTTATTAATCACTAGAATTTACATAAAATTCACTTACGTGAGACTATCGCAATAGATTTCCAGAAAACAATTTACAGAGAACAAATCATACACAATAACCCTAGAAACACCACAGTTTCCCAAACAAATTACATACAATATTTATACAGATTATGTAGTTTTAGAAAAAATAATGTTAATCATCACCACGATCGATCAATCACGGGCGACCGAATGAAAGAAAGAAAGAAGGAAATAATTTATTGACCAACAAACAAAGCATAAATAAAAAAAAAAAAAAACAAAATAAGGTCAACTAGGTCCCTGCTTCTGTGAACAACAGAATGCTTATTTATATACATATAGAACTTTGTAATTGACATTTTAAAACCACAGATTTCTTAATACTTATAGCATCATTCATCCCGTTCTCTCTGATAGAATCTCCAATGTTAGGCAGAAAAAGATTTTAAGTTTGCTTCTAAATTAAATTGCCAATATTTTTTCGTAAACTACAAACAAAGATTCGTGTTTTTTTTTATAGTATTGCCAGAATGTTTTATTTCATAGAAGAATACTTTAGCCTTATAATTGTAATAGTTAAACAATTCACAATAGCAAACGAATTCATCAAATTTAAACTTTCTATAGCTATAATAATAATTGTTTCCATTTGGCTTAGTACAATTGAAACTTTTCTAATAGTTAAATGTTTTCACGGTGACGTCACACGACAACAAACACACAGACTCTGTAAATGGTGATTTGAGATAATATAATGACAATCATATCAATTTTGATAACAAATGAATATAAAACTATAACTTATAAAATTACTGCCGACCGCATAAGCTTGGATTAGTTACTTCATGTTTTGTCTCTGTTCATTGAATAGGGTATTTGACAAGTTTTAGAAAACGATCTCACGTTATTGACTAATGTTTAAGGAGTCCGTAAAAAGAGGATGGAAAGGATATTCATCATTGTGTTGTGTATTTCAGTAAAAGCAACCAAATCAAAATTTCCATTTTAAGTTGCTGCGAAAACGTTTCTCTGGACAATATGGCGTCTTACTAGTGTGTGACGTCACACGACTGTTATTAAAACGTCAAACGATACAATGTAATACTTCACTTTAACCGGAAGTTTACTTGCGTGTGACGTCATTGTAAGCTCCGCCAATCCCAAGCGTTTTCAGACACGTGACAATAGATAAGAAAACTATTACCTTTTCGTTAGTTTTTAGTAAAATAATGAATATTTTTTTTGTAAAAATAGTAAAAACCCCTGCCAATATTTATTATAAACACAGATGCTAACAATTGGCACTTTATTTATAACACTGTCAAATACCCTATTGAGTGACTTGAACAAAACACTTAAGTAACAAGTCTCAGCTTATTCTTCGTTTATTTATCACGTACCAAATTTCATCCTAATCCGTTTAATAGTTTTTGCGTGACTGCAAACACACAAACAAACCTACTTACACATTAATATTATTAGTGAGAAGTAGGATAACTTTAAAATTGTTTTTCAATCTTTGTTTCTTAAAAAAAATAAACTAATAATAAAAGATAAAAAAAATACTTTGTACCCAATGGCTAAGTGGCTACTTCCCCTTCAGGAGGAGATGGTAGCGCGTTCGATGTCTCGTCTACAACTGCAGGTATAAAGCGGCTATGTGCCTGCTCATGCATTGTGAAGTGAACGAATGTTGCCCGTTTTAAAAAATCATAATACGCATTGCCATTACATGTATTACACTACTAGCTTTTCCGTTCGCGACTTCGCCTGTTTTTTTGATAATTCCATAGGAATTTAATTTTTTTGGGGATACTAAAAAGTGTCATAATTCTTGCCAGCATAGAGCAACACGGAAACGGAAACAGCATCACGGAAGGGTGTAGTCATAGCGACAAAATACTGTTCAAATCATTCTGGCATTCTCATCAGCACTTTAACCTATGATGTTTTAAAGGTATAGATATGTCATACTCGCCTTTAATTTGACAATACGAAAGTCAGGTAATTGCCCGACTTGCATTCAGTCGGGCACGCTCTCTCGCTGCGGTTACACTTTGCTATACAACGTGTAAATATTTTACGTTATCCAGCCAAAAAGCCCTATGTGTGTTTTTAGATAGTACACAAAAAACACGGGAACTATTAGAAACGAGAAAAACGTGTCTTTGCGGTTTTACCCGCGTTAATGTAGGAAATAAATTAATGGCGAGTAGTTTTTTGTTGTCTATTTCAAAACCACCGGAATTAAAAACTCGGTATTTTTTTACAAACGCTCAATGAGGGCTGCCGTTTTGTCTCACCAGATGGCGCTTTAAAGTCTATTCATACGCACGTGAAATTAAAGTTGACATTTTAATCATATTTTAATACAAAAGAACCGTATCCTTAACATAATCGGTCATGCCACAGTGATGGGCAGTTTCGTTTTTGTTTTCGGAAATAAGGAGGACATAATAATTTTTCTTAGCTCCGCTTTTAAATAACTGGCACTCTTTGCCACATAACTCATATTTGCCATAATAGGGATGATGACTATTTTTCTTCGTTTATCAGGTAGATTATCAAAAAGTATTGGACACGTATTTTTTCTTTTTTCACATAATATAAACATTGCAGAGATATATTGATTTGAAAAGTCGCATGAGGTCACGTTTTGGTACAATTTTCACTTAAAAGTGACGTCACGAGCCCCTACTCCCAAACTTTGACGCGCTATAACTTCGTCATTTTTTGGTTGATTGCCCATAGCAAAAAATACGTGTCCATTATTTTTTGATCATCTAACTGATAGACTAAATAGAATTTCGTTTACTGTACCCCGTCATCACCCCCATTAAGCCGAGTTATTACCAAATATTCACAATATTATTTTATTAGAAGTAAACCCGCGTAGTCAACCCACAAGCAATAACATTTGACATTTCGGAGATCTCATGCTACACTAGCGCCTCTAGCGGCGGATTCATACGCGATAGCCCTCATTGAATATGCAAAGGCGAAGTACCCACCTGGCTACTGAGATCAAAACTTTATTTGTCATGAAAATTTGTGGTACATTATTTTGAGATTTATGTGTTATTTTTTCTTTTTCTAATCTTAATCTTATTTTGAGATTTATGTCCTAGTTTTTTTCTTCTTCTTTTCTATATCTTTTGTGTCTGCATGTCTTGGTCATGATGTGTTTTGTATACGTGTTTTTTTTAAAGCAGTTTTTTGTTAATATTTTTTATTTTGTTGTTGTTCTAGTAGTTAGAATACTTTGGGTTCTTTAAAACATTTTTTTTTCTGTTATTTTACCCTTTTTTGTGTTATTTTTAATTAATTGTTCTAAGAACGTAGCTAATTCTTTAATTGTCGAATTTAATTGATTAATCAGAGATTGAATGGGCAAATTATTCTTAATAGAAACTCATATTGTAGTGAGCTCCCATAACGTATAACATCTGTTGTGGGGTTAACCATCCATAAGTATCGTTATGGAAGATAAAAAAACACGGATTCGCCCACGAAGGTTTCCATACCTTTATCTATATAACATTAGACATATAACACTAATATCGAGAAATAAAGAGTAAAAATCATGTCTGTGGTATGGGAGCCCTCATTAAATATAAAATGTATTCAGTATTTAGTAATTGTGTTGTTATGGCGGCAACAAATACATGATCTGTGAAAAGGACATGGTAAAGTTTTGTATGAGCGACTGCCCTGGCAATGTATAAATACTGTACTTAGTAATATTTAATGGTAAATGGCTGAATATTTATAATTTCTATGAAAAAAAGGCTCACAATCTTGAAAATTGTGAGAACTCCTACTATGTCATTACCTTACAACAGTTGACAAAAGATGTTGTCAATTCTTTACAGAGTTATCAATTTCGTATTTTCTTACAATCTTTCTTTCCATTATTCTGATTAACTCTTCACAAAAAGTTATTTTAAAGCAAAAATAAATACGAATAATTTATTATCGTCGGCCTGACAGGAAATCTGTGAAGTTTTATTTTGTTCATTTGCAAAAATTAAAGGATTAATTATCATACAGCCTTATTTCAAGTCTGATCAGAATAATAAAATCTATTATTCTAGGCCTTCATTGATTTGTTTTAATAATAATTAGGGCCAAATATGTCATAGTTTGAAGGAGTTTAGAAATAATATTGTTTATTTCGATATACTTACACAAATATTTTTTGTGTACATTTATTGTTCATTTATTTTGTAAAACGGAACATTTTGTTCTTTAAACAGACATGAAGTCAATTTTTATACTTTTAAATATTTGATTTCACGAAAGTTGTACGAGAATAATAAACACGTTATAATTAATAAAAAATATTGTAAAGTTACTGGCCAGTGGGAAATATTTATACACGTTAAGGGCAGTTTCTTAGCCATGGTCTTTCACCTGTACTTTCTTTATTGATACTGCCTGATCAGACAGACAGACGGACGGATAGTGAAGTTTTAATAATAGTCCTGTTTTTACACTTTGAGTACAGAACTGTAAAAGCAGATCTGTCCAATTTTTACCCTTTTTATTAAGACTAGTTTACATTATTTCAGTTCAGTCGTAACTCATAATAAGAAAACTTAAATGAAAAAATAAGAAAAATGCATTAGTTTTTATCATATATATTTTTAAAGAACTCACACCGATTAGCCTGGCCCCAAAGTAAGCTCTGTAAGGCTTGTGTTATGGGATGCTAGGGTAACGGATAGAATACATATACTGTACATGTATAAGCGTATTTATATAGAAATACATATTAAACATCCATGACTGCAGTACAATTAATTAATTCTCGTATTCATCACACAAGCATCTGCTCCTACCGGGATTCGAACCCGGGACCTCTCGAGTCGGCAACACCATGAAACCCGGCGTACAAACCACTCGGCCACGGAGGTCGTAATAATTTCCAATAATAAATTTATAAATTATTTCCGATAGATTTCATAATAATGTACCTTGTATATTGATTCACACGTTGTTATTACTAAAATAGTCTACTTACGACTAGAATAATATAAACTAATTCAAATTTATTAAGTTTAGATTGAAGATTTTCAAACCGCGCTGACAAAAGAACTCAACCATTCATTCACTTCACGCATGCGTCTTATTCGTTCACACGTCGTATCTCATTCTATCGCCTTGTAAAATATACGCATCTCATTCTCTCATTCAAACGTAACAAAAACATGTCGAAATATATATGTAGACTTAACAGTTGGTTGTAAAACTTGTAAATAGTAATTAATTTAATCTAGGATTTATTTAGTTTATGTTGAAATTTATTAAATAATTTAATAAAGTAGTACCTAGTAGCAGAGTCGATTCAATTTACGATCTTAGTTTATTTTGTAATAATAAATAAAAAAAATAAAGATTTCATATAATCTATAGTTGACTGGTAGAGAATGGCTACGGTATTAAGTCCGTCATTGTATATTAATGCGTGAAGAATAAATAAATAAATACAATCTACTTAACAAGTCACCAGTCGAAATGTATTGAACGGGGAAAACCTTGAGACACAAGAGAGGACTGCACCAAGAGACCGTAATATAATCGCCGTAAGTGCGAGGAAGATAGCAAGCTGCTGATCACACTCCCACTCCTTGTCGTAATTTGATTTAAAATACCAAATTCTTCTTTATTCTAAGACCGATTTTAATTCTTTTTTTTTCAGAAAGGCATAATGGTTCTATCTGATAATCATTAACTAGTCGAAAGATGAGTGAAAATATTAAAAGCAGATTAAAGTACTCTTCTTTACATGCTAATTACAGCTACAATCTATATTGCATTTGATATACAGGCAGTCCTCCTACTTACGGCATATTAGGATCCCGAAATACGCGACGTAAATCGAAACGACGTAAGTCGAGACATCCCTACGGACATTGCCCTCTCGACAAGTGAATTCTCCTATGCCGGAAATCGAAGCAATTGACGTATACTTGAGGAATAGTGTCAAAACATTGTTTGACGTAACTTGAAACGACGTAAATCGAAACGACCTCCTAAGTCGAGGACTGCCTGTATTCTTAAATTACCATTATGTTCGGTTTGAAGCAGTTATAGGAATTCATCATGCATTAGTTTTCATTTATGTACATATATAAACATCGGTGTGATTGTATGTTTGTGTAATATAACCAAAAAATGTGTATTGGAGTTGACATTGGTTTGTGCAGTTGACAGTGTATTCTGGGTTGATTTTGTACTTTAACACGTTGTACTCAAGATTCAAAATTGTCTATGGATATGTGTTATTAATTGTTGGAGCTACTTTAAAGCAGGATGCTGCTATACGCCTTGTATAGCTGTGTCTCGCTTTAACAATAGCTACTCTGGCCATTTTTATACTGTTGACTTTTAAAGGGTTATTTACAGTCATTCATGTTTAGTGCGTTTTAACAAACGTATAAACAAGTATGTATGTAAATAAAATAATGTTTCACCGAAAAATGCGTTAAACGAGACTCAAACCCACGTTACTTTATAAGGCGGGCACTTTTATTTTTGTGAATATAGGGCTTTTCTTTCGCTTTAAAAATAATGAAACTTTTAATGCTTTGTCTATCTAATTAGATTTCCGGCTACTTACAATATGGTTGTCTTTTTTTAAATTATTTTGATGTCCTGTCAAGATGGCTCTTTCTTTAATCAAACGAATCAAATACTGCAATTTGTTGATTAAGTAATTTTTTCGGTGCAACATTTTAATTTTATGTGTACAGAACTTATGATATTTTTCACAACGCCACCTACTTAACATTTTTAAAATTAAAATAGTTGTAGTCCTTGTTTGAAATAATTGATAAAATTAGTTCAGAATAGCGATTTCATAATAATTCAGATCCCTTAAATAAATTATCAATTTTATATATTTAAAAAACAGTTCACTAAATAAGTGTTTCTGACTTTTGCCTACGTAACTTGCCATAAAAGCTACATAAATTTGATAGCAGTCTCCCTTTCATTCCCTATGATTTATGCTAAATATGTATTGCTGTCAAAATTACAAATAAGAAATTCGAATAGCCATATGAAGTGCCAGTATAACAGCTATAATCAAATATAAGGTAGAAACGTGAACTGGGTTTATGTTATTATTTACTTAACTACTTTTAAATCTAAAGAAAATATAACTAGAAAAAGATCCACGCGGACCAGGCAGCAGACGGGACTCGTACCCGCACCCAAAAAAGAAAAGAAAGAATTCGACACGGCCATCAGGGCCGCGGTAGCATAATGGTCACTCCATTCGCCCGGATAGCGAAGGGTGAAGTTTCGAGTCCCGTCTGCTGCCTGTTCCGCGTGGATTTTTTTCTAGTTATATTTTCTTTGGATTTAAACATCGAGCAGTTACATGCTTAAAACAAAAAAAATATTAACTATATATTTAAAATTGTACTACATTGTTTGATGGTTTGTCTTTAGGTGAACGCTAAGAAGCCAAGAACGAGACAAGAGGCTGAGAAGGAGATTTTGGACGCTGAATTGGACATGTTTACTAAACAACAGGTACTGAAAGGAAAAATGTCTTTTGTCGTCGCTATTTTCGTATATTTTATTCATCATCTTCAGCCTATTAATGTCCCCGCTGCTGGGGAACAGGCCTTCCCTATGGATGGAATAGGGAGATTGGGCCATGACCCACCGAGCGGGGTTAACGACTGCAGATGCAGCCAGGGCCAACGTGCCTTCCGAAGCACGGAGGAACTCGAGATAGAAGATTTTCGGTCATCCATCCAATAACCGACCACTGCGATAGTTGCGTAGCTTCAACGATCGCAGCTGAATGCGCTAACCACCTGCGCCATCGAGCTCATCGAAAACCAATATAACTCACGCCAATAAAATATTGGCTTCTGTAGGTTTTGGTGGCCGTCTACCATCTGATGGACTATACTATGCTTATTTGAATATATACTGTTAACTATAGAACACACAATGAGTTTAGAAGGGTGATCATATAGGTACCGTTGTACGGGGATCGATGTCGCCGGCTCGCCCCCACTAAACTTTCACCTAATACCTGGGTTCCGAACCTGGGGGGTAATTACCCTTCCGGGGGTAAATCAGCCATACTTCGGGGGTAACAAAGAACCTTATTATTTGGTGAAATCTAAATAATAAGAAAATACTATATAATAATACTACTAAATAGAGCATGCGCTCCTTCTTGCTAGCGAGACCGCGGGGTGCTGAGTGTGGGAAGCGGGGCGAGATTTTCTCCTGATGATGACATTATTAAAGACGAAGATGTAGCGGCCAAATTGGAATTTCTTGGACTGATGATAAAACTTCAAAGTCGGGGTAAAATCTGTTGTAGTAATAGGTTACAGGGGTAGCAGTTTTGGAAAGGTTAGGAAACACTGATCTAATAGGTAATAGCCAATCAAACGACGCGCCATCAAACAATCGAACCAATCAGCGCTCACACCCGAGAGCAACGACGCAATCAGAACCAAGTTTGGGTCATTATGAGCATTTGCTCATACATAACTGTGCCCCACCCACAAAGCCCTTCTAACCTCTTCCTGTGTTCTGTGGTTTTAACTAGCTGATGATATAAACAATTTCTTGCCCAACTGCAGTGACCCTACCGGATTCAATTTTAGTTGAACTATTATGCTATCGCGGCCCCAATGGCCGTGTCGAATTTTCCCTAGTATTTATTACGCTACAAGTTCTAGTAATTTTTTCTTTAGGTTTAAATCTTGCAGTTAAAAGCTTAAAATAAAAATATCATTCAGTTGTGAATCTAAACATAATTGGAAGCATACGTAAAATTGTATCTAAATCGGTTTATCTGTTTTTCATTAGTTGAGGTTTAAGCAGACATTTCACTTAACAGATTATCATACTACTTTTTAGATTTTGTTCGTCTTTCAATTGATTATTTCTTTATTAAAAATGTTTTTTTAAAGCATATATAACTGTGTGATTTATAATAGGGTATTTAACAGTATTTTAAATAAAGTGCCAATTGTTAGCAATGTATTGTCACGTGACCCAAAACGCTTGGGATTGGCGGAGCTTATAATGACGTCACACGCAAGTAAACTTTCGGTTAATGTGACATTACATTGTATCGTTTGTCGTTTTAATAACAGTCTTGTGACGTCACACACTAGTAAGACGCCATATTGTCCAGCGAAACGTTTTTGCGGCAACTTGAAAATGGAGTTTTTGATTTGGTTATTTTTACTGAAATACACAACAGAATGATGAATATCCACTTTTTACGGACTCCATAAACTTAGTCAATAACGTGAGATCGTTTTCTAAAACTTGTCAAATACCCTATTACAATAAAGCTTTTTCTTGCCTACAGGAGGGTCAAGACGTAACTGAGCTAATGAAACGCGTATCGGAATTAAGAAGGCTAATGGCTGTACAGTTTCCACCCCACCCCGGCATGAGGAGACCTCATTCTAGGTGAGTTTATGAACGTAAATGCTGGCATCATTTGTTGATTTCTAGCCTACTTTTTCCTTATACGAGGGGCGTTCAATGTATTCTCAGTATCGGTATAATATACTAATAATGAGCGTAATTAAATTATTTCATTAGTTAATAATACTCTTTAAGGGTGTATATACAAATTTTAATTCAATTGTCACCGTTAGTATTCAAGATTTCATTACATAAAGCCAACTACGATGACTGATAAGACAATGTAGAAAAAAATCGACAAAAAATCTCTCACGAAACAAGGAACGACTCAAAAAATAATTCACGAAATAATAGTGACATTCAGAATAGGCTAGTTGACCCTTTTTGGAAAAAGGTTTTAAATGGTTAATAAATGTTCTATTAGACCGAAAAAAAATGTATTGTATTTTTTTTAAACCTAGAAAGCTACTAATCTTTAATTTTAAAATAGACTTTTCATGGACATACAAAAACGCTGTCGGCCATTTTAGTCTATAGATTATCTATGCTATGACGTGAACTGTGGTTAACAAAAACTCGTAAACACGTAGAAAATTACTTTTATCTGAGTTTATAATAAAAAAAAACATGATTTCTAATAAATACCACGAAAAATAAAGTAATTATCATTACTGTATTGTACGAGAATATAAAAACACATCCTTGAAGACTCCAGGAAAGTTGTGGATAAAAGTGCCGAAAGAAATTAACCTACGCAACTTTATTACACAGTTGTATCAGTTTTATGTTTATTACTACATTGTAATACTAAATGCACTGTACTTACATAGATGCCTTGTCGTTTCTCTGCTCCGCAGAGCAGAAATCGGGGTTTAGTGCAACAAATTCACCAACCATCAATGCGTCAATTCTTGGCAGATTTGTGCTTTCTGCTTTCACAAAGCCGGCATCCATAATTAGTTTTGTCAAAAAAAATAAGTTTACTGTTTTTTTCTTTCCTAAAGTTAAAAGTGTTTTAAGATAAATTTAGTCAGACGAAAGAATCCACCTACAGTAACACGCGAATGATATTTAGTTGTTTACCACTAGAGACGTCAAAATCATGGCGGATGTGGCGAACAGCGTTTTTAGTGTTTAAAAAATATAGACTAAAAAATATTTTTTAAAATTAAATTTCTACAGCAATCTTCTGTTTTTATTAAGTGAAATCGATATATTAAGGTTCCTTAGACTAAATACTTTAAGAAATAAACATTTATTTAATACAATTCGACATGAGTAAACTAGCCTATTCAGAAGTGGTAAAGTGAATTCAAACGGGGTAGAGAGAAAATTTGAGTTTTATTTTACTATTGATATATATACAGGATGATACAAAAATACAAATAAATCTTGAAGGGCGTTGAAGTACATCATATAAGGAGTCTTCTCTAATGTTCTTAAAATATTTGCAAGAAGTTTGAACTTTTTATAAAAACAGTTATTTTTAATGATTAATAAAAATATCGATCATTTTAAGACACGTCACTAGTTCGGGGTCATGCACCTTACCAGGAGTAGTAATAAATCTGCTGTAATAAAGAAAATTAGAGAAGATTCCTTATATGATGTACTTCAACGCCGTTCAAGATTTATTTGTATTTTTGTATCACCTGTATATATATACTAATAAGCACAATCGGTAAGTTTCTGTTTTTAATATCAGCCGATTAAATTTTCGAGAACAAAAAAGATTGTATACCATTGTACTTTGCTAAAAATTAAGTTATTTATGATATTAGTGCGGTAAGTTGGTTATTACAAACGAGTAGACGTATAAGTAGTAAGCCCGAGGCGAAGTCGAGGCTTAATTATAGTCACAAGTTTGCAAATACCAATCCGCACAAATGTCATATACCGTTTTTCAACCTTTTTTTGCGAGAAAGGGTGTACGATGCAAATTTTTTCTAATAACAAAATGGCGCGCATTTCGAAATGGCGCTCCTAAACACCTTCATTTTGCTGTTCTTCCTACAAGATAAAGTAATTGTAGTAAGTACTTAGTATATGTATAACATCAAAAACATAAAATTAAATAAATTACAGTTGTGCATTCGAAAATAGTGATGCTTGAGGTAGCAAAAGTCAAAAAGCCTTGATATCGTAGTAGCTGTTTCTGTATTTCATAAAAAACGCGTACTTATATATAATAATATGTAATACGTTCCACAGAGTACTTTTTGTAATGGCATATATCTTCTGGATACATTAAAAAAAAAACATGCTTTTTTCCTCTAAACTTGGAGGGGATTTTTTTAAAGTTGGTAACATTGCGTACGAAATAGAAACTAGAGACTAGAGAATTACGAAATACGTTTTTTTTTCATTTATTTGATAAGATAACTACGAAATACAGTAACTAATAAAAAGTGCCACAAAAATCCACATTGGGTTTGTCCGGATACTGAGTCGCTTAAGCCGTCAATACATTGTTTGGTATTGTGACATTCATATTCGTGCATTGGTATTGTGACCTCCTTAAGACCTATGCTAGACGGATGTAATCCGGCGTACCAACCAAGGTGACTTTGCCTGTTGCCATCCATCTAGACGAAGGATGTAATCCAAATTTTGATTTGACCTTCAACGTCCTTGGATTACGAGCGCGTGATTACATCCTCGGTTGGAGCGCGTGGATTACAACCGTTTTGGCCGGCGGATTACATCTAACCAAGGACAGTTGCGCTGTGGCAGTCAGCGGGTGCGCACGTATGCATGTAAGAATTGTCGTTCGAAGACCAGAATCGCGAACGCGATATTACTAGCGAACTAATTGATCTCTATAGAGATCTCCCATGCTTATGGGACATTACGTCGGAATCATATAAAGATGCTCGTCAAAAAAAATGCGTGGGAGATATTACTCAAAAAGTATAGGGAGTTGGACATAAGTTTGAATGGCTGAGAATCATTCGCTGTTGTAACCAACGCTTCATCCCCATTCTCTTTTTTGTTGTTTTTCGTTGTCTATTGCACACAAAACTGAAGGCCTACTCTGATTCAACGAAAAACGAAATTTCGATCGAAACTTCGCACTTTTCTTACTATGTTTCTGGTTCGTTTATAATTATAATAATATTCTTCGTCGGAATATAGACTGAGGTGTACATTTTCTAACTCCTACTCAAAGAAAGCTTCAATTTGATAGTTTATCGTTCAAATTAAGTATAACCATAAATTGACGAAATTAAATTTCGTTTAAACTTCGTTATCGAAAGTTCGTTTCGGAGAAAGAGAGTAGACCCCCCTGTTACGGCAATGCCCCCTTTTTGAAATTTGGAGCCGATTCTACAACACGGTTACTAATACAGTCCGCGCATGATACAAGTGCATACGTGTTCTCACGCCAGAAGACTCGCGACTGCGTGTTGGCGTGTGGATTACATCCGTGTAGCCGAAAATCATAACGCGGATGGAAACCAACTTTCCACCAAGGTCACCTTGGTTGGAGCGTTGTATTACATCCGTCTAGACTAGCTTTAAGGGTATTCTTGACGGAATTTTCGTTTTTATTTAAATATAGGTATGAATATCAACTGTGAGTATAACTATGACCATTTTATTTTTCAAGCTATCGTATTGTGAAGAGAAAGCTTAGGTAAGAAGTGTGTTTATACAGTAATAATAACGTGTATGCATTGTATGAAATTCTTTAATAATTTATTTAATAGGAAATGAAATTATTTGTGTTCGTTACTAACTTCTACTTTGTCTTCTACAATTTTGCCTCCTTACATTGTCTCCTAGGAACCAGTTTCAATAATCAATTTCCAGTGAAAAATCCTAGATTCCTAACAACAGTTGTTATTTTGAATTAATTAATATAAAAATTTAGACAACGAATCTTGTCTGACACCAAGACCAAGAGGAAATTATATTAATAAAAGATTTTCTTTAGATTTACTAATCAAATAAACATTTAATCAAGCAGAATACAGAAGAAACAATTATGCTTAAAATAAAAATATAATTAACCACAATTACTATTTCTTCTTTCAGAATGTTTAATACTTGTTAAGTATTTTCTTTGACATTGTGGTTTTCTTGCGAATGCGAAGACATAGAGCTGCCTTGCAAACTAATAAGTACTCGAAGAAATAGATTTTTTATGCTCAAATATTTTCTTTAGCTCATCTCATCTCATTGATTATTCAAACTGCCCTTTAAGGCTGTTTTTGTTAAGAACATAATCATTATTTACTTGTGATGACCTCCGTGGAGTAGTGCTATGTACGTCGTCTTTCAAGATGAGCCACTCAGAGGTCCTGGGTTTGAATCCCGGTGGGGCAAGCGTTTGTATGAAGAATAATTGTAAATATTGTCACATGATTTGACGCTGCGAAGTTCTTTCGCCCGTTTTTCTCGACAACTAAAAATGGCCTTAACGAAAAAACAATATGGACGATTCAAAAGAGTTGTATTATGGCTTCCTATTCAAATAAAGATATTTTGAATTTGAATTCATTGCACGTAAAATGAGCCGTTTTATGGATTGCTCAATCTAGGCGTGTATTTCAGCCACACAAGCCTTTGCGGTTCTTACTTTAGGGCTAGGGGCCGCCCATTAATCACGTGATGTTTTTTGTCATTTTTTAACCCCTCTTCCACCTTGGTGATACGTGGTGAGGTATAAGACTACCCCCCCCCCCCTGCCCCAATATCACGTGTACTTTTGTCTACATACAAAGAATCAGTGGATTTTTTGTACATGAACATTTTTTAATATACAGTATCCACGGACCACGGAAATACACGTGATATATTACTATAAACCCCCTCCCTCCCCCCTCGTGCCTCACATGATTAATGGACAGCCCCTAATAATAATAATTCATTTATTGTGGAGTACCTATACAATAATGAGGTGTTATATCACTACATACAGTTCAGCTATGTCCTGCCATAAAACGTACAATTATTAATAATAACATTAGATATCACAATTTAAATCAATGTTATTATAAATGTCAATTAAGTTTATTTCCATATCGTTTTATTCCCTAGGCCAATTGGTTTGTGTTAAAAATAAATCTTTAGCAGCTAAACATTGATTTCTTCACCAGCAGTATATTCCGAGGCGGTCGCTACAACACAATAAACAGATTCAGTCGCGGAGGCGCTCAGAAAGTGTTCAGCGTCAACCAATCTGTGGACCATAGACCACGGGCTCTTCTTATCTCTGGCTTCGAGTCTGATGAGCTGGATTCGCTTCTGCAGCATTTCTCTGTAAGTGATAATCTGACACATATAATAAACAGTACAAAAAACAGTACAAGGGGACTAACTATTTTTATTTGTCCACCAGGTAGATTATAAAAAAGTATGGACACATATTTTTTTCATTTTTCTCATAATCAAAACATTACAGAGATATTATTTGACGACCTCCTTGGCCGAGTGGTTTGTACGCCGGGTTTCATGGTCAACTAACCATAGGCTGCAAAAATAATTATGTTCTTCAGTAGAATTTTCTTTAGATTCGAACATCTAGCAGTTAAATGCTTAAAATAAAAATTATAATAAACATAGACTGCTTTGGATACATACGATTTATGCTCCAACATGTTGCCTACAATGATAAATCATGGTATAAATTCATTTGACAAGATCTCGTACATAATTGTACGAGATGTGTAGTGTGATCGTACTTCGTACAGAAGATCAGAAATATCGTATTCGTACAAGAATTCTCGTATGGTTGGAAATCCAGCTTTTTACTGGTATGAAGCGCGATTTATTAACAAATAATAAATTTATTTGTTTCTTAGGTTTTCACGCACATCACTAATTAAATAAAACTTGTTTTAATATTAAATTTATTAACGTCAATAAATAAATAAAGTTTCGTGCATTAACCCGTTGAAACTAGTTTTATTAATAAATTTTCAAATTGTTTTTTTGGTCGCAAGACACGGAATTTGTACTAATTATTGCGACATAACGAGAAAAACTGTCTAAATCGCGATTTATATCCGTTTAAAGTCTTTTTTTTCTTAAATGATTGGTGTGCATGAAATTATGACTCGTAAAGTTATTTTATTCAAGTTTCTAGTTTATTTTTTATTAATGGTCCATCTATCGTTCTATCCACCACATTTATGGTTATATGCTTTGCGTGAAATTATGATATTTAAATTTATTTTATTCAACTTTCTAGTTTATTATATTTTATTGGTTGTTCTATCTATCGTACCATAACATTTATGTTAATATGCTTTTGCATTAGCAATTTGGCGAAGTCAGCAGCAAAGAATTGAACCTGGCCGTGCCCGAGTTGGTGCTGCAGTACAAACTGAGATCTCACGCGGAGTTGGCTGCAGCCAATGGGAAACATTACAACGATAGGACGCTATCGGTGAGTTTTATTGTTGACTAGTGGCCCGCCCTCGCTTCGCTTCGGTGTAGAATTGATCAAAATCCTTTCTTAGCGGATGCCTACGTCATAACATCTACCTGCATGCCAAATTTCAGCCCGATCCGTCCAGTAGTTTGGGCTGTGCGCTGATAGATCACTATGTCAGTCAGTCAGTCACCTTTGAGTTTTATATATAGGACTATAGGTGGTTCGTCTTAATCGGCCATCTTGAGTATTCGATGATATATTCCGAAAATAAAACTGTAGTCTAGTAACCAAGCTAATGTTTAATTTAAATCTTCAAATCACTCCAAAAAATCTGTTATGATTGCCAAGAGAGTTCTGTGCTAACGTCCGTTCACTATCGCGGCTCACGTCTGAATGCCCTTTCAATGAAGCATAGACCACTCCCAAGTGATGACAGCTGTCACTGTCATTACTTGACGTTTCACAAGGCAATGGTACACTGACTGATGACATTTGTTGTCGGTTTTACGTTTCATCCGCCGACATATATATTTTTTTATGTTAAAAGGGTCGCAAACAAGCGTAATGGCCCGCCTGATGGTAAGTGGCCACAATTTTAGTTTTTAGTTAAATGGAGATTTAGCAAATTAGCCTCAAGTTGATCTTAGTATAAGGAGCTCGATGGCATAGCTCGATAGCGCGTCCGGCGTGCTATCATGAAAGTTAAGCAAATTTCGCAATGGTCGGTCATTGGATGGGTGACCAAAACTTATTATCTCTCCCCTCCGTCCTTCGGAAGGCACGTTCAGCCGTTGGTCCCGGCTGCATCTGAATGCATTACCATCCACCAATCGCACTGGGCCCGCGTGGTGGGTCATGGCCCAATCTCCCCATTCCATCCATATTGATAGCTTGTGCCCCAGCAGTGAGGACACTAATGAATACACTGATGATGATAGTGAGACAAAACACCAAGCCACTAGAATTCTCCAGTTTGTAATTAATAATGTACTTGAGCATACTCGATTCAACTAAAACGAGATTTAAATCACAGAACAACGCTACTGTCAATTTGACATTATTGTGTGGACTAAATCTAGTTTATGTTAAATTCAGATGTACCAAATTCGCTGCAAGTGGGCCCGATAGGTTTTATCTCATTAATATTAAAAATGCGACGTTTGTGAGTATGTTTGTTACTTCTTCACATCTAAACGGCTGGAGCGATTTTAATAAAATTTGGTATGGAGTTAGCTGACACCCTGGATTAACACATAGGCTACTGCGGGAAAATATCCCTAATAAACCCCAGGTAACCAACACCGCGGGGCATAGCTAGTTTATCATAAAAATATTATTATAGACGATTATGTAATTTTATTGTCGCACAGATCACATGGGTAGCCAACACTAAACCCGTAGCACCGGCAGTGGAAACAAGGCCGGCGCACCACAACGGGGAATCGAACGAGGAAAACAAGGAGCCCGAGGTAATCACTGCACATGTACTAACTACACTTCCGGACACAACTATCGGCACAGTTTTGACGGTCCCTAACTAAAAATAAATGTTACATTGAGCAAAAAGTTATTATTACCTACGTAGTTTTTTTTCTAAATGGCTTCGCACGGTTTGTGCATTTAGCCAGTGTCAAGTGTTAAAATGTTTACAAATACTATAGTACTCGTGGTCAAAGTTATAAATGAAGTCAAAGTAAGTGGCAGTTAAGTCAATCCCCCTTTCCCTATGTTTCAGTAAATGTGTGGGGATTTACTGGAACCTCCCCGTGGACTTCTTGAGGGAACGTCGAAAGACACTTTCCGCTATTTTGTTTCACTTGCCAACACTTGTGCATGTTGCCGAACACTTAGTGGTTAATAATCCACCATTATTAGACACTAACATCCGCCACAACACAATTTTTAACAAGAAAAACAAAACTGCTAAAGTGACGCTTTCCGATTATAATCATTTTTTTTTTAATTTATTTCCTAGTCTCAGTGCAAAGGCAACGGTTTCACACAGCCTTGTGTTTTTATTTAAATTAAATATGTATAAAAAATCGTTAGCGTTTATCATCCATTATCAGATAAAGAACCCATTTCAAAACCAACGCCAGTGCACACTGCACTGACATAATGCTGAATTTGGCCCTTTTCAGCGCAGCCATGGATACGGAGAGTGGTGTCGATTCTTGCATGATTCTATTAACTTAGGTCTAAATTTGGCATCGGTCACTCACTTTCATTCTCTATACGTGCGACTACGAATGATTTTACCTTTCCACTAATTCGCAACTACTAATTTGGCTATTCGAAAGCCAAATTATTAGTATACTAATGTCATTATTCGAATAACGACTACTAATTAGTAATACTAATGTCAAATTTATAAGAGCGCAACGAATAAGGTTAGATTATTCATTCGTTCGTTCATCATTTGCCTTAGTTCAGTTAGTTTCCGTACGTTCGTACTTGGCGCCTGCTACGATAGTGTTGTATCTGTAATTAATTATTATTTTTTTCAGTGAAAACTATATTTACCAGTGAATATGTTTATTATTACTTGATTTATATATATTTTTAAAATTAAAGAGTTCATATATCTAATCATTAAAAAAACGATCGAAAGTAGTACCCTATTAACTCTGCTCGTCTCTTTCACTCGTCGAGTTTGTCCGACCAAGCCCGAGTCGACCCGGTTTGTTCGTCTTCGTCACGTACGTCAGTCGAGAGTCGCCGCCGATACCTTCGACACCAGTCGAATGATATAAAGCGCAGTCGACTTGGTCGAATGATTCGTGGAGTCTAATGATTAATATTAGTATTATTCGAAGTCGCGCATCGCTAGGATACACTGCTGTCAGGTTTAAGTTTGCGTTTGGGTAGTCGTGCCGGAATCGACGCCAGTATAGTACAAATTAAGTTGTATTTACTATAAGTTGTCTGTATCTTTTTGCTATTTTGTAAAATTATAAGTTTGAAAATTTGTCGGTATCCGGGTACTGTGCTGAATAAACGGTTTGATTTGATTTGAACCATCTTGAGGTGTGTTTTTAAAATTATTGCTCGACCATAATCATATATGTATTTTTGCTACAGCCCGTTGAAACTTATAACTCTAAGGGGCCGATAGTTGTCTCTTGAATTATAAATAAATTAATCTCGCGTTAGGTTAGGTTGTAAACTTTTATGTGCGACTTTAATTCGTGAAGCATAAAGCATCTTTTGAATTTTATAGTCTTACCGCACTGCTGATGATTTCAAGGTATCGAATTCTCATGGATTAGGTACCTAGTGTGTTTGGTTTTGTTTTTATTTATTTAGATATTCAGATATTGTATTTGAATAAAAATATTACTTATCTGAAATTGTCAGCCATTAAAATAATCTGATATTTTTATTCAACTTATAACAGTTATGAGTTGACTAGAGGCGTTAATGGTTGAAAACATTTTTTTTTAACACACACCAATTAGCCTAGCCCCAAAGTAAGCACTATAAGGCTTGTGTTATGGGATGCTAGGGTAACGGATAGAATACATATACTTTACACATATAAGTATATTTATATAGAAATACATATCAAATATCCATGACTGGAGTACAAATGCTCGTATTCATCACACAAACATCTGCCCCCACCGGGATTCGAACCCGGGACCTCTCGAGTCGGCGACGCCATGAAACCCGGTGTACAAACCACTCGGCCACGGAGGTCGTCAAAATATTAGTTACTAATAAATCTGCGCCCAATAATCTATAAATTTGAATGAAAAACTCAGTTTGAATTATAATAAATGCAAGAGAAAGTATTATTTGTTTGTAGGGTAATAAAAGAGGGGAATAAAAGGGTACTTTAACCTAAAAAAACGGTAAAAGCTTTCGAAAATTCCCTTTAGTTTAGATTTTAAGAGACGCAGTTTTAATAACAGTAACAAAAATAAAGTATTAATTACCGAGTCTTAATTTATACTAATTAGTATTCATTACCGAGTCAATTTATTGTTTTGGCAATTTTGTTGTCGACTATTATATATTCATTTATTTATAACCTGTATTATTCTTCTCGATTTTTAGAGGTTTTAATGATTAGAAAATTTATTGCAAACTCTAAATTATCTCTACACGCAAAACTGGCGCCATAAGGACGCCGAATTGCGGAAACGCCCGTAGCAAGAAGAAGAAGAAATTATCTCTACAATAATTAAAAAGTAATGTTATCTCGATTTAACAAACAAATCCTTTGCCCTACAAATAGGCGTCCCAAGAATTATCCGAAGACTTGCTGCTCCGCTTCGATGAAGAGGAAGAGGAAGACGCGGAAGAGGACAGATCGTGGAGGCGTTGACGTCGCGCCGGCCGCTAGTCTGCCTAAACGTCGTGTAGCGGTCGTGTCGCCGTCGGATCGCGGTCGTGTGGCAGTCGTGTCGTCGGGCCAGGCTAGCGTACTCTGTATATACCGTAACTGTACTATACGCGTTGTAATTGGGTTTGAGTGTGTTGTTAAATGTAATACGAGATATTTGGTTTTGTTTATGGGTATTTTTTTTATTTGTTTTTGTTATTTGCTCATTAGGCAAATAATTATTTTTCGCTGAAAGGTAGCTTACAGTTGCTACTAGCATATTTTACTTTTTCACTATAATTTCTTTTTATTCCGTTATAAACAAAATTAAATGCATTAATGAACACACCAAACCCAGTCTTATGATGTTTACAAAATCGCAATTGTTCTAAAACGAATATAAAAATAAAGTGCAATTTATTTATTAAATAAATGGTGGTTTCTCAAAGAAATGCATAATAAATCTAAATTCTCAAATGTCGAATTCTCAAATTGTTATCTTTCATTTGTAGATAATCTTTCCTTTGAAGCAAAAGAAGATGTTACACTCAATTTTGACTAAACATTGCAACATAAAATTTTGTATTTATTTTAGAACAATTACTTATATACCTAGTTGTAATGTATTATTCAAATTTGTTAAATTATTTGAGGGATATACTTATAATAGTTATAAGGTTGATAAAACTAGGCGTCACAGAGATGCTATTTGGTCGACAATGGAAAATATATTTAAAAACTGAACTTTATAAATAGACAATAGTCATTGTCGTTTATGATAATGGCAATACTAAAAAAAACTTGTTTATTCAACAGTTTTTTTGCGCCAGTGTAAAATTGATAAAACATTAATCTTTTTAATTGCAATGTCAAGCTTTTGAAGCTTTAAGCATCTCTATTTCGAATGCAATCTTTATTTATAGACATTAGTAAAATTTGCTCTTTTGATAATTGAAATTATAAATTAAATACATTTAGTTTTTGAACTGTGAGATCTTTTAAAATTGAAATGTGCATCCATTGGCATCTCTGTGGCATCTCCAATGACTTAACATATAATCTTTAATAACGGATCAGTGGGTGTTTTTAACTCAGAAACTGGATATACCAAATTAAGCATACAATGGTGTCGATTCTGGCATGATTCTCTAAACTTAAAATTAAATTTAACATCAGTCTGTCCTTTTTACTCTGTATAGAGAATGACAAGGATACACTGTTGTCAAATTTAATTTTAGGTTTAGAGAATCATACCGGAATCGACACCAATATCTAAATCTATATGCGGAAGAATATAGTGCTTATTTCTTTGACTCTACGAGAAATTCTGAATGCGCTGTTAGCGATATAGCTGGAACGAACCGCGAGGAAAAGAGATGGCTATATAACCGACAATGCATTTGAATATCGCAAATATTTTCTATTAAATCAGTTTATATCTATAGGAAGTATTAGAGCAACATTTGCTGCAAATGCGTTAACCTAACAAACATTGATTATATACCTGTCGAAAAACGACACTTTACATGCTTTAAGTATTTTTTTCGCATGTTTTCACGGAGCTCTGAAGCATCTAGACTTTTCAACAGGCGGCGCGTGACTGTGAACCTAGAAGTGCTTGAGTGGTGTTCAAGCACTTCTTCATTGGGACACATTTTGAACGCACGTGGTGTATCTAAGTTATTTAATATAGTTTTTACTTAACCACTGATCCTTACACGTAACTTATGACTGCTTACTAAACTTGAGCGCAATAATATCGGAACAGTTTTCTTTTAACGCGTCACTGGTTTTTGAAGAGTTAATGCGTTTTATACTACTAGGAGGATACTGAGGAGCTCGATGGCGCAGGTGGTTAGCTGCGATCGTTGAAGTTAAGCAACTTTCGCAGTGGTCGGTCATTGGATGGGTGACCAAAAATCTTCTATCTCGAGTTCCTCCGTGCTTCGGAAGGCACGTTAAGCCGTTGCTCCCGGCTGCATCAAAAGTCGTTAGCCCATTCACACCGGATCCGCGTGGTGGGCCACGGCCCAATCTCCCTATTCCATCCATAGGGAAGGCCTGTGCCCCAGCAGTGGGACTATTAATAGGCTGATGATACTACTAGGGTCTTTGTTACTGGCACTTCAGGACTACACAATTACCTTGCCTCACAATCAAGTTATTGAAAAATGGTCTTAAGACCGCAAGGAATAAAGTTAACTTTATTGGGAACACAGTCTCCGCAGCCGTATCCCGTAGGTCGATCTATAAAAGACGTGTGCGGAAAAACTTGGCATCGCGATTTTAACGTAAACAATGCTTCTTGAAAATTCGTCGGAATCGGGTCGAGTAGTCTCAATACAGTAATAAACTTTAAGTATCTAGAAATGTTTTTAATAAAAGTCTTATTTATTTATATTTTATCAATATATAATCATAATGATATAGGTACCTATATATATTTATTCAAGTGTATTCGTTTTTGGACTGTATTACGTTGCAGTTCGGTTGATATTGGCAGTTCTAATGATAATATTGTTTTGAAAATACCCGACTTCTTTTGCGTCTTGCGTGATCGCTGTGAACTTATAACTGAGAATTTATTTCTGAAACATTACTTGCAATGTTTATTTCACTCCATATAACTTTTAATTCTTTGCTTTTTTGCACGTCATTGAAGAACCATATAAATATATCAGTATATATTAAACTCTAGCTGTGTTACCCGCGGTTTATTATGGACATTTACCGCAGTAAAACGTAGCCTATGTGTTAATCCTGGGTGTCAGCTAATACCAAATTTTATTAAAATCTCTCCAGCCGTTTAGACGTGAAGAAGTAACAAACATACACTCACAAACTTTCGCCTTTATAATATTAGTGTGATTAAATTCTGAAAAAGAAATGATGATTGGAAGAATCCGAGCTCTGATGTGTGACATTTATTCGTCTAAGGACCAATTTCTTTTTGACATCGTCTTATTACGATGCACTAAGATCCATATTGGCTGCAATTAAGTATCTTTGAAGACCTATGTACTTATCATATTTAACAATTCCGTAGAATTGAAACGGTTCACATATGAATTCACAAAACAACATAAATTCCTTGAATGATAAAGCGCTTAAACCTATCGAAGCACTCATTTATAAATTACAAATTTTATATTCCTTTGTATAAAAAAAATTACTGTTTAAAACTTGAATACTTTGTAAATATATTACTTACTTAGTTATTTTTTGGCATCAGTCAATTTTTGTTTTGTCGTTTTTAAATTATTTTTTGAATAAGTTGTTTTTAGTCGTTAGTTGTATGATTTTCAATCGTCATAGAGTTGCGATTTAACAGACGATTCTTACTTATTACTACTTTCCCGGGTGTCCTAGGTTCGATTTTATTACATTAAAAAATAACAAGATGGAATGAAATCTGCAACTCTCAAAATTTATAAATTTACGTATGCATCAATGAATTTTAGCAAGGTTTAGCTGGGTATTATTTAAAACGCGATCTTACGGTTGAATATAGACAGTTTAATTGTTATAAATTAATATGCAAAGGTAGGCCAACATTTATCCCAAATTCGAATGTTTGGTGCCACATGTCTTTGACGAATGAGCCAACATTCAAAAAGTTATTTACTGGTCTTTTAACCAAGCAGACTTGTTGGGGTAATGATCAATGAATAAGGTTGGTAATTTATGTTCCATATGAGTTGGCAAGTGTCGCAGTAGCAAATGCGATAAAATAAACCTATTTTCGATTATCGAGGGTCAATTCTGAATATCTTATACCCTTTATTTAGTGGAATTCGAATGGGCGTTCGGTTTGCAATAATATTCTTCGACCGGCGACAATATACAAAGGTCGTGAAGCGGTTAAATTCACCGAAAAGTCTTTGTATGTATTTTTGTCTGAGCTCAAAACGACTACAAGAATATGATTGGCCTCTTATCCTTTGCAATATTTCAAGTTTCAAAGAAATGAGGGAGAAAATTTTTGAGAGTTGGTAACATTGTGAGGGAGTGTTTTGGAATACCATCTGCAACGAGGAGTTTTTTTCGACCAGAGAATTGACTATGTCCTAAGTCTCTTTATTATGAGCCATTGCCTCGACTTGTGGTTCGTAAAAGGCTTTTGTATTTTAGCCAAAAAAACAGTCTTTGCATATTGTTTGCCACGGCTATCCAAGAAATGAAACTTTTAGTGTATTATATAAAAAGGAATAATTATTTTCTAATATGGCAATGCGAGATGATGCATTTGAGTCATAGTCGTTCGTTGTTTTTTTTTATTGTAGCTAGAGGCTTGCGTTTTTAACGTTTTGATAGGTAATGTGAATGTAGTCATTTGTTTTCGGGGTAGATGGGTTGTTTTATTCTTGTACGGGCAATACTATTCTCTCTGTGTTGCCAATTATGCGATGTAATATTTTTTGTTTTAGTTCGTTTGTTGGCTTGGGCAGTTGCTTTCTCGTTTTAGGTGCTCAAAAGCTATTCTCTCTGGACCTGTCATTCTTGCTTATCTAAATAATCCGTACTATTCTATAACTACACACTAGGTCTAAGAAAAAAGGCAAAAAAAAGGTAATTGGAATTTTTTTTTGTTGTATTTAGCAACATAGATACCACATTATGTGAAAAAAAATACGGTGACCTGTAACTGACAATTTGCTTACGGACGGATGGACGAATAATGGAATCTGGTACTACGGTTTCGTGTTCAACCTTAGGGTACGGAACCACAAAGATATTTAAAACTGTTTACTTACCAAGCAAATCACATTTTACATTATATTAAATGCTATTTCAATATAGCTACTTAATCGTTGTCTTACAGTCATGTCTACTATTAATACTGTATTTTTGTTTTTAAGTAAGAAAATAATATTATTTTTACCTACTTTAATTTTGTTGACTTAGTTGTAGATAAATATTTTTGATTCTTTATATAATATACTTAGACTTATAGTGTGGCCTGTATAAGATTGAAATAAATACCTTTTTAAAATAGCGTCGATAGTAATTGATGCATTGCATCTCCTTATGGATATACGACTATCGACTTTATTTCTATTGACATAAGGTCGTGAAAGAAAGAAAAATGTCTGATAGATAATGAATTTCAAATTCAATTATTGCATTTTCGATCTTATGCAAATATGGAAGTAAATTTGATTATCTATTGTCATAAGTCATCGCTGATTTTAATTTTAGTCATAATGTTGTGTTAATAATTATATCGATAGATTTTAGTTTATAAAACTTTTTTGTCTAGAGATGGGCGAATTTTAATTGCGTTGTGTCATTATACTGACTGTAAACTAGGGTGATCTATTTTTCTTATATCGATACTTTACACAGAAGGTGTTAAAATTGTTGATATTGGCGAACGAAATGTTTATTTTGAAATTTAGTGATTACCGATGGTAGAGGAGGGCAAAGTATCGATATTTTTTGTCACTAAAAGTGACCCCAAACCCTGGCGCTGTTAAAATAGCCCATTTTGTATATACACAGTGCTTTGTTTCTATATTTGTACAATGTATTTTTAGCATAGTCGCTTGTGGATGTATCTGACTTAGATGTATGAATCTTGTAAAGAGGCGTTGAAAAAAAAAGATTTAAAAGAAAATAAAGTTTTCGAACCGGCGAATAAAAAAAATAACACATTACCACGCACTCACCACGCCGGCAAAAGAATATTTTTCTGAAGTCAGTGCATATTTTGATGGCGGTTGCACAAATTTTTATAAAAACCACATCAGACAGTTGTAACACAAGAAAAGATTTACTTGTGATCGTTGAGTTTGTTTTTGTAAAAAGAAAAGAATGTTTGAGAAAAAAAAAGATTGCAACCGCCAAAATAAAAAAAAAAAATGGTTCCATATTTCACAGACGGTAACGTCATTGCCTTTGGGCGTTTTTTTTCAGCAAAAACTGGTGGTTTACTAT